GTAGCTGCGCAGCCGCACTGAGTAATGCGCATTTAAGGCTGTGAAGGGTAAACGAAGATGCCTCGTGCTGGGTAACCAGCTGACCGCCTTCCGATTTCCACGGCAACTGTATGGCCCAACGAAGGCAAACCAGTGCCTGCAAATAGGACATCGGGCGCGAAAGGCTGGGGGACCTAGTGAGGCGGCGAGCAAGATGACCTACAATCTTGTGGTCCTGGATGGGAGGAAGGATTATCTTGCCGATAGGCGGGAAATCAATCCAGAGTTGAGGGAAACTGGGGTTATCCCTGATGAGGCCGCTACATGCCAGATTGTGGTTCCCTCGAAAACAAGGTTGGGGGACTACCTCCCGAACTACGAGGAGACCGCGGGCACCGTTGCAGGGCGGGAGGCGGCTAAGGAGTTGATGAGACTGCTCTCGTGCGATTTCGAGGGTCTGGTCATCAACTCGAAGAGAGTCTCGGAGTTATTCGAGGAACGTGTGCTGAAGGAGACCGGGCGTGAGGCTGGAAACTGGGTGAAAAGTGACCAGGCCATCTGGTTCCTGAAGGAGATCTCGGGTATGGAGAACGCCGAGATGTCGTGGAAGTTCTTCATTCCGACGCTCAAAGCTTTCCCGATAGGGCAAGTTGAGGCGATGCTCATGGTCATGTATGACGGGAATGGTGTCCTCCTCAAGGAGAGCACTAGGTTAGTGGCCATCAGGCACACGCGGATCGGGCGCGACATGAGTTACAGTGCCGTTAGGCAGAGGTACACTCAGGAAGATGCACCTGGCGGATCTCTGATGTATGAGATGCATTGGAATGAACTCCCCATGGTGGGGTACGTCGTCATGAAGTTCTCGGACTTTAGGAAGGCGGTTCAGCTCCAAAGGGTGAGGCGAAACGGAAAGGCCATGATCGAGATATTGATCACGAGGCCCGACGTGTACGAGACCATTGGAGATGGTAGGCAGGATGAGGGCCTGATCCCACTTGTGGGAGCCATGGCGCCGGATGCCGAGGTATCGCCTTCGTGGTACGTCAGAGACAGGCTGCGGAACTACTCGGGTAGGTACGTGGTGGTAATGGTGGACCTTCGGGTGCACTGGTCCTTGGTTGGGCCCGTGTTTTTGACGAGAAGGAAGACCCTAGCCGTTCGGAACGAGATCCACATGGGAGCTTGGAAGGCGGCATACATGTACGATGATTACACGATAGTGTACCATCGGGCATGGGACTATGGTGACTTCACCCCCGTTAGGGGGGAGCACAGGCGATCGCGGGAAGAGGTCAGGTTGAATGTGACCACCACGTTCTGTTTGAGGTGCGCGGAGATGACGCCAAATGGGATGCATTTGTGCCCTGGGTGTGCGCTCCCGGTCTTTTACCCGAACTTTATCCCCAACGCGGAGGAAAATGGATTCGAGAGGTGCCTCATCGTCCCGGAGTGGGTGAGGACCATGGGGCAATTCAAGCCCAGGAGGATTCCCTCCGAAGTGGTCGGAGTCATCAAGAGGAACTTGATTTCCTATTCGATGGCGTCTGATCTGAGGATGACGGTGCAGAGTGGCATCAGACTGCCCCCTTATCTTGGTGAAGACAAGGGAGGAGTTGACACGGCGTGGGATGAGCTGGCGAAGGTGCTCTTCCAATTCTCCTATGTGTCGGGGATTTCGGCCTCAGATGCGTTCGTGGAGAAGTGGGTGGCGAAGCACCTGATTTTGACCAACCAAGTCGATAGATTTGAGTCGGTCACGGAGTACTTCCGGGCTAACCCGAGGCATGCTGCTCAGTGGGGTAGGCGTATGACGACTTCCGTTAGGAAGTTCGCTCGCCATGACACGTACTTGTCCTTCTATATTCCGATGGCATACGTGATTGGCTCCGCGGCTGGTCATCTGACCCCATTGTATCCGACCCATCGGAAGGACGTGGACATCCTGGAAAGTCATGCATTGATATCGCAGCTCAGGCAGTACATGGTGTCGGGGACAGGGTATGATGAGGAGGCGATAGCCAAGGTGCAGAAGGCGATCAGTGCCGGACAATCGGAGTCTCCCGCACCCTTCCGGGACCCATTCGTCTACGGTGACGAAAGGGTGAGGACGGTTCTTGATGGTCGTCAGCCCGAACCATTAGACGTGGACATCGAGGGACTTCAATCGGTGCATCATGCTGCGCCGGGTCCCAAGCAGGAGCCGGTCACCAAGGGAGGAAAAGGAAAAGGAAAGAAGGGAGAAAAGGGCGGTAAGGGCGGTAGTCCTTCCGGCCCACCACCGAAGTCGGGTGAAGTGCCAGGTAAAGGATCTGGGATGGGCGGTAGCCCATCTGTCCCAAAGGCAAAAGCAAAGGATGATGCTGGACCAGCTCCGATGGAGGTTGATGCAGCAGCGGCTCAGCCGAAGAAGACTTGGGTCGCGATAGCGGTTGAAGGGGCCCGGCCGAGTGCAAAGGCTAAAATGACCCCGGTTCCAAAGGCCGAGCCAAAAGGAAAGGTCGCTTCAGTGTCTGAGGCGAAGAGTGCTCCGGCTCCAAAGGCTGAGGCTAAGGAGGCGAAGCAGGCCGAACCGAGAGTTGAGGTCAAGAAGGAGAAGGTAGGCGGAGACGACGCTCCTGGCGGTAGTCGGGGGTCGGCTGAAGGGCAGAAGAGAGAATGGAAGTCCCGTTGGGATCCTGACGAGACTGTGAAGGAGTCAACGAAGCGAGAGGCATCGACGAGGCCTGATGACGTTGACAGCAGACCAGGTGCGGCAGCAAGAGAAGCTAGTGGGGATGATCTTCACTCCGCACTTGGCAGATCTTCGGCAAAGGACGCGGTAGCGCCTTTGACGGCCTCCAAGGCGATGGCAAAGAAGCCTGAGGGCGGTGAGATCAGATTGCAGTCGGCTGAGCGAACTGCGGCGAGCCCGGTGGAGGGTCACTTCCTGGTGCTGCCTGGGAGTTCAGTGGTGGACGCTATTTTGGCGGTCTCCACCAACAGAGTGCTGAACAAGCAAGTCAGGGATTTCATTAGAAATGGTGAGGACGCGTCAGCACTGGAGGCTCTCAACCAGATCGTGACGAATTCTCGCTCCACGAGAAGACGTAGGGAATCGGATGTCTCCCGCACTCCTTCTCGGAGGTCCGTTAGGACCGTGGACACCAGGGATTCCAGAGAGTCGAGAAGGCGCAGATACCGTCCACGGCGCGAGGATGATCGAGACCGGAGGAGGGACGATGCTCGTGATCGTCGTGATGATGATTCACTCGATCGGGAGCGAGATCGAAGGCGAGATGGTCGCAGGAGGTCCGAGAGGGATCGTGATAGGGACCGTGCGCGGGGCGGAAGTGACCGGAGGAGACGTGACGATAGCCGGTAGGCTGAGTCACGAGGATTGCGGCCGATAGGCTTGCGTCCATTCTCCAATGGTCGGCGCGGTGCGGAGGTGGTGATGTTCCTCCCGGACCGCTGAGGCGCGGAGGTCATGTCTCTCCCATACCGCTGCTGGGCTGCTGGACGTGTTCATCAGGAAGCAGTGTGAGTGAGAGGGAAAGCAAACTGATGGGGGGATACTCCCGGGTTTGCGGAATTCAAGCATTTTTCAGGTACGCATGGTCAGGAGTACCTCTTGCCGTTAGGCGAGGGTACTAATGGACATACGTTATCTTTTATTTCATGGCTTCTGATAAGAATTAAACTTCTTGCATTGTTGATGCAAACAGTTGTGATCCTAGTGTCGTCATGTGGACCTTTCCACAAGGTATGTTGGACAGCGTTACCCCGATTAATTCGGGGTGGTGGCGGGAATTTAATGCCCGGGATGTCGCGCAACTGCCTTTGTGGGTTTGCTCCACCGCTGACGGCGGTAGTGTCCAGCTGTTTGCGGACGCATGCGAGCAGTTAAATCCTATCAGTAAATGGCACGCTCCACCCGTCATATGACGGGCTCCTCGTGAGGGGGGTGTGATTAGCCATGGTTCATATCATCATCAGGGACGTCGCGTTAGTGACCGACCTGTGGTGTTTTGGCTCAAGTTTTGGGTTCCGTCGCGCCTCGAATGGGCGTCGCCGAACCCCTGCGTCGACCGACGGCATCTCGGGGGAGAAAGAGACCTCGGGCCGCCGCCAGGTTGGTAGGGACCAGTCGTGCGGCCTGTTGTCGACCAAGGTTGCGGGTTAACCCTTTTCTTGTTTGGTTTGTTTCCTTTTGGTTGTTGTTCTCTGGTGTGTGGGAAACCCTGATCTTTGGGACCGGGGATTGGTTTGCTTTTGGGGAACCTTTCTTTTGTGGCTTGTTTACCCCAACTTACCCATTGCCTGGGCACAGGCTCGTGCCCGAATCACACTTCAAAAGAGCCCGTGCTGAAGCTTTTCTCGGGGAAGTTGGGCATTTTGGTATTTTGCTTTTCGCTGGTAAAATGAGGATATTTCATTCCCATTGTCAATTGTCTCATTTTCCAGAGCTCCCGCGTTCCCTGTGAGCCCTGTGGGTCCGAAGTCCGCGGAACGAGTTGGATGGTCGGGTCTTGGCAAGACAGCTTGAATATCTCTCCCTGAGTTCATGGACTTTCACTTTTTTGGAAAGACCAGTTTATATAGTGGCAAACAGAACTGTTGATAAAAAGAAAATAGGGTTTGGGCAGGGCTGAGCGTAGAAAAGCATTGTGATGATTTGAAGGGCAGAAAGGTTTTCGGGAACCAAGATCCCCCCTAGTTTGACTATCAAGCCTGTCTACATGGTTTTGTCTCTTTTGAGTTGGTACCCTTTTCAGCTTGGTGTAAAGGGAAACCAACAGCACCACCTCCGTTGTTTGGGGCCCTGGAGGGTACCACAACCCAACATGGATAAACAACAAAGCTGTCCCACCACTAGTTGCTTGCTGGAATCGATCAACTCACACCTCGAGGGAGAAGCTGGTTGTTGAGTTTTCATTCAAGTCTTCAAGTTGGAAAGGTTTGGACACACAGCTGGCTTAGGTCACTAACATCATCTAACATCACGAACAGCTGCTGCACTGATTTGGAGCTTTCTCTAGGAGCCTTGTCCCGACTGGTCATCACGCCTCTGACTGACCGATGCTGGATGACCATCACGGGGGTCCGGGGTTCCCAGACGCAAGTTTTCTGCGGCCGCCCGCGGCAAAAGCACTGCAAGAGTCCAAACGGTTTCAATTTTCCTTCTGGAGCCTCCAAAAGTGGCCATCGTTTCAATGGAACCCGCCAGTAAATTGCAACTTGTGCAGGGGAGATCCAACCTCTGTCCAAGTACCAAGTACTGTTGACCGTTTCGGAAGACTACTTTCCCCGTTGGGGAAGACCCAAAACGATTTTGGACGGTGGACCGTCTGATTTTCAAGACCTGCCTAGCTGGAACTTGATCAGAGACGAATGCGGGCTTTTGGCGACATCAGGCTCTGCCTTGGGCAGCTTTCAGGGAGGGTTGCGGGGCTGTTGGGGGTATCACCTGGGCTTAGTTTTCTCTCCAGAGTCCAATGTCAACTAGGGAGGTCAAAGCCATTGGTGGATGGATTTCCTTCCGCTGTCAGCATTGTTTCTAAGCCAGACTTCCAACACCATTCCATGGTGGCTTATCAACACGCAGGCACTCTAGTGAGTAAAGCAGCTACCCGTTTGCATGGTACCGTACTTGAGGTTGACACTTCATTTGGGTGTTTTCAGTGTTTTGCTGTCTGAAGTGTTGTTCATGTTGTTTGAAAGGAATGCCAGAGCGACAGTTTTGGGGGACATCTTTTGTTTGTCATTAATCCGGGGTCAACATAATGTCACAATTCAGCGAAACCAACTGGCCTGCGACCAAACCTCGGAGAGGCTCGGGCTCCCTCCGATTCGGTATGTGTCCTAATATCCTCCCAACTGGTTTGCTTCATGCCTATCTTACTATGTCCAAAGGGCCCCTGAAAGGGTTTTTAGCCAAGTTCTGACAAAGACAGGCCCTTCCCTTATACTTTTCTTCCTGCTTGAAGCATCAGCTAGTACATTTTAGTGGTTTTAAGGTGTGATGTTTTTTTAATGGTGAGGAGATGTTTCTTGGTGGCTCCCAGCCATCCCCTGAGCTTTGTAGATTTTTTAGCCGGTTTAGTGGTTGGGTTTCCGTATTTCACCCACTACGTATGACTTTTCGTCAGTTTTCGCGCATCCCAAAATGGGCAGCCCAGTTTTTGTTTTCTTCCTTTTCCGGTCCTCTTGGACTTCAGGCCACCTTCCTTCCAGCCCCCCCCCCCCCCCGCTGCTTTGAGCTTCGAATTCCTTTTCGGAGCTGGAAAGGCCTTGCACATCAAGCTGGGCGCCGCGCCGGCGGGGCCGGCAGGCACTGGTAAGACGGAGTCCACCAAGGACGGAAGACGGGGGAGCTGGGAACACTTTCCCAGGTTTGGCGACGGCCCCCACGCGTTTTTTGTGTGCTTTCTTTTTGTGTGGGTGCGCGCGTGCGCGTGCGCGTGCGCGTGCGCGTGCGCGTGCGCGTGCGCGTGCGCGTGCGCGTGTGTGTGTGTGTTTCCTGTTTTTTTGTTGCTTTTTTTTGTTCCTTCGGGTCACTCCCTACTGAGCACCAGCAAGTTTCCAGTGATTCGGGTCTGCTTGTTTTGGAGTTGGTTCTTAGGCTAGGGAAAATACAGATACAAGAAAGACTCTGTGAATTGGGGTCTGCATGTTGTTGAGTTGGTACAGAAATCTTCAGGTGGGGGTAAAGGTAAAATGCTTCAGAAGGACTCTGTGAATTTGGTGGGTCCTTCCTGTTTTACAACGCACACATGTCAACATCCAAAAAAGAAAGCTCCCCAAACTCGAAAGATTCGCAGTTTCGATTCAGAGAAATGAGCACGCTCTCTACACCCCCTCCCCCCAGAAAGGTTCTCGGAACTCCTTCGAGAACCACTTTGCTGGTGCCTTTGGCCTTCTGTCCTCAAATGGTTGGCTGGCACGAGTCCTAATCTGAATGAGGTCCACCAAAGGGTCGTCTATTCAAAGAAAAAGCATCCGAGGGTGTAAACTACTGTTGATGCCCTAAACGCTGCGAGTAGGGACAAGTCATCCAGACACATCGGTGCGAAAGCAGCAACACTCTGACGCATTTGTTATTTGGGGCTCATGAGAGTGGACAAGTCAATTCAGGTTTCAATTCCGTTGCAGTGTGTTTTCTTTTGATACGCATTCCATCAGGAACCGTCATATTTGCCTGGCCGGAAATAGCGCGCATTCATCAGAATTGTTGCAAGTTGCTTTGAGTTGGCCAGGTTTCCTTATCTGTCTCCAAAATTGGATGCTGTGGAGATGGTTCGGTGCAGCTTGCCTTTCTGCTGTTCTTTGTCCATTCTGGGATGGGTACACCACGAATCCACCATAGGCTTCAACTCTGACCCCATGGCCAAAATGGAAGAGCCAATCTGAGCAAGCTTTGGTATGGTCATGGTGGACAATCAGGGAAGGCCACTATCTGTGATACCACAGAAATCCCCGCAGTGATGAAGTAGTCGTGGTGACGGCCCACTTTGGTACCACGGGGATTTTCTACCCTGGGTATCAACCATGGCTAAGCCCACTTTACTATCCTTGGGGATTTTCTACGCCCGCTTTGGTATCAATGGGTTTTGCTACCCATCAAGGAAAGGGGATTTTCCGCACGCATGGACGCTTGTCCCATGGGTGTTTGCATCTTCCCGGCGGATTTTCCCATCGCTTCGGCGAGGACTTGGCCAAGGGCCTGGCCAGGCAGTGCGTGGTCTTCAACTGCTCCGACCAGCCTGGGGTCCCGAAAGGGTGGTTAGCATGGGTGTCCTTTTTGGTTGTTTTGCTTAAAAAGTAGAAGGCCCTGGTTTACCTGGTTCAATCCCCTACCAGGGCCATCTATTTTCCAACAAGGACACCTATGTTAGGGTGCAGTAGGATTTCGGGGGTGACAGGTTGATGGGTTCAGGATGGGTTTGGCAGACGCGTATGCCACTCAGAAACCCCGAGTTGTTGTTTGACTTTGGCCCCCGCTTCAGGTCAGGTCAGTTCGAATGAATTGGGTACAGGTTGCAGGGGGTCTGATTGGGACATCCTGTTCGTCTCTGCCAGGAAGAAGGGTCCTGGTTCGGGAAAAAAACGTGGGGTCGTTTGGTACAGATCGACAACCGCCGCGGAAAGCAGGTGACAAACAAAATCAGCAGAACACAAATCACATCCCATTTCCATTCGTCAAAGCTTGTCCTTCTTTACATTCAATTCATAGGGTCTGAGCTGTGGCTTGCCTTCGCAACCGGCCAGTACTAGGTGAAAGGCACTTGTCGAAACTCAAGTCACATGTGCGGGACACATTGGTGCAGGTCCGTGGGGATGTTCAGGTTGCTTTTATGCTGCTGCCTTTTTACATCAGCATCTCCGGGCTCAGGATCAACTACCAGATGATGGGCAAGCTTTACAGTGGAGTGGTCAGGCCATTCGTGGTTCCGCGTCGCTCGCCAAAGCCGGGGCACCCTCAGTCTTGTTTAGGGTACCCTGTTGAGGTCGCTTTTACTAGGTTTGCTTAGAAATAGATGGCACGAGTTGAGGCTGGTATTACTCCATTCACCAGGCCCATCTAGTTTACTTAGAGGACACCTATGAGTATGCTGCTATGTTGCCATTAGTTTGGCGGTTTTGTACATGTCAAAACGATGGACATGGCACGCGCCAGCGAATGCATCTCCTGAAAGCACTCGAAGCCTGAGAAAGACATCGAATGGTGAGTCCGATCCGTTCAGGATCCCGGCAAAAGCATGTCTGCCTTTTGACATCCTTTCTGTATCACAAAATTTTCCAAACTCCAAACTAATTGTATCCTCACTCCCTGAGCTCCTGGGGCTTTAGTCACTTTTTGGGAAGACCGTGTTAGTGATCAATCGAAAGTTCGGCCTATGTTTTATGCCAATCCACTTAGGAAGTGAGTATCCCTGGAGTTGAGAACTTCCCCAATCGCCATGTTTGCCAAGTCCCCAAAAGTGTCCCTTGCCCGCGGAGCAGCGGAGAGGGGGGGTGAAAAGGGTCAAGTCGACGGTGAACACTCCACGAAGCCGAAGCTGCCGGAGAGAAAAAGGGGCTGACAGCTTCTGATTCCCGCGCCGGCGTCTCACCGGGTTCTCTGCGTGTCGCCTTTTTGGCAATCGCACCAAAGGGAAGCTCTCCTAAACCTGGTCCAAAAAGTGAGGTTAACCCTGCCCCCCCCAAAAAAAACAAAGAAGAGAAGTCCTTTAAAGGAAGCAGCTGGGCCGGCTCAAGAATCACCAGGGCCAGCTGATTTTGGGAGTTTCTCTTGAGCGCTTCCTTGGAGCCTTGAAGAAGGCAAACAAAGATGCAGGCCACAAAAAGAGCCCTGGCTGAACTCAAACAAATGGTTGAACCCATGGTTGAACCCTGGTTTTGGATGGACTCCTCCCTGATCTACCCCAAGCGCAAAAGTCAACCAACAGCCCCAACCACACGCCCAACCACAGAGCCCTCGTCCGAGCAGCAAATCAAAATCTGTGTTTGCCCAACCAAAAACGCCTCCTCCTGGCCCCAAGATTCTACTAGTACCAAAGTCACCCAAGTGGTAGGTAATGGAAACCAGCAACCAGTTTCTGGCATTAGGGCCCCAGACATGGGTGTGGCTCAAAATTAAAGAGCTAGGGCAAATCGCAGGTGTTAGTCCTTGTTTCCATTTACTATGCCATTTTGGTACCGCTTTTTTTGAGCCACAGCCACACGATCAAAACAAAGACCCCCAGTTCCCTCCCCGCAGCTGCAGCCGAATTCGATGTCCGACTTCCGACGTCCGAGTGCCGGCGCCTGGACGTGCCTCGACGAGTTCAACCGCATCTCCATCGAGGTGCTGAGTGTGGTGGCGCAGCAGGCGGGGACCCGGGGAGCGCTTGCGCGGGGGCTGGCATGTGGGTGTGTCCCATAATTCAAGAGCTGGGGCAAACGGCAGGTTTTCGTCTTTGGCTCCATTTACCAAGCTGCTTTTTTTGTACATTTATTTGAGCCACAGCCATATGGCGTTGGGTCAAACATCGAAAACTTGGAAACTGGAACCATGGAGTAAATCCTGCGGTTTTCTGGTGGCTTTTATTTTGCCCCATACCCATGTGGCTTGTGTCAGGGGGACCTCCAAGGATGGGTGGGTGTTCCGTTTGACCACCGAGAAAGGAGTCGCCTCCACAAAAAACGCACCCACACAGCTTTCTGCCGTGGAAGTTGACTACTGGGATGTTCAGCCCACGCTCCGGAGCCATACCAAGAGGACTCCCCAATGAAAGGATCATCTCCCCAATCAAAAGGGAAGCCGCTCCGGGGTAAACCGCAGGGATTCATCAATCTGCAGCTGTGCCAACCGTGTGCACCAAAGCATGGCTTCTCCACATGGTGTATCCAAAGGTCTGGTTGTCCCCATTGAAAGATAGGCTTCCTTCCCTCTATCTTGATTATACTCCAGCAAGCTACCACTATTAGGGCCCGCACTACTGGCATTTGTGTTTGTGCGTCAAACATCGTGCAAGCGCTTGTTTGTACTGAAATGAAGCCGCGGGATGTGAGCCCGGTGAGGGGAGAACCCTCCCCCCCAAAAAAACACCCCCAAGCCACCGGGCTCCAAATCCCCGGATTGGAGGGAAGCTGGCCCCCAAGGAAGGGGTGTTGCCCGCCAGGTCTTGGAGATCCGGCAAGCGCTGCTGCAGGAGGGGATCCATCGAGTTGCGATCCGACGGCAAAGTGGTCATGCCTCTTGCTAGGGGATTCACCATAGCACATCTTTTTTTTTGCGGGTGAGTGTCTTTGTTTTGCTTGTCTCGTTTTAGGCGGGTCAACCAAGTTTTGGGTTTTGTTCCTCGTCTAGGTCTTCCAGTAGTGCCCTTTTACCCTACTAAAATAGACTACAGAAAAAACGGGTACCCCTACTCTATCCTCTCTACTGGAGGACCTAGTCGTACAAACAGCTCTCGTGAGAGCTTTCAAGCTTTGGACCTCTGTGGGCAGACGGCGCCCTCACGAGGCTTTGGGGTGCAACCTCGAGTGTTTTGCATGAGCCGTTTGGGGTGGGTGAATTGTTGCGATTCACCCAGAGGATGCCACTTGATAGCTTCTAAGTTCCTACCTATGCATTTATTGTCATGAATTTTGCTTGGCGCTGTGTGAGACACGTCGGTGGCTTTTCTCACTGGCGTAGCGCGATCTATTTGGGTGTGTCTTTTGTTGAGGGTAGGGTGGTTCCCTCGGAGAAAGAGACAGACAGATGTTGGAACATCCCCGTCCCCCAGAGCAGCACGACTCCGCACTGAAGGCTGCTGAAATACGGTGGGTGGGTCGCATGTTGGGTGTTCCGGACTTGCCATTCAACAAAAGAATCGCTTGTGGGCTGTACTCAACGCAACTTAGATGGGATGCTTCAGGTTTCTCATGCAGACCGGATCGCAAAAGGGTTCCTTAAGACCTCAGAATCCACACTGTTGCTTGGGAAGAGTGGCGAATTCTTTCGGGTTCTTCCGACTGCATCGCTAGTAACATTGGCCGCAGTTGCCACCCGAAACACGACCAACCACTGGAATCCCAAAGGGGGCCATGGGCCATGACTGTTTCCCTAGTCGACTTGAGCAAATGGAGTGTATCGAATCCTTGAAGGACGGGATTCCCTTGATGAGATTCCCATACCGGCCTCATGAGAAACCCAAGCATCCTTGGCCATGGAACGGCTGGTCTCGCAGGGCCCAAGGGCCTTTGGGGGAAACCAAGAGATGGGTGCTTCAACTCCAGGGGTTGAAAACATGCCAACCGAAGTTGTCTCCAAATAGAACCTTTTAAAGTAGCCAAAATGGCTCCCCGCCCCCTGAAAATGAGATTTTTATGTTCAATCCCAAAAACTGGTGCTCTGCCTGAGACTCACAGGGAAGCCCCCAGATTGGAATGGACAACCCTGGTCTTCCATTTCGGGGTGGGCAGCTGGAGCTTGCCCCCGCTTCAATTTGCCAAGCCTTTCGAGCCCCAAGAGCTGGTACGGTTTTGGGTACGGTGCCAATTCCCAAAGGACGGCTCGGCGCGCGCTGCCCGTCAGGACCTCTCAGACTTCGTCTTCGAGTCCAGGCAGCTCAAGGCGCGCGAACCTTTTTTTTCCCCACGAAGCACTTGTTTTGTTTTGTTTTGTTGTTCTTTTTGTTCTAAAAAAAAGAAAGGCGTTTCACTTTGGTGTCGTGTTTATCGGAAATACCCAAATTCAAGAGTCGGCGTAGCCGCTTGAATTAGACCTTACCAGCTTGAAGGTTCGGTTTTCTCCAAGCGTTTGGAGTTGCAAGTTTCAAACTGCTGGGGCTGCAGCGGAAGGTAGGCAAGGGCAATGCAACGACAGAAGGAGCAAGACAAAAATGATGAGGGCACGCCAAAGCATAGAAACACGCGCTGCACAGCACGGCACTGGAGGTTTGGATTTGGGAAACCATGGGACCCTTCAAACACACCACCCGGAGAGGACTGGCCCCGACCATACCCGCAGGGTTTCGAAGTCCAAAACGGGCAGGTCCTTTCACACCATATCTCGAGGCAAATTTCAACGCGCTAGGAGTAAACAAATCTCACCAACGGGGCATCCCTGACTTGTGGGTTTCCCTTGTTTCCAGTTGTGAAAAATGGCAATGTGCACATTTGGCCATGGTTCAAAACCAATGGTACCATTTTGGGATAGGTGCACCACCCATTTTAGTTTATTTTAGTGGGGATTGGGATGTTCACTGGGGGTACAGGGTTTTGACCCATGGCCATTTCTCCCAAGGCCATGGATTTTTGTTCCCTGGGAGTGGTCCGTGTTTGGCGGCATACCACAACAGGTGAAGAACACCTGCGGCATCTTCATCACCATGCCTTTGCCTCAGAAGAGACCGATTTCGAGAAAATTGAAAAGCAAAGGAGAAGCCCCCAAATACACAAATCCTCAGAGAGGTCCTTTTTTGCGATTGACTTGGGGTGCTATGGGATTTGCAGTCATTGGAATCTGAGAGGACTTGGAGATTTGTTTTTCAGGAGACCATCGGATTTGCAGTCCTGATGTCATTGGTTTCGGACTGGACTTGGACTTGTGTTTCAGGAGAATGGCTCACAAGTCTTGGCCCGCGACAAAATCATGGCCACCAGCCGAGCCACGCTGACAGGAATCCCGGCTATGCTGGGCGTACCGAGCTCCCGGATAACTTGAAGGCGGAAAATTGGGTCGGGCGAATGGGGGCGATCAAAAGGTCAGCCGTTACATGGGGTGTCCGTTTGGGAAACCAAGAGCAGATTCGACTTAACCTGGGAAAACTTACCCATCATTATTGGGGCCAAAGGGAATATTGATCAAGCCGCAAATGGGCAGGCGGAAGGTGCGGTAGATATCTGGCTTGCCTTTGTGCAAAGCAGGGCTTCTCATTGTTTTTACCACAAGCTCCATGGCACCTGACAGGGAAATGGTCCCTTGAGAAATATTTATTTTCCAGGTAGTGCGGCAGGAAGGGTATCTATTATACCACGAAAAAACGAGCAAACTCCCAACAAGCAAAGAGGTCTTCCATGAGAGTTGTGCATGGCAACCGTTTCACTTCCCCCCCATTGCTTCGTTGGCAAGAGGACGAAACTCGCTATGAAGGTGCTCTGTACAAAAAAGGGGCAGACGCAATACTTGAAGTGCCCTGAAGGACGAAGGCACGCGTGTCTTCAACGGATCATGCCAGTGTTCAGTGCTGACAACATATGGGTCAGTCTTTTTTGGGAAGGGGAACCAAATGGACAACTACGATTTCTGGAGATGACATCTCTTGCATTGGCGAGTCGCTGGCTTGCATCAGGGATCAGATGGGGCGGTATCCGTTGTCACGGGTGTCAGCTCATCACCACGGATGGCAGGCTTGTGCTCGCACCACCTTTCTTGGTGGCTCCCAGCCATCCCCTTAGCTTTTTTAGCCGTTTAGTGTTTAGTGGTAGTTTCCATTTAACCCACTTAAAAGTTAAACTGTTAGCGGGGGATGTGAGGGCAGCCCAGCTTTGCAATTCCTTGAGAATTGCCTGAGTGTCGCAGGTTTACTTCTATTTGCATTGCGGTTTCCAAGGTCGGCACTCCCTATCAACAAACAGAGCGTGTTTAAACAAATCGGCAGGAAAAAGGGTGAGAGATGTTTCAAATGCTACACTTCAAAGGTTTTCCTCTTGGTTTGCTTTTAAAGCCACAAAGTAGGGGTACCCTCAAAAGAAGAACACTCAGATGTTACTTTTGACGACTGCAGTTGTTGCAAGGCCGCAGACAAAAATCCCAGATTGACATCCATTGCTTGCGAGGTGTTGTTCCGGCCTGTGGCAATGATGGTGCCGGACTATACGCTTATTGCCGAGATCATGCTCTACGCTGAAGGCGGGAGTTGCTCATGCTGCTTTTGGCGCCTCTCTCGGTGTGCTGAGTTCAATCAGCTTGACAGCTCTTCAGGCTTGGTCTGACCTGTTGAAAGATGTAACCGTTGTCTCCCTCGAAGTTTGGCATGCTGTCCAACCCCAGCCTCCAGACTGACAAACGAAAGCTGGGAGAGGAAAGGACCTTGTGATCGGATGGTCAAACTGCACTTGTGGGGTAGGAATGGTGATCGGCCCTTGCTCTCATCATGAAATTAGGGCCTGAAACAACGAGTTCATGTGAGGGAGACACATGTGTAGTCAGATGTGAAATGTAATTATTTTGATATACATCACGTACACGCGATATAAACGTCTTTTGGTGCTGGCTTTCATCTTAGCTTTTTGCCTGGCTCAAACATTCTGTGCAAGCAAGCGGAATTGCAAGCTGACAAGCCAAGCCATTGGGGCCGAAGGCAATCCCTAGAAAGAAACTTCAAACTCGATCCACAGGAAGGTGTGGATTTTTAAGCTTGATTCCCCCCGCAAACAAGCAAAGTGTCGGAGTTCTTTCTTTCCAAAAGGGAGGTTACTCAAAAAAGACCCCACAAAGAAACCTCTCAGCTTAGACCTGAGCTTTCGCAATTATGTCAAGAGAAAGGCTCACTTTTTTGCTACTCGCATGTGGTTTTCCCAGCCAGATCAGCCAGAGGCCCTCTTCGCCCGCTGTCCGCCGTTGTCTTTGTCGCGCGAATTCGCGCGCAGTCCGCGCCCGCCATGGCGTGCGTTTTGCTGGCCAGCGGCCTCGAGGTGATGAGCGAACAGGACTTTGCCTCCTGGTGGGAGGCGACGCAGGAGAGGCGGAACGCGGGCGAAGGCGCATCTCGCGCATGAGACTTGCGGCTCGAGAGCCTGTGAAGAGCGGTCGAATTTTATACTTCTGGCGGGCAATGCGACGCTTGGTGTTTGGGAAAACGAATCTGATCTAATTATCAACCGCTCGAATTTCGATGGTTCATTTAGCGGCCTCATAAGCCATCGCGTTCGTTGTTGGCACCTGTCTACTGGATTCATCAGCTACGACGGTCGCATATCCATTTGTAGGGGAAAGCAGAACTCGATGAATTGTGCTTTGAGATGATAGCAGGAGCCGATATCGAAGCAACCTGTCGGCAGCTTGTTTCGATTGTGACACGGCACACTTGGTCGTGTTTCAAGAATGGTCAGTGGATCTATTTCCCCGTATAAGTGATGTCCACCAAAGGGTCCCCATGAAGCCTTCTCTAGCAAAGAAAAGGCATGTGTGCCAAGGAGGGCATTTGTTCTTCCCCATCCTCGAAATCACTCCCCTGGGGCCCTAGGTTGGCTAACATTCTCGGGGGGTCTTCGCTTGAAGGTGGCTGTTGGACAAACCTCCTGTGAGTCAACCAGGCGTACCGATTTGTCTCAAAATGGGCACCCCTGCCGGAAAAGGGTGGTCTCCTGCAAGGTTTCCCTTCAAACAGCCCCACTCCAACAACGCCCCGCCCGCTGCTGGCTCCCAACGCTTTTAGTTTTTTCTGGAACTCCCAGCCTTCAAAGCACCGCAACATCTCAACTGGGTTCCAGTTGCTACACGGCATCGGTTTTCCTTTTGTTGTTGGGTGGGCTCCCTTAAAATGGTCAACCCAAAGAGGTTTCCCTTTTTCCATCAGGGTCACTGGGCTGGGTCAACATCCTGTATCGAAGGGCGGGCCGCACAGGTTTCGTGGATTTCCCTTCCAGCGGGACCAATGGCCCATGTTATGTTCAACGTCAGGTGGGTTACCATAGTTACCTCACTGCCACTGTTTGGGAAGACAATTTTAGCACGTGTTAAACAAGATGTTCAGCCTATGTTGTAAGCCAATCCGCTCAAGTGAGCACAAGTCAACCACCCTTGCACTCACCATGGTTCTACCTACCTGACGTAGAGTGACCAACCACCGACTTCCATGCTGGGGTCTCGCTGGAAGGCTTCCTGGACGAGCTGCGGAAGGAGGTGGCGAGACGTCTGGGGATTGTCAACTTCCGGCAGCTGGCGCTGATGGCCTCGGCTGGCTGGACGAATTTTGGTGAGCTCGCGCGCGCGGGTTTCAAGTGGTGGTGGGTCAAAACCGTTTTGGGATCCCATTTTGGTTGGTAGGTGAATTCACCTTTAGAACCTATTTTACTGGGGATCAGGATGCGCGACTTTGACCCATGACCAAGTGGCTGTGAGGTTTTAAGAGACCCCATCCCCACCGAAATGATGTCCACCAAAGAGACATTCATGCCCAATTAGGCGGGGTTGGGCTCATCTTAAGGGAGACCAAAAGGAAACCAACCGTCCGCGCTTACTTCGGCTGCCCGGCTCCCCCCAGAGGGAAGGCAGAGGCGGACGTCCGTGTCTGTTCATATCAGCGCCATTGTGTGAGGAATGCGAAGACTAGGGCGAGGAACAACGGACCGCACGCCACAAGATGGCCACATGGGCCACAAAATGCGGGAGCAGGCGCAGGGCCCCTACAAATTTCCAACAGATGGCAGAGGGATACCGCAGAAGGCTTCCTGGAAGCTCAAGGCGATGGCTCTGGTCCAGACACAGGCTCAGGTGGTGCAGTTAAGGAGGTAGACGTGTGACCTTCGAGGAAGACGTGCAAACTCGGGTGTCCGAGATTTGTTGCTACTCTTGCTCGTCGAGCCGCAGACAAATGGCATCACAGGCCGTGTAGGAAGCGCAGGTGCCTGCGCGAAGGCTTCAGCTCCCAGAAACCAACTGGTGGAGTAAGACTGCTATATCGTGGCTGGCCAGCCGGAGGCTCGGATGTTATCACACGACACCATTGCTTCTTGATGAAGGCCACTCCAATGAGGTCCAACGACATAGCATACTACAGGCCCAGGCAGAAGTGTCTACAAGATCATTTCCAGCTTTAAGAAGGCTCCTGCGACTGACCCGACAAAGACCAGGCACTGGTAGGCCGCCAATCACACCGCGACTCAAGCATCCTGCTTCCTGCTTGGCATAAGCGCGTTGGTATACCCGTCAAAGGTTGGCTGCAGTGGCATATGTTCACTGGCATTGCCGCTCCATCAACATCCTTGCAGGCGAAAACTGGAAGCAGCCCTGCTGGCGAGAGACAGGAGCTCCATGGACCATCCCCTGCAAAGCAGTTCAGCTCGCTCCACGTTTGCGTCTTCCGAAAATCACGTGCAAAGACTGCTGAGATTCAAGGGGGGGGGGAATCTTGTTTGATGTCTGGCTTTTGAGAGACAAACTCCTGAAGGCTAGAGCCAAAGTTCCAGAAGGAAACCAACAGTTCTGCTACCTCCGACAAATAAATTTTTAAAGCTCATGTTAAAAGGGAACTCGCGTCAGAGTTTGGGGAGCCTGCTTTGGGGCTTGTGTGGGCTGGGGGGGGGGGGATTGGGCCATGGTGTTTGATGGGATTTTTGCATTGGGAGGGTGCAAGCCTTGGCCAGGATGGGGTCTATTCAGCTTTTGAATTCAGCCAGCTGAAAACGAGATGGCCTTCATTTTTCCGCTAGGGTTTCCTGCGGCTCTAACTGAATTGGTGAATTGGCAGATCGATGGTTTGGATTTGGAATGGACCCCGTGGCTCTTGTTTTGGGTATGCGGGCAACCGCCACTTAAGCTCCAAACAAGCAACCCAACCCTTCGCCGAAACAGGTGTCCCTAATTCCTTCCAAAGGCAGCATGTCACTTTTGCCCTTGTGGTGGGTTGTTTTCCGCGGAAACGTTGGGAGCCCTGCTGAAGGAAAACCGAACTGAGGGCAGCAGCGGGCCGATGCGCCTTGAGCCAACTAGCCCCTGGACCGCCGCGCCGGTCACGGCCATCGTGCGGCAATACGTGGGAGGAGAAGGCCGGCCTGGGTGCGAGGTTATGGGCCGACCCACTTCTGTGATACTTAAATGGTCTGGGACTTAGCTAGTTGGTTAGTAACCCTACGTAGTTGCAGGACTTGTAACCATTGTACGTGGGTTACAACCAGTCCTTTAGCGAACTCCCAGACCATCCAACAACCCCTCCCTTCATTCGGCAAATCGACATGTGGACGGCCTTCCATTGCATCACCACGGCTCCCAAACTCAGTCCGACCGACACCCTCCGGCGCGACCTTTGGAAGGAACTGGGTCAACGCCCGCATGGCTCGGCTCCCGCGCTAGGGCAAGGACCGTTTCCCTTTATATCCTGGGGCTTGCCCAAAAACCACTGTTTCCCTGCCACATTTTTGCCGTGGGTGAAAGACCAAGCCATGTTGAAACAAGTTTAAATCATGTGTTAAAACAACCAGGAGTGGGTTGTTTAAGCAAACTTTGCCAAGCCCTGGTCCGGAACCCACTTTCTCACCTTTCAAATTCCGACGTTCGACCTGTTGGCCAGTACGGAAAGGTAGTGGGAGAAGGCCAATCTGGCTACGGTTTTAAATATGGGAAATCCTCAAACATGTTCGTGGGTTGAGTAATTTCCGCTGTTTGATGTCCACCCAAAGGTTCCTCAATCAACATCCACACCAGTTTCAGTTGTTTCAACCAGACCTTTGGACCTTTGCGGTTTTCACATTTCGGGATTTGTGGACAAGCACGATCATCGTCTTGTTCAGGTCCTGCTCTTAGACTTATTTTCTGCCGGCATTCATCTTTGAAATCCAGCCCGAGCGCGTAAATTAATGTAATCACCGGATTGGCTGTTGACGGACCATAGTCGAGCTGTCTTGGTTGTTCCTCCTTTAGTGGTTTGAACACCGAAATAATCTGCTGCTCAGATGGACAGATACTTTGTGTCTTAAACGTTTCCAGCACTCGCCTCCTCATAGCAGGTTGGCTGGATAGCGTCTGGCAAAGATGAAAGCAAACCCAAGGACCTGCTTACTCCCCTTCAAATTCGCTTGGAACCCACAAAAGGGGCGCCCCAAAAACTGCTGAGTTGCATGTTAATCTGCAGGAAAGTGCACCACCGAGACGTGTGCGTGTGTGTGTGCGCGCGCAATGGCTTAGAACAGGCATTTCTCTTATCTATTTTGGCAAACAACTCCCATGAAAAGCATGGGGGATGGCATGCGGGGAGCACAAGATTGGATGAATCAGGAGGTCCTCTTCCAGTTTGCCTGGGATGCATCGTTTGCTTTCCTCTCTGAGCTTTCAGCCTTCAAACTGAGCGCGCATATTGTCCCTGCTGTGTCTGAGCTTCACCTTGCTAAAAGCCTATGAAGGCCGGAAGCCCCGAGGCAGCAACAAATCCCAAACAAACTTAGGCGCGGCACCCTTTGAGTACTCGACAGAGTCCTTGCCTACGACGTCGTGCGCGGAGCTTCTTGCTTTCCACGTTTGAGTGATTTGCGTGCGTTGCGTGTAGAATGAACATGTACAGTGCGGCACCTTGCCTGCCAATTTGGAAGCATTCCGGTGTTCGTGTTCCACCAAATCCCCCCCAAAAAAACAACACGCAAGCCGGTTGTGTTAGCTTGTTTCATTTCTGGAGTCGGAGCGCAGTGTGAGTGACTGATGGTGTGAGTGACTGATGGTGTCCCTGATGAGGGTGGCCGATGGCACGAAATGGGTAGCTCGGGACTGGTTGATGTTGGTTGTCAGTTGTTCGACTGTTGCTCGTCTATCGGTCTTCTTTGCACTGCATCTCTGACAAGCGCGTGACATGTGAGAGCCCTTCGAGAATTTTCCTCTTGATAGTGTGCGTGTGCGCGTGGGCGCACGCTGCGTGCGCGTTCGCGTGTGTGCCTGTGTGTGTGTGTGTGTGTGTGTGTGTGTACGTGTGTGTCGGGTGTGTGGGTGTGGGTTTCATCTGACATGAGCTAGGGGTGGGGGGCTAGCAAAATCCTTGGTATCGGGTCATGAGCAGGGACTATGCAGTAATACATTTGCTCAGCCAGGCGTCGACAGCAGACCAAATTTCCACGTCGGGTTGGTGGCTGGGTCGTTGAGTCGGTGGGTTGGGCTGGGAGAGCGCCGGCTCCTCGCTCAGGCGAGACGCTGCTCAGGGCAGCAGTTGGTGGCGACGCGGAAGCGGTTCTGAGATTGCTGGAGAGTCCACAAGACCCAGACGCCTGGGCGAAAAGACTGGGTGCAACATGCTGGGTTCTGGGAAAGTGTGTCAAAATAGGTAGACGCCAAAGCGGTGATACTTTAGAGCCTCCGGCTCAGTCCGCCGACATTGGCATCTAGCTTGTCTCCTTCTTCCTCTCGCCCGTGTCCCCCTAGTATGCTCTTCTGTCCTCTCTGGTTCCCCCATCCTCCCTGACACGCCGAGCAATGTCGGCGGAGTGTTGAGTGCCACCAAGAGGGTGCTCCCAAAAAGGGCGCCGAACCATGCCTCCAAGTAAAATGTTGGGAAAGGGTGGCGACCAAACAGGGCGTACAATTGCGAACAGGAAGGCTCGCCGTTTAGGGCACCTTATAGTGCTGGGTGGTATGTCATGGCCACTGCATGTCATTTTGGCGGGGTGCGCGGATAAGCTGATTTCTGAGGGGTGTTGAGGTTGCCCCTTGTACGGCATTCTTGCTTGCGAGAAGCGTGGCTTAGCATGGCCCAAGTATCCGACACGAAGGACATTGGGGGCGACACTTGGAAGGAAGCTGGGGTTGGGGAATTTGCCAGGACATTTGGGGGAAACTGGGGGGGAAATTGGGGGGAAGTCGGATGGAAATTGAAAGGAAAGTGGGAGGGAATTGGTGAGAAAGTAAGGCGCAATTTGCGGGGAAGCATTGGGGGAAATTAGGGGAAATTGGGGGAAATTGGTGCCAATTGTCAAGGAAATCGGAAAACACTATGTTTTTTTCAATGGTGTCAGCAAAGGAAAAACACCGAACACCGTGTGTCTCAAAGTTTTCCACAAAGGGCAGCGCAAAACCTCAGCCGGCAGAAAGAGGCGGCGGGAGGATTCGAGCCTGGGACCCCCGTTTCTCCAGACCCGCTCCCCGAAGACTACGTTTAGTGGAACGTCAGACACGCCGAACAATGTCGGCGGATTTTTTCCTTTAGTTTGCCCTTTACACAAACCCGAGAAGGTACCTCCAGAAGCGACCCCCTCCTCCCCACGGAGAGTTGTGCGTATTCCACATGTCTGTTTGTTTGGGCTCTGTGCGTGTTTTGAAGCTCCCGTATGCTACGGCCGATGGAAAATTGTATTCTGCCGGTTCGAAGCTCTAAAGCCAGCGCATGTACACACACACCATACAAGGAACACTTGGACACCTGCGTGGGGATGAAACAAACAGGAACATCGAAGCTTTGGACGAACGAGACGGTCCTTTTCCAGAGTCTGTATGTTTTCGCTTGTTCGTGCGCAGATGTAGAGCTTTCATGCGGAACGCCATCGTTTTGCCCCATGTTTGGAGTTTCCAGTCATGATGGTTGGCAGGCATGGGGCTCAGGGAAGATTAAGCTCGAAGCTTGGTCCTTCATGTTTTTTATTCCGATGGGAAATTGGACAATGGTAAGCATTCCTTGACCACGGCGCAAAAGGAGTTTTGACCATGGCACGCATGGAAGTTGCGCATTTCGCGAAGGACATGTGGCATTTGTATTTTGATAAACTAACTTGTTGAAAGGGATTCCAGATCTGAACTCTGCGCAACGGGTTGAAATTGGCATCATCCTGTGAGAATGGACTAGTGCCCAGTCTTCCTCCATGGGCCACGTGGCTAACGGGCGCAGCGAGTCATGTCAAAACCGCTGCGTGATGTACATGTGTTTGTCTCAAAATAGGGGACCCGGGGACCCCCAAAATCGTTTTTTGTTTTTTGCTTTCCCTTTAAAGCCACCGTGAAAAGGGGGTTCCCTCAAAAACTGGGGTCATTATTTTGACGATTTCTGAGGGTTATCAAAGTCAGAAAATGGTGTTGTTTCCACCAAGGGACCGCAGGTTTTAGTCATTGTTTCCCTTCATTTACCGGGTGCCATTTTGGGTACCTATTTGTGACCCACAGCCACATGCCGTTTTTCCTGCCCGGCTCAGTCTCAGGACAGCGCGCGGCGCTGCAGCGGCCGCGGTGCCGTGCACTCGGCCGCGGCCAGCGGGCACCCAGAGGTGGTCCAGCTGTTGCTGCAGGCCCCGGGGGCGATGGTCGATGGTCCAAGGGCTTCGAGGGGTCTGACAAGGTGGGTGGCTTTAAAGGGACACAAGGGAAACCAGGCGTGTTTTTTTTCTTCTTTGTCTTTCTCCTTTGTAGTTTCTCCTTTTTTTTTGCGGTTTTACCACCTTTAAAGGTTGGAGCTGATGTGGACCCCATATTCATCAACCAACCCAGTTATCAACCAACCCAGTTCATAACTAGACTGGGGTTGATTAATATGGGGTTAACAGGACCTCCAAGGGGTTCTCTGAAATGGTTCAGATGGGGTGACCCCTTTTCCCAGAAAAATCCACGCCGAGGCAGCAGTGATGGATGAAACCCTGTCCTGTTGCCCGCGGAGGGCACGATCGGAAGTCTGTTCGAACCCTTCTTCGATGTTTGTGTGACAAGACCCGGTAAGTTGGTAGGTAGTCTCTCCCACTATTCAGGGTTGCGCCCACCAGCCCAGGCCTAATTCCTGCCATTCCCATGTGTTGGGCATGTTTTATGGGAGGGGGGTTAGGGCAACACGTAGGGTTCGCTTTACGGCTGTATGCCGTGTTGCAAGAGGCGCCCCACCCTTGTTTGTTAGCTGTCAAACAAGAAGAAATATTTGGCATGGGTAGAAGCTATTGACAGGGACTCTGGAATCCATCAGTTTCGCATTCCTCGTGTATCAACAGGACAGGGAAAGCGCCGGGCAAGCACAGTTTCCATTTCAGAACAGTTGGGCCTAGTTTTGTGTTGAGGCTCGGCCTTTGCAGGTTGGTTTGCAAGGGAAGCCAAATTCGCCCCGCCGTTGTTTGGGTCCCCATTTTTGCCCCATTCCCGTTTTTGGTTCTACCAGGGAGGCCAAAAAAAAGTCAGCCCGCCGATTGTGGGCGCCAAGCCCCGAGGCAGGGGCCGAGAAGCACAAGGCCGATGCCGATGGGCTCACGGCGATGCATTTGGCCGCCTTGATGGGTCAGCGGAGCGTCATCGAGGTGTTGTGCCACGCAGGCTGTGACATGGACCAGGTGAACAGGTGGGGTTGGGCCAAACAGGCGTATCAAGGAAAGCCGAAAGGGAAAAGCAGCAATGGGAGATTCCTATGTTGAAACCGGCTGGGCAACTGGAGTATTGGTTACCAGGCAGTTCAACGGGACACTCACATGAGGATGGCGCACGGACGGTCCCAGCAATCCGGTTCCTTAGCTTTTTAGTTTTTTTAAAGTTGTTTTAGTGGCAGTTTCCGTATGTAAGTCACACAAAGTTCGTCACTTCTTGCCGGGGATCGGATCTGCGGACAGCCCAGTTTTCGGCCGAGCGGCCCTTGGCAGGTACGGGCGCACGGCCCTGCATTTTGCTGCCCTGCAATCGCGGGAGGAGGTGTTGAGCTGCTTGCTCGAGGCAAAAGCGGACAAGGCTTGGTGGCTTGGGAGCTCGGGGGCCGCAGCCGGGACCAAATTGCGGGTTCAACCGGCGAATCCTCCGGTTCAACTTAATTAGGTCTTTGGTGGTGTTTTGCGGGTGTAAGTGGTTGGGTGTCCGAATTTAACCCGTAAGTTCAGGTTTTAGGGGATCTATGAGTTTATCTTATTGTTCAGGAATAGTGGGGGTTTCAGGAATAGTGGGGGTTTCCATTTAAGCCACCAAACTTTTAGTGCGACTTTGATCCTTGAATTTTCTCATGGACATGTGTTTGTCTCAAACACCTCTTTGTCGATCCACAGTGGCTGCGTAATACTGTGTGTAGCATGGAGTAGCCTCTTCAGCACGCAAACATGCACGCCTGCACGCGCGCATGCGCACGCACGCATGCTCAAGCGCGCACGCGCTAGGGGTGGGTGGGTGAGTGGGTGGGTGAGTGGGTGGGTGTGAGGGGTGGGAGGGGTGGGAGGGGTGGCTGGGTGCTGAGTGGGTGAGCAACCCCGCAGCGCAGCTGGTGATGGCGAAGTGCTGGGATATAGTGACCCCTGCAGAAAGACTCTCAGGACAAGTGTGATGACGAGGGGCGTTCGCCCATGCACGTGGCGGCTTTGGCCGGTGCAGAAGGAGTGGTACGACTGCTGCTGGAGGCCAAAGGTGATCCGGACAAGACCGGCAACCCAGCTGTATTTGGGGTCTCCTCCACAACTTCATAATTTGGGGTAGACTCTAAATGAAACAGCTTCCGAAAGTATTTCTGGAGCACCAATGATGTGGGCCAAGGTATGGGTATGTGTCAAAACCGGGGTCTGTTGAAACCACCCAATGTAAAAGCAACAAGACGAAATCTCCAGGGCAACAAGCACTAGGGGTTGGAATCTGCCATATGGAGGGTCTAAAGTTGTCCCTCAGCCCCCAGCCAAAGGCAAAGACGGGCGCACGGCGCTACATGCGACGGCCCTCGCCGGCCTGCTGGAGATCGTGAAATGCTTGCTGGAGGGCAAGGCGGACAAAGACAGGCCATACAAGAGCCCAGTAGATTTCAGAGAATAGATGGCCCTGGTTGACCTGGTTGTTTCATCATTTATCAGGGCCTTCCATTTCCCCAAAAGGACACCTGTGTAACAGGCGGACGGTCAGGGAAGGGTCACAACACGTTAATCTTTTATCTGTAGGTCCTTTGGGCAAATTGAAGCTAAGTGGGGAGAGGTAGCTGTTTAAGGGCATGGGTATTTGTGTAAGGGGTTGGGTTTCTTTTTGTTCTTTCTCAGACCTCCCTGCAGAGGAGTGATGTTCAGGGACGCAGCCCTTTGCACTTGGCGACTGTTACTGGCCGCGAAGATGTCGTGAGATGCCTGCTGGCTGCTGATGTTGACAAGGACAAGGCCGACAAGGCCAGCGTGCCCCAAAACCGGCCGTAACATGTTTCCAAGATGCTTAGCTCCACCCCTCAAATGTAAAACCGGGGAACCGCAAGACCCATAGTTTCCCTTAAGATCCCGTTGTATAGTTTCTCATCTCTTTAAAACAATTTACTTGGGTACGCGTTAAACAACACACCCATAACATACTCCTTGGGTCCCTGTTTGTGTTTCTTGGTAACCCTTTGGGTTGCTTTGGCGGACACCTGAAAGAAAAGCCGTCCAGTTTCGGGAGTCCCCCTTGGACGACATCAGCATGTCGTTTTGGAGTTGCCACCTGGTTTTGGATGGGGTTCAAAAGGAAACCAAGAGAGGAAGACCGTTGCGCCTTCTTTTTGTTTTGTTTTTTGGGGGGGTTCCAGCCTTAAAGACGAGCGGCCCACACGGGTGTGTCTTAAAATACGGGCTTCCGCAAACTGCTGGGTTTCTTTTGGCTCTCTAAAGCAACCCAAGACAGGGGCCTTCCGAAACGTGCCCACTTACCTTCGAGCCACAGATGTCCGCGCCTCCGCCAGGAGGGGCGCGCGCCTCTGCATCTGGCGGCTTTGGCCGGCCATGTGAGCGTCCTGAGGCCTTTGCTGCAGGCTGGAGCTGACCAGGACAGCAAGCCGAATGCGTCCGACGTGTCGTTCCCAATTCGGCCCGCACGGGCAACCCCGAATTCCTCATATCAGGCAGTGGGTTGGTCAGATTTTTCCAGGTTCTGGACAATCGCAAGCCACTGGAACATTTTTCCGGGCTTTCTTGGTTACTCACAACGGAACAGGTCGAGTGTGTCTTGTTTTGGGGACCCCCCCCCCCTTTCCTTGTTTGGTTCTCAAAACAAACCCCTTCCCAAAAAGAACCAACCTGGGGTGTGTAGTTCTTGGTTCTTTGTTGCACCTTTGATATGTTTTCACCTTTGGGCAATACTTTCCCAACCAGCACTAGATTTAACCTTTTTGGGGGATCGACCAACCTAGAAGTTTCTCTTGAGGACAAGATGGATCATTACGGCCGCACGCCACTGCACGCTGCTGCCCTGAGGGGCAACGAGAAGGTCATGCGCCACTTAATGGACGCAGGCCTTTGCAAAAGTACCGCTTCGGTCATAAGGCACATTGGTGTGTGCATGTGTGTTTGTGTATTATTCTTTGCGTATTTGTGTGTTTGTTTGTTTGTTTGTTTGCTTGCTTGCTTGCTTGCTTGCTGGTTGGTTGGTTGGTTGGTTGGTTGGTTGGTTGGTTGGTTGGTTGGTGGGTTGGTGGGTTGGTGGGTTGGTTTTTCGGTTGGTTGCTTGGTTGGTTTTTCGGTTGGTTGGTTGGTTTGGTTTTGTTTTGTTTGGTTTGGTTTGGTTTGGTTTGGTTTGCTTGGTTTGGTTTGGTTTGGTTTGGTTTGGTTTGGTTTGGTTTGGTTTGGTTTGCTTGGTTGGTTGGTTGGTTGGTTTGTGCGTGCGTGCGTGCGTGTGCATGTTTGTGTGTTTGTTTGTGTCTTTTCACGTTTGTGTCCGCGCTTGTGCGCTTGCGCGTGCGTGTGCATGTGGGTGTGCGCGCGTGTACATCTGTGTTTGTGTGTTTGTGTGTTGGTGCGTTTGTGTGCGCATTTGTGCGCTTGCGCGTGCGTGTGCATGTGGGTGTGCGCGCGCGTGTGTGTGCGTGTGTATGTGTGTTTGCTTGTTTTGATTGTTTGTTTGTTTGTTTGTCTGTGCGTTTGTGCGCGTGTGCTATTTCAGGTCGGTTTAAAGGAAAAACCAAAGGACAAGCCTCTGCTTGGGGTACCCTATTACCCTGGCAAATTTCCGCAACGGAGATTCCACCATGAGGATTTCTTGGTTCCATGTCCAGGGAGTGTGAGGTTTGGTCAACGTAGCCTGACGTGACTATGGGGGGTCTGCCTAAATGTCCAAGAGAAGCCAAGGTGCGAAGGGATTGAGACCTGTGAGCGTGGGACCGACTTTGTTGGTATCTGAAGAAAACCGAAGCCAAGCATTTGAGGAGGGTCTCAAGACTCCTTGCCATGTCAAATTTCCTCTGGTTCGCCGGTGCCCATGCGCGCCTGTCAGGCGCCGACATGGACAAGGCCTGCAATGACAGGCGGACGCCTTTGTGCATGGCTGTCCTGCAAGGCCACGAAGACCTGGTGCGGTTTCTGCTCGAAAACGGCGCCTGCCTGGACATGGCCGACACACAAGGGCAGGCTGCTTTGCATTTCGCTGCCTGCAGAGGCCGCGTGGGAGCTGTTAGAGCATTGCTGGATGCGAAAGCTGACAAGAACAAGGGCGACAACATGGGGCGAACACCTTTACACTTATCCGCCTACAAAGGTAATGAGGGAGTAGTACAGTGCTTGCTGCAAGAAGGAGCTGATAGGGACAAGGCCAACGACCAGGGACGCACACCATTGCACTTCGCAGCCTTGAATGGCCATGCGGATGTTGTCCGTTGCTTGCTGGCAGCGGGCGCGGGTAAGGACTCAGCAGACAATGCTGGGAACACAGCTTTGCATGCAGCTGCCTTGAAGGACCACGAGCAGGTTGTGCAGTGCCTGTTGCTTGGTTTGCAATGGGGTTGTAGACCCGTCAATTGCGCCAGCTTTCATAACAAAAAAAATCCACCTCTCCTTGTTTGCTCGCGGATCGCATTTCAAATGCGTTGGGGACGGAACTAGGAAACCAAACTATTGTCGGGGTTCACCATAAGCAAGTTGCCGAGGCCAAGCAGGCAGGGATTTCCGAGGCCACTAAGATTCTCGAACGACTCTTGCGCTCTTCAGGCAGATGGGTGCGTGCTTCTTTTTTCCCCGCGGCACACCACTTCTTGGGTGGTGTCCAAATAAAGGGAAGCCAAAAGGAAACAACAAATGGCTGTGGGTCAAAGCTAATGGAACCATTTTGGGGTAGGCGCACCACCCATTTTAGAACCCATTTTCGCGGGGATTGGGATGTTCACTGGGGGCTAACCGATTTGGATTTTGAGAAGCCCATGGCCACATCGACGTTTGCACGAAGGACCCGTGGCGCGGCGACTGAGTCTCCCGATTTGGGGTCCGTAACCGCTCGAACTCCGAGGCTGGTGGCTGGCAAGGACCTCGCCAACAAGGAGGGGCTCGTGAAGGGGAGTCCGGAAGAAAGGGATCCACCAGTTGGATGTTTTTTTTTTGGGGGGTTTTGTTTTGTTCTCGCTTTTTTTTTCCTCTCGTTTTCTTCTTCTTTTTTTCGGAGTCATTACTTGCCACCAGATGGTTTGTCTTGGTTTGTGTGGGTCATTACAATTCTGCTTCCCTGAGCGCCAGCAAGTTCAGGAGGCGGATTCCCTGGCTGGTTTTTGTTGGGCGACTTGAAAGGACTACGCGGCTTCGCTTTCCAGCCCTGGCAGAGAAAATGCTAAAAAGAACATGTTCAATTCTTACCGTTTTTACCGCGCAGGTGAGGGACCCGGCAGGGATCGAGCCCGCGACCCTGCTCTGTCGCGTAAACCACACACCAGCTCGCAAGCAACAAAAGCAACAAATCTCGCGCGGGACGGCAGCGAGAGTGGTTTGACAAGCACGATCCACGCAGAGGGTTGCTCCGGGATCGGAAATTCGCATAAAGCCCTCAGCGTTTTGCACATCGATTTGGGGCGCCGTTGTTTCGAGACAAACAGCTTCAACCGCGCCGCGGTTCAAACCTCGCTGGTTGCGTTTTGCGTGGCTCATCAACCCCTTTGGCTGAGACGAGTTCAAGGATTTCTATCAGGGACTCAGGGAACCATGATCACGGCCCAGGTGTTTGGAGCATGACAATTGTGCGTTTGTCTCTTTTTGAGGCTACCCCTGATTTCTTGTTTTTAAAAGGGAACCACAAGGAACAGCGCCATGTTTGGGGGTCCGAAAGGGTACGTTGAAGAAACTGTCAATTCCACTGGTGGCAGTTGACACATTTTGCGAGCTCAAACAAAGGCTCTTGGACGGTTGTTTTTGGGTACGCCCTTTTGGGGTTGTTGTGAGGGGGAACCAAAAGCAAACCAGTTCCCGAATTTGACACACACACACACAGACACGCGCAGACACCCATTTGTCCGCGCGTTTGTCTATCAGGAAATCCACGAACCCGTGTTTCTCAATATCGCCCCCGAAGATGGTTGGTTTCCTTTCAGCTTTCCTTTACCAACCAAAAGGGGGTCCACTATTTGGCGAAACCAGCACGTCAAGTGACCCAGTAACCCTTAGTTGGTACTTGTATTGGTTGGACATTTGAACCCCTTGACTGCGTAGAGGGCAAATGAGACCCACCCCCTACATCCAAACCAATCCCACCCACCAGCTAGAGTCAAGTTGACTTTGGTGCATTTTGCTTGGATGTTAGGACTTTATAACTGTTTGCCAACTCATGGGTTTTCCGTATTAAACCGCTAAAAGTTACACTTGAGGAAACTAAACCAAGAACTTTTCCATTAAACTAAACCACTGTTTTTCCCTTAAACCGCAGGGGAGCAGAAGGCAACCAAGAAGTGAAGGACGGGCGCACGGCCATGCACGCAGCTGCCGCCAATGACTCCCAACGAGTCCTCAGCGTTCTGCTGGCGGCGCGGGCCGGCCTGGAAGGCGACAAGGACGGGCTGACGCCTCTGCACTTTGCCTCCTTGAAGCTTGGCCAAGGCAGAAATCCAATCTTCTTGCCCATGACTCGCTTGGAATGTATTGTGTCCGGTTTTAGAGACTATTTTGTTTTGGTGGTTCTGCTGGAATCCGGTGTTTTTCAAACTCCCAGGGCTGTTTTGTTTTTGTATTTTTTTTTCTAGGGGTTGGTTGGTTGGTTGGTTTGGTTTGGTTTGGTTTGGTTTGGTTTAGTTTGGTTTGCTTTGCTTTGGTTTGGTTTGGTTTGGTTTGGTTTGGTTTGGTTTGCTTGGTTGGTTGGTTGGTTGGTTGGTTGGTTGCGTGGTTGCGTTGTTGCGTTGTTGCGTTGTTGCTTGGTTGCTTGGTTGCTTGGTTGCTTGGTTGCTTGGTTGCTTGGTTGCTTGGTTGCTTGGCTGCTTGGTTGCTTGGTTGACTTAAACTTAGGGCTTGTCTAGAAAGGGGTGCCGTCAAAAGGAAGGGCCTCTATATTGCTCCTTTTTGACACATTTAAGGTGAGTGTTTTCCGCGAAGCACGGAAGTGGTCGGTGGACCAGCGCTTACTGCATATATGATGTCCACCAAAGGGCCCCAGCTGGAAACTCAATCCGCTTATCAAGCGGCTTATCATTCAAGCGGCTTTTGATTCATACCCAACTTGCGCATGTTGATTAATTGTGCCTAAAGGAACATGAAACGGTATGGATGTTTTTTTTTTTTTTTGTTTTATTCACCCTTATTCAGCACCTCAGAACGTTTGACCTGGCAATAAGCAAGATCCTTGAGTTACCATGGGTATTTGGCTTGGTCGCTTCTCCAGTTTGCACAGCCCAGCCCGGCGTCCTCGATTCCCTCAACATAGCAAGAGGCCGAGGAAAACCCAAAAGCAAAGCATGGCTTGTGGTTGGTTTACTTGAAGCTCAGTGAATCAGTTCAAATGGTTTAGTGAAGACCCTCTCCATTCGTGAGGTAGACTGCCTTTCAAACGAGTTCACCATTCTCCTCTGCACGGAGCACCAAAGCGATGCTAGTAATGATAGTCAATGAGCCTGAATGTGTCTGCATGATCGAGGACTATGTTGTTGCTTGCGCACTCCGGCCCCGTATGCGGGAATAGGTGTAGTTGATCTCGAAACATATTATGTTTCAATTGGGTTCACCAACAACAAACAAATAAACAACAAATGAAAAACTCAATAGATTCATAAATAGATAAGTACATGTATAAAATAGATGGATAAATGATGCGTAAAATCAATAAATAGATAAATGCATCAAACAACATGCGATATGCATATATATATATATATATACACAATAAGATGAATTAAGTTTCGAAAACACAAAGAAAACCACTAACCACACAAACAAACACAAACAAATCAGAACATGATTAAACAACACACACACGCACAATATGCACGAACAAAGCAGGCATCTATAACAAAACAACTTAAACCGAACATACAAAACAAATACATGAAACATGGGCGGTGTCCTTTTGGCTTCCCTTTGAACCAACCCCAAACAAGATGAGCCGCCCAATTGCCTTTCACTTGGTGTTACTCGCCAAGGAATGGCCATGAGCAGGTCGTGCGTGCCCTGCTGAGGGCTGGCTGTGACAAGGACTTGGAGAACTTCCTGCGTGTACTTGTTTGTCCAATGAAGCATCCCGGCAACAACCATTAAGCGGGGCAACCGGGGTTGACTTAGAATATCCCGGTTATAGGCTACTTACAAAGTAGGCTGGCCATCCCAGATGGACGAACCGAAAAAAGTGTTGTGTGACCGATCTAGTTTGGCCACGAATCTAAGGGTAGCTTCCCCATTCTTTCCAGTGATCCTTCTTCTTAGAAAACCACAGAACACCATGGGAAACAGCTGGTCTTCGAAAACAACGATGGTTGAAAAGAATGGGGAGTCAACCCCTAGAACGAACCGAACTTTGAGGGGCGTTGCTTTCCAGCAGGAGAAGGCCACCCGCGACGGGAGCACGGCTTCGAGCCTGGCTGCTGCCAAAGGCCATCAGAACGTGGTGCTGTGCTTGGAAGGCACTCAGGTGGATCCGGAGCTGTGAGGCACATTTTCGGTTTCAAACGCAGCGGAACCGCGTTGCACTGCCCACGGGCATTGCGCAAGCTGACAGTCGCCCCTTGGAGAATGACCTGCGAGAACGCGGGGCCTGCTATTCGTTTGCGGAAGGGGCGTGTGCATAGCCACGGCGATGCAAAATAGTCAAAGTTTGGTATTTGCGCTGCTTATGAAGTACTTATAAGACTTATACTTTTGAGCCAAACAGTTGATAGACAACTTGGGAGTATCAAAATAGGGAGTGTCTCGTGGTGGCCATTCGGAGTAGCGGTAGGAGTAGTAGTTGCAGTAGCAGTAGCAGAAGGAGCAGTAGAAGTAGAAGTGGAAGCAGAAGCAGAAGTAGGGACAGAAGTCGAAGTACAAGAATAGTTGCAAGTTTAAGTATAGCTACACGCAGAGGCAGAGGTAGAGAGTTTTCAAAGTAGAATCATTGTTAGAAGTACAAGTAGAACTAGATGCAGAAGCAGAAGTAGAGACAGAAGTCGAAGTAGAAGAATAACTAGAATCACAAGTAGAACTAGACGCAGAAGCAGAAGTAGTAGTAGAAGTAGTAGTAGAAGTAGTAGCAGTAGTAGTAGTAGTCGTAGTAGCAGCAGTAGTAGTAGTAGTAGGAGTAGGAGTAGTGGTAGTGGTAGTAGTAGTGGTAGCAGTAGGGCGCTGGCGGTGCCGGCGCTGGCACTGGTCTGGTGCAGGTGGGGGTGGCAATGTTTAAGTGTTGGAGCTTCAAAGATGTAGTGGCATACGGGAGACTAGGACGTTTTTGTGCAAATGAGTTGTTTCACTTTTGTCTTCAACCCTTTCCAAACACCTTCCCCAGATTTCACTTTTGGAAAGTAACAGAATGTCTGACTACACCGGAGGTGTATTTTGGTTGGCCAGGCTTCGGGCAGGCAAAGGTTTTGAGCGGCAAGTTCACCAACCTCTACAAGCTCTCCTCGGCCGGGCGATGGGCCGTCACTCGTGGATTTGGGGTGCGAGGGGCACGAGTGGGTCGAGTGACCCATCTTTGGCCACCAGTTTTGTGTTGTATCTCTATCTTTTGCTCTTTTACGTTTCTGAATGATTCGAGCTCAGAGAGGACCATGACAATTCCCCCAACGTTGATTGCCCGGTTGGCAGAAAGGGAAGGAAACTTGACAAGCACCAATCTCTGGGTGTGAGTGTGTGTGTGTGTGTTTTGTGGAGTAGACGATGCCTGACATGGTGCTCTTTGTTTTTTCGACAGCGGAGGTTCTGTCCCATTTCGTGAATCCAACAGGAACGAGCCCGTGCCTTGTCTTTGTCACACATATTTCCTGCCAGTCTTCAAATCAATGCAGCAGGTACAGGTACGGTCATCACTCGCATCGCTGATGTGCAGTGGCGACGCTTGTGTTTTCGCGGGTTTCAATAAGCACAAAAGGAATCTGGATAGATTTCAGCATGTATCAGCTTATTCAGTGCGACAAGCACTGGTAAAACGAGCTCGGGGATTCCGGGATTCCCTTTCTCAGGTTTTGAATGTTTGATTTTTTCTTCGCCGAAGTGTGATGCTCCTTTTGCCGGGAGCAAGAAGCATGGAAACCTTTCTGGAATGTATTGTGTCCGGTTTTAGAGACTATTTTGTTTTGATGGTTCTGCTGGAATCGGGTGTTTTTCAATTTCCTAGTTTGTTTTTGTTTTTTCTAGGGCTGGGTTGGTTGGTTGGTTGGTTGGTTGGTTGGTTGGTTGGTTGGTTGGTTGGTTGGTTGGTTGGCTTCCCGCATCCCCGGCATCCCCAGCCTCAATTGGCCCGGGAGTTGTGTATTGGCTCTGATTGGAAGGCACTTGGGAGTTGCTGGGGGCTGGTTTAGGTTAAGGGGGGTTTAGGCTGGCTTAGATCTTGATTTGGGTTGGTCTTGTTGTGGTTGGGGTTGATTTAGGGCTGACATCCAGGCTTCCGTTGGGCGGTTGACTTTGGGTGGACTTGGGGTTGGCTTGGAGCTGATTTGAATTGGGTGTGCTGCTGGAAAAAACGATGCGTTTAGGGTTGCTTTAAGAATGTTGCATGAGTTTTGGTCTCGTTTAGGATTGGTTTTAGAGCCAATAGGCAACCCCCGGCTAAGTCTGGCTGTTGATGCTGGGGATGTTGCCAGCCCTGCCGAAAACCAGCCCTAGGAAAAAACAGCCCTAGGATATTTTTTTAAGCACACCTCTACCGGTTCTGCTGTTTTCTACGCACGAATCCTCCATTTGCCTGAGGACATATATAGACTAGTTTTCTTCGCGGACCAATCCGGAGTTGCCTTCATGATTTTGTTGCACAGTCGTTTCCAGCGCTGAGTTGCCCAAAACCGTTGAGATATAATTGCGATGCCGAAGCAAAACGGAGTTGAACCTCCGGGGCCATGTCAGGACATGCATGGGTTGTCGCTCAGATGGCCATGGGTCAAAACCCTGTACCCCCAGTTAACATCCCAATCCCCACTTAAATAGACTAAAATGAGTAGTGCACCGACCCCAAAATGGTACCATTGGGGTGAGATCTGGTTCTGCTTGAATTGAGAGTGCACGTTCTTGTCCACTGCTGCGCATGCCAGGAGCAGCTCTCGAAACAAGACCACTACGACTTCGGCATGCGTGCTGTGAAGTCGGGCACTCCAGGAATAGAGCAGTCACATCAAGGTCCCCATGTGGATCTTCTGCCTCTCTCTGGTCCTCTCTCTCTCTCTCTCTCTGTCTCTGTCTCTCTCTCTCTCTCTGCCTCTCAGAGAATTTGCTGGGTTGCTTGAACGTCTGATAACCATTGTGCGGGTGACCTCACATTGTCGTGCCAACCAAATGCGTTTGACAAGGCCATGTGCCATATCTGCCATGGCATGACTGTTCGGAGCCAATCTTAGAGCACGTTTGTTGGAACACCACCGGGCCGATGTCGGCAACGCATCCATTCTGACCCCTGCCGGCGAGAGCTAGGCTGTTTGAGATCATCGGCCTGTTGCAGCTAGGTTGGTTCGGCGAGGCAGGTTGCCTTGTGTCGGCCAGAAAAGGAGAATTGTGTATCCGATCGTTGACATTGCGAATTAGAGAGTTTGCAGAGAGTAGGTTATATTTTCCAGCATGCAAGGCCCATTTCCCTTTCTCTCCCATCCTCCCGTTGCAAACACTCATGTTTGCCCATGTCTTTGGAAGCAACTCGTTTTTTACGGTTCCTGTGTGGTTGAGTTTTAGCTTCAGCCCTCTGAATATCTCTTCCGTTCTGCTGCTCAGTCGGTTTACGCACGCGGATGATGGTTGCGAGCTTCGAACTGATCGCCATTGACTTCAATATTTCGCCCACGCATTGTGCCCTTTCACCCTTTGTTGGGGGAGGGTTCCCCTACTAAAATAGACTACGGGAAAAAATCGGGAACCCTTATTCTAACCTCTACTGGAGGACCTAGGCACCACGCAAGCCCAAATGAACTTGATGCAAAGCGCGTGCCGAGCCGTCGGGCTTGAGGTCTGTGCTAGTCATGGCGGGCAGTCTGAAGCGCGCCGATCCCAACGAGGCCGCTTGCGCAAGCGCCCCTATGGTGTTTTCCCCCCAAAACCACCTTTTAAGCATGGTTCAGGGCTCGTGTGAGGTAACAAGAAGTTGTTACGCCGTGCATCTTTCTGTATTTCTTGAGTCATCTTCGCACATCCTTTCACGTTCATTTCATTTGGGACCTTGGTTAGGTTTTGCGCTTGCGCCCAGGCATGCAGCATGAAACCTGGGCCACTTTCCAGTTTTAGCTCGATCTGCAGGTTCGACAAGCACGAGTCCTTGGGTAGCTGAACTTCTCTCCATATTCTATTGGCTGGATACATGCATCTGGCGATAGCAGGGTTGAAATGCCAGGTGCGAGTGCCATATAATGGTTTTGTGATTTAGAAGGAGTTACTTAGCCGGGAGGAGTTCTTTTTGGAGGCCATTTATGTGGACACTCAACACCATCTTGGGCAGATGTCTCAAATGGGCGTTGGCTAGATGTTTACAGATTCTTAGCAGTCTCCCAAGGTCTGCCTATGGTTGACGTTGCTTCATTTGACATGACAGAACTGGAATGAGCAGCCTGGGAAAGTTCGATATTGCCAACCCCGCGGCAGCTGTTAAAGCAGCGGAGCCGAATGACATGTTGTCGTTTCTCCAATTGAGGCAGTCAGCGTTTCGGTTCCTGTTTGCTTTGTCTTTGAAGAATGTTCCTGGTTTTCCCCGAGTTTCTTCAAAGTTGACTTGTTCTACAACAACAAGTTTGTCTCAAGCTGTTTGGGTGGCCCACATGTTGAGACCGACCTACGTCGTGAGTGGGGATGTACTTGGGTCCGAAGAGGACGAGAACATTCTGCTGATCCGGGCCATGCGCGACTCCAACGCCGGGAGCTCGGATGTGAGCAGCCACATCCAGTGGGTTTCTCTGCCTGTTTCTGCTGGTTTTTTTGGGGGAGGGGAGGGATGGGAGGTGGTTTCCCTTTGAAGTCAACATGTTTTTTGGTCCGTGCGGCCAATCGCGATCACGCTGTCTGGTTTCCCTTTGAAGTCAACTAACGAACTCAGTGATCAAGTGTTTTCCTCCTTAGAGGGTGTTCCCTTTAACATCAGCAACCTGTTTCTTCCCGCTTTCTGCCAGGAAAGTTCAACTGTTTGTCGGCTTGCCCATTTTACGTGAGTTTACTCTTGGTACAATGCTAAGAAGCAAGGGCTGCGACGATGTAATAGGAAACCACCTCAACAATGGTTGACAGACATGAAACTCCGGCATGTCCACACCAAAGGGTTCCTACCCTCTCAGCAATTCATTAACGTGGAACCTGACAGGGGGGGTGCTGGAAGACCATTTTCCTTTTCAAGGGACCCTCTGTCAGGTTCCATGTGGTGGGAGGGTAATTCAAACTTGCACCCAAATCAGAGAGGAAATCTGGTTGAAGCTTGGGGGTCACTATTCCCGTGTCAGAATCCATGCTTTCAGGAAACCACGGCCCTGCCGGCTCGGGCGCAGGGGGTTCCGAAGTTCCGGCTCAACCACTGGCCTTTGGTTAGTGTCCTTGCTTTCTGCTTGGAAACCAAGGGCCCAGAAACAGACTTCAGTCACTTCAGAAGTTGTTGGTTCAAATGCCCCTTATGAGATCACGTCCTTGGTTCAATCCAAATATCGTTTCGGAGTTGGACAATCTCCAGGTGTGGCGCTCGGAGAAGTCTGATATTGCTGTGGATCTTTCGTTTGGCGGGCCTGCACGGCAAGAGCCTTTCGGTCACAGTCTCCACTTTTCTTTTCTTTTTGAGAAGAGATGACGAAAACAAGGAAGCGTTTGCCACGTGCTAGGAAAAAGCAAGAAGAAACAAACAAAACAGAACAACACATGCATTCCGCCTTGGCAACTCTCAACATTTAGTCAGCGTTTTTTTCCTCTGTCAACACACGAATGTATAGTCAATGATCCTTGTGCTCACTTCGGATTCCGACTTCCCGAGCAGCGCCGAGAAGTCTTTTTCAGGATGCAGGGTGGGCACATGAGCCACAAGCGCAAGCTGGGTAAGTGAAGGTAGCGACACTCCCAACCATAAATGGGGCTCATGTTTTCCGGAAAATCAAAGGGACAGAGCCACATTCACGACAGTCTCAAGGAGTGCGGATGTCCGTGGCTCAAGAACATGTACCAAAACGGCACCCTTGGCAAATGGAACCAAAGGCTAAGACCTGCTCTTTTGTTTTGAGCCACACCCATTTGGCTGTGGGTCAAAACCCAGGAAACCCCTGGTGAACATCAAAATCGGTGGCAAATGGATGTTCATTTGCCCCAAAAATGGAGCCATAGGTTATGCCCCATGGCCATTCAAAATTAAACAGAAGGGGTTACGCAGGGTTTGGTCCATGTGTCCAATTACCAGGTTCAATTTTGGTACCACTTTTTTCAGCCACACCCTTCTTCGGCGGTAGGTGCCAAAGTTCCTGTCGGATGACCTGCCCCTCTTCTTCGCCATCGTCAACGACCTCTTCCCAGGCATCGAGGTGCCGTACTACGACTACGGCCGGGGGCGCCAGACTGCTTGGCTCCAGATGGAAGTTTCCGGTTTCCCCTACGGGGCGGTTTCACCCTCTTTCCCCCCCCCCCCCCCCGAATTGGCAGTTTCGAAGAATAGACAATTTCGATAAAATGGGCGCCTCTCATTTAAAAAAAACGGCACAGCAAGCCAAGAACATGGCATCCCAAGAAAAACAAAAAGAAACAGAACCACGGCCGTTTGCCTCTGGTCTTGGCGTGGTCCCCGTGGACCTTTTTCCGAGTTGGAGTGCTTCTTGTGCCGGGCCTCGGGCCCCAGCCTGGCCGGCTTGGGGGGACACCCAGAAGTTGTCAAGAGATTGCTATGGGGTTGTTTCCCTTGAACCTACCACTTGGGGGTTGACATTGATGGTAAAGCTTGATTGCTGGGTCGGGATCTTTAGACTTTGAACTCTTCTTTTTTGGTGGAAATCAAGAGGGGTTTCCCGAATTGAACCCACGACAAGTGATTCGCTTTGTTGCGGAGGTAGTTGCGTTTTTGTTTTCTGTAATTTGCAGAGGGGTCCGTTTCAGCACCCAAGCTGTCAGAAACAAAACCGGTTTGAAGGCTTTTCACCGGAGCTTGGCCGAAGCCTCAGGCTGAGCCCCCACGCCGACTCGTCCGAGGCTCTCTGCAGGTTGAGATCGAGCGAGGCCTTCAGAAGCAGAGCTTGCAGGCGAGAGTTTGGGTCCATCTCCCCTGCTTTTGCTTCCATGTGCTGCAATGGCTGTGGGTGGTGAACATCAAAATAGGTATTACATGGGCTCTGCCACAAAATGGAGGCAGAGGTTATGACCCATGGCCAAACAAGCTTTGTTGGTTTTCCCCTGTTCATTGTAAAGGGAATCTATCACTACTGGACATATTTGTATTGTTTCTAGGAGACTTAAGCAAATGGAGGTCTAGATTCTAGATGTCGTGTGAGTGTGTGCGTTGTTAGTTTGCTGGTCGTGGTTCTCATGGTGTAGCGTGCCTTGTCTTTGTTTCCCTCTCTCTCTCTCTCTTTCTCTCTGTCTTGCACGAGTTTGGTTGCGGGGGTTGTTATCTGGTTTTTCGGTGAAGATCATGCCAGTGTAGACTAACAAGTTCGGACTTCTTTTTATTTGCGCCCAGAAGATGAGACATTTGGCAGTGACTGATGAGAGCCGACCTCCACGATTCATCATTTGGACCTTGCCTCAGCTACTCCTCATTCTATCACCGAGTAACGAAGGCAACCGCGTTGCTTTTTCCACTTCGACCTCCTCCCTGAACCTTCAGAGCACTCGCCTGTGCTTGTTGAGAGGAGGCCTTAATCTGGCACGACCCAGCATGAACAGAGAGGCCTTGATTGTTCATTGATTTCCCTTCTGGGTGTGTCTAACTGTTGTTCAGCTGTTGCTAAGCGCCATGGGATGGTGAAGCAACTCAATCATCAAGGGAACCCGGCCATCGATAATGCGCGTGGCCCTGAATACCCACCCGTGCATGCTCTGGCTAAAGGGCCTGAACAATTCAGCCCAAAAGGTTTGCAGCTCAAATTACCCAACCCCAAATCCCAAGCCAGGCGAACACGCATCAATGACTCAAGCCCTTCAGGTTATATAAGGGAGTCACTTAGACGACAGCATCTCTCAAGCCCTGGGAAAGGCAGGAATTTTGCAGCAGGTCCATCGGAGAAAAAGAGACATCTTGCCAAAGCATTGAAGGCTCTCTCTGGGAAAGGTCATTATATTGAGCATTTCTGGGGGTTAAAGTCAGAACTGGCTGGTGGTTTCCCTGAAACCTGCCACTTGGGGGTGACTTTGCTGGTCGAACAATGGGGCCGGATCCCTTTCCCATCCCCTTTGCCCTAAGTTCATCATTTTAAGCCATTTTGAGCATTGGGGGTTCACGCCAGAAACTCGCAGTTTGTCCCCTTTCCTCAAGGCTCACCTTGCGCCCTTCGCTTTCAACGATTCAACTGCAGCCCATCCCGCAGCCTTGTAACTTTTCGAGTGTCCAACTTGATGGGTCAAAATTTAACCACGAAAAACGCAGGTTTTAGTCCTTGGTTCCATCCAGGGCAACCCATTTTGCGGTTAGCCCATTTTTGACCCACAGCAAGTTGCCAACTGTCCATGGGTACCTTCAATTTCCATTCTTTCCAGGGATCCTTCTTTCTAGAAAACTTCCGGAAGCCCCAGGGAAAACGGATGTTTTTGAAAAGAACGATGGTTGAAAAGAATGGGGAATCAAGCCCTAGAAACTTGTCAGGTGCACGACAAGTTGGTCACCAAGACCATCCAACTCTTCGAGACCTTCATGGTCCGCTTCGGCGTCATGTTGGTGGGCCCCACCCTCGGTGGCAAGAGCGCCTGGCAGCCCAGTCGATCTAAAAGCATCGGTCGTGTTTTTTTTTTTTGGTGATATTTTTTGCTGAAATGAATAGGTTTTGATTGCCCATCTTGGCTTTAAAGGGTTTTAGTTTCAGTTTTGCTAGGAGGCTTAAGCAAATCGTGTAAAGCTTGGGGGGCGGGGGTGGTTTTGTATTTTTACTTCTGTCAGGCTTGAGGACATGGAGGTCTGTATATGCCTAATTTGTGCTAGGGGACCGGTCATGGATGTGCGCTTATTGGTTCCCTTGTAATGAGGTGCATTCTTAACCTTTTGGGTTTGGTGTGGCGCCCAAATACAGGTACCTCTTGCTCTGGTTGTTTAGTAGTGCGCACAAATCATGGCATCTGTTCAAACCGCGTGGTCTGTTTTGGAGACCAATTGAATGCTTTGCCCTCAGACGCAGATGGCCCAACCAACAGGCTTCAGACTGCAGCCGTGTGCAAAGGTCAACTCGCAAACTTACATTCCACAATCAGCTATTTCCTGTACTGCAGGGGCGGTGTGCCGTTTGTCCTGGCAGAGGAGACAATCCTTATTCATGATTTTCATCCATGCCATATCCGGGCAGTGACGAAGGCAAAAACAGGACATTGAACAGGAGTCAAAGAACTTAGAGCAATCGCAGTAATTAGTTCTTTCAAGCTAAACGATTTTGTTGAACCAGCATTGATTCGTAAATGTCTTCTTTTGATATGTTGCTTTTGTAGACTTGGAGTGGGTCGGGTATGTTGGTGGCCCCAAAGCTTCGGTTCTTGCCGTAAGGAGCTGTTCCTTGGCCCTCGTGGCAACCATAGGAACGACAGGTGTAGTTCCATACTGTGGATGGTTGCGAAATGCAGAGATCGCACCACTTTGAATGAAACCATGGGAGAAACCATAACCTTTGTTGGTATTTACAGGCGAATCAAATCATTCCAGGGATTCTCAGGTGGTGCGAAATGGATTTCGTCCATCCACAGTAGATACATGGGGATGGGTGAAAATTCAACCACCAGACCGCAGGGTTTAGTCCATGTGTCCATTTGCAAGGGTTCCATTTTGGGGAGTGGCAACGCAGTCATCTATCCTCCCTCCCACTAACATAGCACCTCTCGGAGGTTGATTAAGCAGTGTCTTGATCTGTTTCAGGATTCAGGCTGGGCACATGAGCCACAATCACAACATGGGTAAGTGAAGGCTAGTATGGGTATAACATTTTACTACAAGGTTTTGATTGCAACTCGTGTAAAGCTCCATACATTCATGGAGCGGCAACGCAGGCATTTTGGTCCTGACCCAAATGTTGCAAAACGTCACCGGCAGTTTTGCGAGGACCGCTCTTAAGTGTATGTGTCAAATTTGCGGCGGACCCAGAATGGAGGCTTTTCTTTTGGCCTTCTTTAAGTCAACCGCGAAAAGGGTACTCTCAAACATCACAGCCTCATGTTGGTGTCGTGTTGGCATGTTGCTTCCTTTTCCCACCAAAGAGAGCCTACGTTTGACAGACGGCCAAAACGCCGCGGGCACTGGAGCTTTCCGAAAAGACCAAAGTCTTCACACACAAGAGCTCTGAAAATCCCTGAATGATATATATTTTTAACATTGGGTACCTTAAGAATAGATGTCTTCATATTCGGTACCATACCCAGAAAAGCCGCACCCGGGTTCCCCATTTGGATCCGGAGCTCAGCACCTAAACCGCTGGATCCGGCCAGGTGGACTACAAGACCTTGGCGATTGCACTGGCCTCAGTTTTCCGAGAACGTCTTTGCTCACTCCCGATCGGGTTCCTGGAGCCTCAGTTTTTTTTGTGGGTTTGGACCGACTCCCTGAGTTCCTGCACTTTAAACTTGTTGGGAAGACCGTTTTAGCGGTATATACAAAGTGCGGTTCTTCTTTTTTGACCAATCCACTGGATCGGAATTGAGTCTGAGTGTGTTTCGCAGTGGCTTTTGTAGCCCAGGAGCATTTTTAGGGTTAGGGGGTTGCCTCTCTGTGAATGTTTCAACTGGGCAAATCCTGAATGTTCTCGGCTGCAGATTGCCGGTGAGAGCGATATTTTTTGTTTTTCACTTGATCCAACATGCTTTGATTGGGATGGGTCCGCGTGAAGGCGAGCTAGACACGACCCGAGCTCACATCAACCTGGGCTCTCCAAGCTTATTCAAGGGCTCTGCCCGGCACCAGCTGCGCTGGCTGCACAAGGAAAAACTTCCACCATATGGGTATGAATCTTAATTAGGGACCCTTTGGCGGACATCATTTAGCCCGGGGATTTGCGTCCAACCACTTTTCAGGGGCTGCCCCATTGCAATTCATAGCCATATTCTCAGGGTTTTGGCTGGGGCCTGTGGGAAGTTTGGCGGCTGGATGCGGTGTGCGTAGCGTGGGCCGCCTTCTCCCGCCTTATCCCGACAGTCCAGTCAGAGATCGACGCCCGCCAACCACTTTTGGCCGTCGTTAAATCGAGCTCGCCGACCCCCAGCTTCCAGAAGCGTGTGTGACTTGAGACCGAACCTGGAGTGGACACTGGCACCGGCCCCGGCGTGCCCCGCCGCCCAGCTAAATCCCGCCTGCCTAGACCCCAGCCCTGCATCACCAGCGCGGCCCAACGTCACACTTGAAACCTTTGTGCGAAAGTGATGACGATGATGATGGCGACGGCGCACATGTTTGTCCCCGGCATCACTAGCGAAGCTAGGCAAGAAAATGATTACGACGCCGACGATGCTGATAGTGACTCACATGATGTTGATCCACCTGAACCAAGCGTCGAAAACGAGCACGTCCTGGTACAGCTAAACACCGTTGATATTTGTTCCCAAAACTTGTCAGTTTGCATCCTCAGCACCACCAGCGGTCACATTTGAATTCTACAACAACAAATATGAGGACGAGGATGATGACAGTGATAGTGCAACATCCCCTGCATCCCCAGCACAGCCGCGCAGAGCAGAAAATGCATCCAGCTGAAAAAAACATGAGCACTCGGCGGATTGTTCTTTTAGGGTGGACTGGATTTGTTATTGTGAGTTGTTCGGCCAGCACTCAACTGGACATAGGATTGTGAACTGGGCTTGTCCAAAATGAGAGGCCCACTACAGAATGTTTTGTTTTTGTTGTCGTTTTTCTTTTTGCTGTTTCCATTCAACTCACCAAAAGCACGGGATCTGAGGACAGCCCAGAACAGCATAGGTTCTTTGTTGGCTTCTTTTCAACCAGCGCTGTATCAAAGGGCTCTAGCTGCATCCCTTCATGTCTGTTGGTAATCCGATGTGTCAGTTTCGGGCTAGTTTGAAGTGAAGTTCCTTTTGATGGGGTCATGTTCGCAGGGTAAATACAGACAGGTTTCCCCACAACAGTCACCAACGTTCTACCCTGCTAGGGTTATGGGTCGCAACCCCTGAAACCGAACAAATCGGGTTTTGTGACTTCACCAAGCCCAGTTGGTCGTTCTCAGAACGGTTCCCCATTGTTTAGCTTCCCCGTGGCTCCTTGGCTCTCCCCACCTTTCCTTTTCCAACACCAACATCTTGATTCTTGGATAGGTTGTTAGGAAAGGAATGCAATGTCCTCTCCCTACTCATCTCCCTTCGTTCGACTGTAAGCAAGCCAGTGTATGAAGATGAGATAGACATGACAGCAGGAACAAAGTGACGGAGGGAATGGACGCTCTCTTCCTTCCATTTCCTTCCCTAACTCATTGCACGGCATAGCCTGTCAATGGGAGTTAGAAGGAAGGGAAAAGAGATCGGGAGGAGGCACTTCTATGATTCGCTCTCCTCCTTTCCTCACTCTAGCATTCCTTCCTCATTACGCTCGGCGAGCGGGATGAGGGGAACGGATAGTGAGGATGCGAAAGGGAAGGGAGGTGAGCGCTTCCTTCCTCGCTTCGCTCGTCCATGTTGAATCTCTGGGCCTCGTGGAAGAATTGTGGCAATTCAGCGCCACAGAGACGAACCAGCAGCGACTCTGCAAGAGAAGGGATGCGGAAGGTGTTTCTGATGCTGGGATGAATAGGCAAGGAAAGGAATGCCATTTGGATAAGCCTGGATATGTTCCAGTCCTGGGTCAGCTGAAAGCTGCAAAGCACTGCTGGAGTAAGAGATGCTGTTTTTCTTCCTGAAATTCGGTTCCCCACTGAAACCTCCGTGTTTCGCGTCCTCTCGATCCAATGGCAAGCCCCTCACCTTCAGGAAGCGAGCTCTGGCTCCATTCTTAGTTCGCCGAGGCCCTCACGCAGCTCCGGGAGGACAACAGCCCGGACGAGCGGTTCCAGAAGACCAAGTACGTCTGCTTCAATCCCAAGGCCCTGGCTGCTCCAAACAAAAACTCTACTGGTGTACTCCCTGGGGCCCCTCCAACTGGCCATACTCCCTAGGTGGCTGTGGCTCAAAACAACTGAGAATCCCAAGGCCTTGGCTGTGGCGCCAAAGAAATATACTGGTTGTCTCCCTTGCACTGGCAATACTCCCTAGGTGGCTGTGGCTCAAACACTAGAATCCCCAAAGTGGCACCTTGGGGTGGATCCATCTTCCACTTAGGGCCCTCAGTTTTGATCATGGGAAAAACATGTCCCGATGGTTGGAATATCGTATCGTTGTAGTGGTTTCCTAACCAATGGTCATCCCATGTAAAGGACCTTTTGATCAACCCCCACCTTGGTAAGTGGAACCAAAGACTAAAACCTGCGTACCCCTAGCTATGTAGTTCTGAGACACGCACACTTCCCAAGTTCCTGGACTGTCCACTTGGGAAGACAACTTTGGCGGCCAATCCACTCATGTCGCCCTATTTCAGGCTTTGGGCCAGTGCTGAGCCGCGTGAAAAGGGTTGCATTTATTTGAGAGGGCCCTTTCTGAGACAGGGTTCTAGCATGCCCTCTTGTACACCAGGCTGCCGTGTTTGTCACGAACAAGACGGGTGGATCGACGTGAGAGGTGTTTGTTTGTTGCCCTTTTTTCAGTGTCCAACTTGACAATCCTGAGCTGTCAAAGGAGAGCTTACTTGTTTTGATCACAGGTGCGCCCTCCAAAGTGTGACTTGCATCCTATGTCATTTCGCTGCGTTCTCATGGGAGAGAAGATGCCGATGAGCATAGGCTTGCTATTAAACGTTTGTTTGACGCGGAGTAAAGGCCTCTTTCCATGTATTTGTGTGTGTGTGTGTGTCAAAATTAGGGGCACTTCTTGGTATCCCGACACCAGGGTCCAACAAGGGGCCATAGTTTTGACCACTCCCTATGGAACATGGGCTGTCAATGAGAAGCCGGGGTACCTGCAGCAACGTGGAGAAACGAACGCTAGGGCATCACCATGGGCGAGCTCTACGGTGAAAACAACGAGCTGACCCAGGCATGGCGGGAACAAAAATAAATAAAAAAGCACAGATTATGTGCGTCAAATTAGGGGGAGCCATTTGGCAGGGTTTCCGCGTTTCCAAGCCGGTTCCCTTCTTGGAACCTCTAGAAGTGGCAGTTTCAATGGACACCAAGCAAATCGATCAACTTTTGAAGGGGAAATCCAGTGACGCCTATTTTGTGGTTTACTTTTGGTTTCCCTTGAACAAAAGGATACCATCAAAGCAAATCACAGACTTGGGTGAGCATGCCATCGTTCATCACCCTTATGATCTACAAAGATCCATACAACATGGCAAAGTGCTAGTGGACGCCTAGTTTTGGTGCATGTTGAGAAGCAACTAAACCATTGAAGGATCGTGATTGTGGTAAGCGAGACAAAAACAATGCGCTATAAGCTTCTGGAGATGTCCAGGGTGATCAGCGCTCGATTGATTTTAGGTTTGCCATGCATAAGCTTCTGCTCCAGAAAGATGATGGGAACACTTCTTCGATTTCCATTGAACCTGGGAACACACCAGGGAACCTTTTGTGTTTCTTCGGAGGGCAGTCGTGCTTATTTGACACAGACATGAATTCCCGACCCCCTCAAGTTGTTGTTGCGCATTTGAGCTTGGTGCGAAGACTTGTACTGTGCAGATCAAGCATGTTTGTTTGCTGCGGGCTAGCGCCTTGGCCGTGATACAAACGTATCCTCTCGTTCTGAGTTTGAACGCTGGAGCATCGCGAGGAGTGGACTGATGGCCTGGGCAGCCGCATCATGCGCGGCTACCAAACCGAGGAGACGTTGAGCTGAGAGGTTGCCCCCGCAAAGCCCTCAGCTGTTCGGCGGGATCATTGAATTCATGAGCTTTCGGCCACTGGTTGCCTGTGACCATGTTGGGGTTCACATGACATGAACTCTGGCAGTGGACTTTTGGAGGTAGGCAGGGATGAGCTCCTGAGACGGCTCGAACTGCTACCCAAAGCGGAACATTATATATATATTATTTATTATTATCATGTTTTCTATAATAATAATAATAATTATTATTACTATTATTATTACTATTATTAGTACTATAATAATAAATTACTATTAGTATAAAAATAACAATAATAACAATTATTATTATTATTATTATTGGTATTATTGTTATTATTATTATTATTACTATTAATATTATTATTATTATTATTGTTGTTGTTGTTGTTATTATTATTATTTTATTATTTGTTTATTATATATATACACACGTATACATGTGTATGTGCATATATACGCATGTATATGTATATCTACATATATGTTTACGTATAAACATATATATACATATATGTCTTCGGTCCAGTTCACCATGTGGGTGGGGTGGAAACCCTCCATGGGCACCTGTCCAAGCATTCCGGTTGCGGGTTGCTCAAAGCCGCGTCAAACGGCCGCATTTTGATATGTAGCATTTGGATTTGTCTCCAAATTTTAGTTTCTGGTTGGTTTCTTTGTGAACCAACCCCAAAAGTGTACCCTCAAAAAAGACGCATCCAGTTGTGTTGGCACGGTTCAGATGTTGCATGCGTGCATCAACATGCAGTTTGGCCAATCCACCCAGAGGGGGCAGGCCATCTTTGCTTGTTCAGGGTGTGCAGGTTGACTAGCCACTTCAAAGAAAAACAGTTGGCCCATCACTTCAGGAGAGCTTGGACTACAAGTGGACGGTCTTCGATGGGCCAGTGGACGCCATTTGGATTGAGAATATGAACACGGTGCTGGATGACAACATGACGCTATGCCCGGGACTGAGCAAAGTGTTCGGAGGGGAAGTCTGATGGTTTCTCATCTGATGCCGCAAGTTCTTGGACGCATATCCCGACAGCTCCGTGGCTCAAAATTCCGGATTGGGGGAAGCGCAGATGTATGATGGGTAGATTTTCTCCGGGGGGGATTTTGGAGCAGCGTGATTCCAAGAATGATGTGAGGGTGGCAGGTGTCACCATGCCAAAGCTTCCAGCCAGAACTCGCCAGGCTTCAAACTCCTGGAAGCAAACTCTCGGACATACAAGCAGCGAGTCCAACGCTGTGAAGGAAATGATTTGTCGGAGAATGTGTTCGACTAGGTTGGACGTGACATAGAAAGGCTTGTTTCGAGCTTGGGACGACACGCAAGCTTTGAAGTGCTTCCAAATTCTCGCGGAGGCAAGAAGCAAGGAGGAGGATAATTATTGGAGTGCAGTAGCACAGAAGAAACATAGAACCTTTGCAACGTGTGGTCCAGCCGAGCGCAGCTCCAAGCTGGTTTGTTTAGTCAGAATTGCTTGGTTTTTTCCTTTTGCTGAGATGCGATTGTGTTCAAAGCTGCGTCTCAAAACATTGCAGTGTTCGGTTTGCCTTCGCACGCTGGTTTTTGTGGGGTTCCCATATATGTTGAAGGCGAGTCCTTGGTTGTCAGCTCAGGCCTTGCCAACGGCGAGCGTATCAAGCTCAACTGGACGATGTCACAGCCTCAGCGTGCTGTCGCTGGCTCGTTTTTCTTTTGCTTGAGACATACCCAGGTGAGCAACAGACAATACTGGTAATTAGTCTAGTATCAACAGGCAATCCTGGTAGCCCAGTATTCATCTGGGGACGAGATTTGGGGGCGCCCAATTTTGCCGAATTTTCGATCCAAAGGAGGCTACTCCAATGAATTTTGAGTGAGTGATGCTGTCCCTTGCTCTTGTACCCAGAGGACGACCCAGCTAGACCAGAAACTCGGTACACGGCTGCCTTTGTAGCTTTTGGGTAGAGTTGTCTTCGCTGTTGTTGGCAGTTTTTGTTTTTTTCAGCTTGGATCCCTCCCGCAGTCATTCTTGGTGGGGGGGGCTGCAAGAAACGCTCTTGGCTACCATACATAGGGTTGGACAGTTCTTGAATACCAGATCTCCGTTACCTACCGCAGCTGTGGGCGGAGTAATACGTTGGGTTTGACGGGTTGGCCTTAGCCTTTGACCACGTGGCTTGATTTCTGGAAGAAGTTGCATTGGGCATACATGTTTGGCGCATAGAATTGTCTACATTACACAGGTCCGAACTTGTGCATCGTATTTGTTGGTCAGCACATATGTCCAAACATTTTGGTAAACTTGCTTTTGGTATAGACATGTATTCGTATATGATCATTCCCCACCCGCTGGTGGGTATTGTCGGATGTTTCTGTTGGTGTGTGACCTGGTGCACCAGTAAATGAAATGTAAAGTGACCGACTGGCCGGCCTGCTCCCCACACGGCGGGGCCAGTTTCAAGACGCGCCAGCAAACACCCCCCCATGAGCTTTGAGTGGGTATTCCCACATCGCCAGAATATCAATAACGCCAATTCTTGGCTCCCGCTACATTGTGACCCAGGGGAGAAGACCCAATACATCCCAATGCTCTCAACCCACTTCCCACTTCCCAGCAACATCCTGCCCCGAATACCCCGCCGGGGATTGCCCGGTCATTTTCCGTGTCAGCTTCCCCTGTGAGGCCTTATATGATATAAATTGGGATGTGAGGTTTGGTTCGGCTTTCCTGCTTTCTATCATCTAGGTTTCAATCTGAGGAGTGCAATGATTATGCCCACGGGCACTGGCTTTCGTCATGAGTTTGAATTGGGCAAAGTCGTCACTTGGACATTTCAAACTCCGGTTGCGACATTATCATCCACCGCAATCATCAAACTAGCATTGCTGGCTTTGCCTTTTGGCTTTAGCAACACCTGGTTGCGCTTGGTTTGGCTGAAAGCGAACCATACCCCACGGATTTCCCAAGAAAGTCTCACTTGCACTGGACGTAGACAGCGAACTCCAATTTGGGATGCATGTCATGTCTGGAGCTTTTCCCGTGAAATGGGGCAAAGCATAATTTTCACATGCGGCCTGGCTACGTTTGACGCGCGTTGCCCCAACTCCATTTTCTCGTTTAGGGACTAGATTCATAGAGTTGGCGGATATCCTCAGCCACCCCAGGTGGGGATCTTTGGAATGATTCTAGATTTCAAGGCTCACTCAATCTAGACCGGAATCAAAACCGTATTTTTTAGCGCAAAAGCTGAGTTGATTTTTGTGAGCAGGGGTCACAACGGACTGCCCGCAACGGAATCGCGACTCGGGTCTCGCAACGCCATTCGCCCGAGGCGCATGCTCTTCGAAGTGGAGGATCTGCGTGTTGCCTCCCCCGCGACCGTGTCTCGCTGCGGCATGGTGGGGCCACCCGACCCGGGGTGTGGGTGTGGCGAGGAGCCCGGGGTCGGTTTCGGTGATGTGGGGGTTGATCAGAGGTCCTTTACAAGGGATGACCATTGGGTAAAGCCACTAAGCAGATGATCATTCCCACTAAATGGGAAAAGTTACCCATTGGTCATTCGGGGCCCAATAAGATTGATCAATCCCCATGTGAACAAGTTCCGCTGGCTGTTTGGAGGACCTCTGAGGGCGTTGGCGCCGAAGGACAGGTCCATTCAACAGGGAATGGGCTTCTATCCGGTATTTGCTCGCGTGTTCGCCACAGAAGACCTGTGAACTCTTTGGTTCTTAAACATGGCAGTTTCATCTACCATTTTACTGAGCAATGGTGCTATAGGGGGAAAAACAAACAAACAACTATTCCGCAAAGCAAGCGCCTTCCAAGCGCGGCAGAAATATGCGTTCTCATGTGGGCAGCATTTTTTTCTGGGATGAAGGCCCACATCTTTGTGGCGACATTTCGTAGACGTTGCGTAGGCAGTTGACTGACAAGGCCACAAGCGCGTAGGCGTGAGTGGGCATTTCACTCCCGCTAGAGTTTTGTGGGAGTGGTCGCTTTTGGCGTAGGCGGCATAGGCATGGCATTAAGCAAGTAAAAATGATAAGGCCGAACAAACACACTGCCCGTCAAACTACCATTGGCAGCTCTCGGTTTTAACCCTGAGCCTCATCTTTCGCAGCGCAGGGTTGCAGGGTTGTTGCAGCCTTGCCGCCTTTGCGGACGCTTACTACATTGCAACCGCTTCCTTCACCACTCAAGCGAGTTGTCATTTTGTGAGATATCGTTCAGACAGCTGGTTGCCGCTGATACCTTCTGTGGGGCTTGCATTGCAGGGAAACCCACAGGGAGCCAAAGGGTTGCCGCGCTTTGGAAACAACCATTGAGTTTCAAGGGGAACCAAGAGAAAGCAAGCCTCTGTGAGGTCACATGAAATGCAAGCCGCCTTTCTCTTATCAAAGTGACCGCATTTCTGGCATGCAAACCACAGAAACCCTTTCGCCACGGGGTGTTGGAAGGAAGCCACCCGAATGGGACGCCGCGGCAATGCTGTTGGCCGTGTCAGGTGTACCTCACGCCCTCGGATCTGGGCTGGGAGCCCTATGTGCGGACCTGGCTCAGCTCCTTGCCGGACCAGCCCTTCTCAGAGAAGGCGCTTCCCGCGGATGTGCGCGGGAGATCGAGGTGGCTTCTTGGGGCGGAGGGTGGTTTCTGCGGCTGAACAATAGGTACCCAAAATGGCACCTTGCTTTTTTTTGGGGGGGGGACCGAAGACTACACCCTGCGCTGTTTCATTTTGAGCCACACCCATGTTAAGGTCTCCTTTTACCATTTGGGATCACTCAAGGTTTATCCACACTGTGATACCAGGCAATCTCCCCCTTTGTACGGGGGGTTTAGTGGGCAATGACCACTTCTGTGAAAAACAGGGTTCTGGGAAGGGGTGTATCCCGACTTCTGTGATACACGAGAATCTCTGCCCAAGATACGGGGGGGAGTCCTTGGGAGGCCCTTTTGGTTGTATCACAGAAGTGGATTCCATGTCCAACAGCCCTACTTTTCAGCCTCCTGCCACGGAAGCCAGAGGGCCCATGTCAAAGGAAATTCCAGGACCGCGAAACGTCAGGTTCCACGTGAGTGGGCTATATTTTGAGTTAGACTAAACAGATCTAAATATGGTGGCCAGAGTCAGCAATAATGCTCTGTGCAACAAGCCAATTTTATTGGGCCAAAGTTCAACCTGACGTAGTGGTAAGGAGGGTATAACCATGGTTCTAAGTCATCCAACCCCTGTTGTCCCCTTAGAACCATGGTGAATTCAATCCTGCTGCCTGAGGTAGGATGAACATCCGAGGGGATCCCCACCGAATCCAGGTCTCAGGGTGATTTTTTCTTTGGGATTATTTTGCTTCACGGGATTAGTTTGCTTCACGGGATTTTTTGGCAGTGAGTTATTCAGAATGGGAGTGGCGAAATTGAAGGGATGCCATTCCCTGACGTCCCACCAATGGAGTTGGAGCTCCATGTATATTTCCATGTTTCCTTTCGTGGGGAAGACTTGAAGTTGGGCCAAGTTGCAGCAACAGAGTTTCCTTTAGAGAGAGGACACGTCGGGACATGGGGGGGGGGTTGTTCTGTTCTGCCCCATGAGATGCGGTCCAAGGAAGCGTGCAGATTTTGCGAGAGGAAGCACCAACATCTGTTGAGGTATGGCAATGGTTCAAAACCAATGGCAGCATTTTGGGATAGGTGCACCACCCTTTTTGGTCTATTTTAGTGGGGATTTGGATGTTCACTGGGGGTACGGGGTTTTGACGCATGGCCGTATAATCATCAAGGTATGTTGAAGCCCTCGCACCTCTCAATTCAATGTGGAACTCAACTACCTGCACCATCAACCATGTGTTTGTCCTCAGCCTGTGGGCAATCTTATTTTGAGCTCGGGGTTTGTAAGGGTGTCGACGCATTTGTCGAGCGGCAGCGGTGTCGACGCATTTTCCGAGCGATTGCACGTTTGTCCAGCAGCCTAGCCATGCTTGAGTCATTGGAGGGCCGTACGGTAGACTGCTGGATTGGGTAGTAGATTGCTCATTTCCTGAAGCCCATGCGTTCATATGCATTGCATCATAGACATGTCCAGAAACGCTCCCATCAAATAAGAAACGCAGGGGGTCTCGCCATTTGCTGTAGAGTGGTTTAGCGTCACAGCCAGGCTTGAAAGCGCTGCTTCCCTGGGGTTTGTAACACTGCAGGCCAACACATGGTTACCAAACCTTTTTGGGCTCGTTGCGCTGAGAGAAGCCAGAGAACTGTTTAGGCGTGGAGTGTTTGACCATGTCCCAAGCCCCGCAGATTACGAGTTGCCTGCTTTCTTGGGCTTCGCGCAGCGCGCATTGCCAGGCCAAGGACATGGTTTGGAGCTACTTCGACACCCACGTGCAGCGAGGCGTGTGCTTGCCTTCGGCTTCTTTTTTTGAGGGTGAACCAACAGACAAGGGCCCTTCAGCTGCGACCCAAGCGTGTTACGAGCAGAGTCGATGAATCTCTTGTGGCTAGTGTTTTGGTTCATGGATTGCCTTGTCTGATGACACTTGTCCAGACCGATATCATAGACATGCCTCGCTTACCATGCTTCACGCGTTCCTGTTTTCGCTTTGGAAGAAACGGCGAACCAAGCAGACGGCTGAGCGAGGCAAGATACGTATTTCATGACATCCAGCATAGCATTGTTCAGGAATCGGTTTGGGTTGGCAGATCTTCGTGTTGAACAATTTGACGATGAGGATATGTTTGTTTTGATAAACAACAATCAGACGGCCATAGGCTCCCCATGTACAGATTCCCTCTGGGCCTCCCACAATCTTCCCCTAAGTCTTCTCTCCCAAAACCGAGGGAGCTGATCTTGCGTCAAACATTTTGCCAAGTGAGAGGGGGTCTGTCTATGCCTGTCGCACAACCGACGTTTGGGACCACTTGACTTAAATTTTAAAATGACGAACAAAGAAAAGATGTACCCTTCCTCCCACTACCAAAGGCACCTGGGGGGTTCCTGGATCAACTTCCTTTTGAAGGGACCCCATGTGTGCCATGGGGCTTCGGGGGAGTGAGGGTACAAATCACCAGAGGGTGCGTCTTCCAGGACCAAGTCCTGAGTCAATGTGCACAGGAGGGATCCTGGGTTTGGGGCTGAACCTTGAGCAAGCCATTGAGACACTCCCTGAGCTCATGGACTTTAATACCACTTGGCTTTGGACCATCTGGGACGCAATAAAAAGCCCAGGTGATGTCCCCAACAGCCCTGCAACCCCCAGCAAATTTGGAACCCTCCCTGAACGCTGCCCCAAGCCACCCCTTATTAGCCTATCGACCAAATTCGGTAAAACAAACAATAGCCTAAACACCAAGAGGTTGCAAAATCGGCCAAATCCAAAGCTGAATCAGCTTCGGTAAACAAACAGTTCGGTTCCTTCCTTTGGCCAATCCACTTTCTCGTGAGGCTTGGACTTCCTGCGGAAGAATGGCTCGGAGCCGGTGACCACGCAGGATCCAAGTCGGGGGGAAAAGCCGAGGCATGAGAAACCCGAGAGCCCCAGCTAGGCCCAAGCCCAGTGGCACGGTAGTACAAAATGCGACCGACAAGCAACCGGAAAAAGACGGGTTTGTTTGTTGTTGGTGATACTAGGTTGGGTCTCTTTCAAAATGGTGGGCCCCCTTTTCGTTGGAAGGGAAACCAAAAGGACACCAACCTCAGAGGGGCCGCCCGCAAGACACTGGGAATTGGGAGGGGGGGGTTACCTGGAATTATTTTTCTGGCGTCACATTTTACTTTGTGGGAAAACTGGATAAATGGAATTGGGGGACCCCTTGGTAAGCCCTCCCTTCGCATATGGGCCATATTCCCTGAAGCAAGTACGGGAGTTCAAGTGCACTGTATGTCCTGTTCCTTGCAATATTTCGGGAACCAACCACACAAAAATCATGGATGGACAAACATATTCTTCCCCCTGGCCTAGAACCGAACAAAAGCCAGTCCAGGATGCTTTCCTTGAGTGCCACGAGCATACATGACACCACGATATCCATTTGAGCGCCGTGTTGGGAGGGCATGCCTGTTTGCCCAATTCGAACGCACCCGGGGACAAATCTTTGGCCTTTCTGTTTCACCGGACTTGGCTCGACTCCACTCGTCTCACTGTCACACCTCAATGGCTTACTTCCAACAACCTCCGGCTGCGGATGGCTGAAAGCTGTTGACAACGGCAACCCGAACTGCGCCAAGTTCCAAGGAGAGGATCCAACGGTAGATCTTGTCCTCGTTCGCGAATCCAACCAAGGCCACAGAACAGGCACACCCAAGATCTCATTTTCAAGTTGCAACACCTCAACAATTGGACGCCCTTCAAGGGGACTCGACTTGCTTCGGGAGTATCCACGATCGAGGACACGCAGCTGGTGATCACGCTGTGCAAGCTCTTCCAGTCAGTGATCAACGAGGAGGCGCTTTCTGAGAGAAACTTTCGCGGCCAGGTCTGGACGATATGTTCGTTGATCCATATTCCCTTCAGCCCCCAAGTTCTGACCATGGAATACTGCTAGCTTTTTCCATGTGGTTGAAATATCGAATCATCTCGTTGGTTCTCGATGGTCGTCCCATTTTTTTCTCGGACCTTTTGATCAACCCCGACATGTTTGCAGTTGCTTGGCAACTGCAATCAATGGAAGTTCTAGCTGGCAGCTGGTCATCGCAAACGCATTTTCTCCACTGCCCGCTGGCTTGCTGTGTGCAAGCCGGGAATTAGTGGAAGATTTTGCAGACCTCAACATGGGGTATGTATCCTTGACCCGAAGGAGAAGCAGAGAGATACGCTCGTGCCAGAGGGAGAGTTTTTGGGGCTCCCTGAGACCTTGGGATTCGATTGGCACGATGTTCAGAAGTCCAGATACCAGATGGAAGTTCAGGTGACTGGGCACTGGAGGCCCACATGCAACAAAAGCTTCATCTTCAGGTGCGCCACTTGCTCAAAACCGATGCGGGTAGTTGAAGGTTAGGGACAGGGACAGTCCCAACTCTTGAAGCGATCGGTTTTTGTACCGATCGGTTCTGATCATAGCTCAGGTGGGGAGGGGCACCGGACGCCGAGCTCGAAATTTCTGGCGCAGGCGGCAACCGCCAACAGCTGCGCCTCCAAGGATGCCCAGGTGGCGGAGGCACGGAAGTCGAATCGCGGAGCTTGGGCGAGGCGCGTGGGTTGGCCTGGGACGCCCCAAGGGACTCTGAATGGGAGCCCGGGAAAGTGTGCCCTCTTGGTCCAAAAGGAGGTTCAATGAGAAGACATGAAGAAAAAGGCTTCTGGGTTCTTTCAAAGTGTTGGGTTACACTTCGAAGGGATGCCTTCAGCTGGTCGCAGGGCCACTTGTGTCCTAGGCACTCGTCAGGTAGAGCTAGAATTGGTATATGTTCAAGCGCGTGAATTCAACGTCATTCCGGTGAGATTTTAGTTGACTTAGATTCCATCCGCAGGACTTTCGCTGCGCGCAGGTTGTCCATCCAGCAGGGTGAACAAACCGGTTTGGGCTGACCATTATTTCGTCCAGTTTCCTTCTTTCTGAGTGGGTTGCACGTCCCTTTCTCCACGCCCTATTTCCCCCTCTTTCACGGATGGGTTTGACTCTACAATCATGCCGACAAAAAAGTCGGATCAAAGCAACAAATGCCTTCAAACAGCCCGGATCAAAGCAACAAAAGCACAGAAACTTACACTTCAGCAGCCCCACGTCCCAGGTCAGTTTTCGGGACTTCGTCCAAAGCGGTTAACCGTTTCGCGCAGGGCGAGACGGCCTTGACGCCAAAGAAGATCTCTGTCTTGGAGGCAGTCGAAAGTCGATGTGTCGCAAAGAACTGGACCCTTAAAAGGGTCATGATGTTGGCCCAACAGACTTACCCCACCTTTTCGCGGCCTTTTTGCCCCCTCTCTTTTGGGTTTCCTTTGGGGAGTTCCGTCTTTTTCACTAAGACCACAGTGGATGTTTGGGCGGGAGTCTGGCCAGGGCCATGCGCCCAAGGTCGCTCTTTTTTGCGCGAGCACTTGCACGCGCGAGAAATTCCGCTGAAGGGATCTGTTTAATAGCGAGCTCACCGATTCTGGGGTATGCGAGCGAAACCCATGATAAAGGTCCTTTACGTGGGGATCCCTTAAACCAGCTTTTGGAATTGTAGTAGAAATTGCAGATGGATTGCTCCCCGAACTTGTGCAGCACATGCGCTTCGTGACGCGAAAGGTCATATGTGGGAGGACAGACGTTGAACGCAATGCTCAGTTTGAGCCCGGCTCAAGCAAGTCAAGCTTCAAGTTGGCGGGTGACGTGCTCATTTCAGCGAACGCAGGGCAAAGCGTTGGTGTTGCCATGAAAGGGGGGTACACCGCCAGGAATGGGTATTCCGTATTCAACCTTTACATATAGTTCCCCAGCGCTGAAAGATCTCTGGGGTATTTGCCCAGATCGGCGAGTTGGGGGTGGTTTGGTTCGGCTTTCAGGGAGGCTTCCGGAGGGTCCAGGGGGTTCCGGGGCTGTTACTTCAATCGTCGCCTTCACAGGCGGGCAGGATCTGGGACGGGTTTGTCGACCGGTTTGGCCCATAAACCAGGTCAAATTCGGAGGTCAGAAAGAGGTGGGATGAGATTCTGTGACACCAAAGGAATTGTCCTGGGAAAGATGAGTAATGAGTTGCAGTCGTGGGGACCAATGAGGTTTGGTCAACTCATCGTCTACGGTTAATTTGGGGAGGTCATGGGGGACTCACCCAACTTCCCCACAAAAACCAGGGGACGAGCCCTATTTTTCCCCATGTCCTCTTGGGCAAACACGCCATTTTGACCGAATTTCAAATGCAATTTTCCCACAATGAGTGTCTTAAGAGCATTGAATTTGCCTCATGGTTGGTGTCCTTTTGGGTTTTCCCTTTCAACCCGCTCCCTTCCATTTGCTTGACTATCTTTTTCACTTTGAGATTCTAAAAGAAACCTATCACTGGAAATGTGTTCTCATTTTTTCCAGAGACCGAAAAAGCAAATGGAAGCTCCAAACGATCCTCAACGACGCGCTTCTGTGGCAGGCCGCAGAGTTCGAGAAATTCCTGCAGCCCCTCTTTTGCTTCGCCTTTACCTGGACCATCGGCGGCAGCCGCTGGGCGAAAGTGGGAGGACATTCTTTGCGAGCGCTTCCGGTGAAAGGAAAGCTGGGCGGAAATGTGTCACTGGTCTAAGCGAGTTTTAAGAAGGGCTTGCTCTTGGTCTAAGTGTAAACCAGCTCCAAGCCCGACGGGCCAGACAACTTATGAGCATCGAATTTCAGCTTTTTGATTCGTGCGTGAGGGAGGAGTTCGGGAATTCGGCATCCGTCGCATGAAGAGTCGACAAGTTGGCACCGGCCGTTTGTGTCCTCAACCCAACTACCCGGCCCCGAACAGGCCGGTACCATGTTTTTCTTGGGGAGCCTTTCTGTCGGGCATCTCTCAATGCGAAAGCTGGTTTAGCCCATGGAAGTTTGGCCAACTTTCCCGGGGGTCTCCAATCTCCGCCTTTTCGACTTTGAGGTTTGACTCAGACTTGCGTCTGTTAGATGTTGGCTTTCCATGGGCTCCCATGCTTGACTTTGAAAGAGCACGTCCAACTTGTGCAGTCACTTCATGACGCTTACGAGGCAGCTCAGTGTTGATGCTCAGGCGCACATCTCCAGGGCCCATTGCCACCAGAAACTGCAGAAGCGAACGTCAAAAGACTGACTTAGCATGAGTGCAGCTAACCGAATCTGACATTTGTGTCTCTGTGGTATCAGTGGCCAAGGCGCTAGGGCAGGCACAGCATCACTGGGTATGGATCAACACCCTGCACGCAGCGAACACAGAAGCCTTCTGATAAAGGGGTGGCTTTACTCTTGAGCTTTGCTCTTGAAGGGGTCATCGGCTTTCCTTGGTGATTCCCGGCCATCCGGTTCCTCTGGTTTTTAGATCTTTTTTACTGCTTGGTTTTCCGAGTTTCGCCCACTGAAAGTTAAACGTTTGGGATCGGAAAACGGACGGTCCAGTTTCCCCAGAACGTGCGGGCAAAGTGGGGCTCGAAGGCCTGGCGAATCAATTTTCAGGCTGTGACGCCAAGACGCGGGGCATGTGGCAGCCCCAGGATGCAACCGAGGCTCCACAAAGGCTAATTTCCCCCCAAATATTACGGTAATATCCCCTTTGCTGGTTTAGAAGATGTTCTTGAGCAGGTGACCTGCTTTACAAGAACATCCTCCAAGCCAGCAAAGGATATAATTATGTTTGTCGCTGGGTACATGTAAATCCTTCAAGGGACGTTGTTGAATGGATGATCGCCTTGCCTGGGAAAGGCCCCAAGACTCTGCTGAGTGCTATGGGATCATTGGCAGATGGCAGTGAGAACTGCAACTCGCCAGACTCACTTCGGCGCGCACCTTTCGGGAGGCTTACCTTAGCCAAGACTGATTCTTCAGGTTTTACCTTGCACATGTTATCCTTAAGCACATATCAAGACGGGTTCCTTCACTACAGCATTGAACCGGCCATTGTTTTTCCAAGGTAAATCACTGGTTGTTTTTCTTGTTTCGTGCATGCCTGGCCCGCTTCATATAACCGTACATATGGGAGTCGTTCTAAATTGCCAGTCTTAAAATTAAGTAAAGGGAGGTTCTGAAGGTCTAGCGCGAAAGGAAAACACTGCATCGCGAAAGGCCGGCGAAAGGAATGCGAAAGGACTTGAAACATAACGAATACATGGTAGAGCCCTCGTTTGGGCTCGGAAACAAGTTTTTCAGGACTGGTCACCGCGAAAGGAAAACATGGGGCCGCGAAAGGACCGCGAAAGGCCGGCGAAGGGGCCGTTTCCAGGAACTTTTATTTTGAACAACCCCCATATACCTGTCGGTTTCCAGCGACAGAGGCCTGTCCTGAAGCACACGGTCGTGAACAGCCACACGGTTGTTTTGTTTGAGGCTGGCCCAACATTTGGGGCCCAATTTGCATGACTCAATGTTTTATTAGGGCTGAGTGTTCGTATTTGGCAGCATTTCTGACGCTCCTTGACTGTCTCACTTCCTGAGTTCCTGGACTTTACTCATTTTTGTGGGTTTGGACCATTTGAGTTGTAGATAAGCAGCTTGGTTGAGTCCGCTGCAGAAAAATGGTCAGGTCCCGTGTCCCTCGGTATGTTTTTTTTTGGAGGCTGCCAAGGGCTGTGCAGAGCTCTGATTCATTGGGTTGACCAAAAGCGTGGGTTCAGAGAGCTGTCCTTTGTCTCGGTTGGGCCATGGAATAGATGGGGTCCTGTGGTTTAGATGACGAACCATTCGCAGGGAAGCCCAACGATTTTTCCAAAGGACACCTATGCACTGATTGAATTTGTAGGAAGCCGGAAGGGAATGGATGTTGACCTGTCCAGCCCTTCTCCACTCCCAGGTTCGGCGCAAACCTGCTCCGTGCCGACTCAGGTTTGCTCGGGAGATCGAGAACTGGTTCCCCAACGTGTCGATGCCACGTGGAGGAGGCGCATCCCGTCGATCATTGCGGAGCGTTGGCCGTACAATCCTCTTCACCTGAAGGCCTCATTTGTGAGTCCGCACTTTGGCGGGCGGATATGGGGGCAAATCTGTTGGAGCCTAGGGGATCCCAAATATTTGCCAGTAGTTAAGTTAGTGTTATTAGAGGATGGAATGATGGGCAAGTCGGTTGGTGTGCCATGCATCTATACGCATTTTCGAAGTCGTATCCACGCCTGCTCGATCCAAAATACTGTTGATCTTCAAATGTCCTGCCTGTACACATTTGACGTGTGGCTTTGCTTTCCCATCAGACAAGCTGTTGCAAGATGACACTGTTTGGGCCTGAGTCCCTGCAAGTCGATGGCGACCTTTAGAGTGTACGTCTTTGCTTGCACAATGGCAACAATATCATTGCTCCCAGCCATCCTTGGGGCAGTTGGGATGTCTGAAAGGGCTGGAAGTGAGCGGAGTTGCCGACTTGAATGAATTTTCGGCGAGGCTGCAAGCTTGTTTGAAAATTCAATTTTCCACGGCTAACGCATCCCATGGACAAACTCCTGCACCAAGGGATGGACGAAACCCGATTTGAATGCTGGTTGCCCAACCACCTACCAAGGGCTACTGTGGATGGACGAAATCCTGCACCACTTAACCACAGGAGACCATTGTTTGTTGGTATTTACAGTGGAGTCATCAGAATCCAGGGTTTCTTAGGTGGTGCGAAGTGGATTTCGCAACCATCCACAGTCTGATTTTGTCATCCGAAACCTAACCTCTCGCCGGGACTGGGCGGGTTTGCGCCGGATCCAAGTCGCGGGCGGAGCCCAGGCCCTTACGACGGCTTTATCAACTTCTACGAGGGCCGGGTCCTCAGAGCGGTGAGACGAGATCCGACGCTGGCAAGATGCAACGCGCAAGTGGGTGGTTTCCTTGGTGGCTTGATTGCTATGGGGTTGTTTCCCTTCGACCTGATTGCTTGATTGTTGTGGGGTTGTTTCCCTTCAACCTACCACTTGAGGGGGTGGCTTTGATGAAGGTAGAGCTTGATTGCTATGGGGTTGGATCTTGAGACTGGAAGTATTTGTTGAAATCAAGGGTTTTTCATTGGGCCCACAACAAAGGATTCACTTTTTGCGGAGGGGGCAACAGCAACCAAGACACCGTCCCCAAAATAGAGTCCCGAGATTTGCAACAGACTCTATTGGCGGGAATTGGGTTTATCTCAAATTGTGGACAACAGAGGCGGTTTTCCTTTGGCTTCCTTTGAAACACGGCAAAAACAGGTACCCTGAAAACTGACACACCGAATTCGCTTCTCAGATAGAACGCTGAGCGTGGGCAATTTCAAGTTGAGCCATTTGCAGCAAGTTTCCTTTGCTGACTTTCCAACCGCATGGCCAAGAAAAGGCGAACAAGGGCAGCGAGACGTTGTTCTTCTTGACCGTGGCTCCACTTGGCTGGCCGGAATGCTGAGGTCCCAAGTGGAAGTCGTGGACAGATATCGTGCCCAAGTTCGTCTTCCAGGAGGGCGTGTCCTATTTTCAGCCGGGATCCCGGCTTGTTACGCCAAGCGCAAGAAAAAAAAGAGGCGGAGGGGGATTCTGGGACCCAATCTCTTCAATGCAGCTGAGGACCCCCCCTACCCCCAAAATTCCCCCCCCCCCTGTACCTCTTGAAGGGAAGCCAAAAGCAGGTTGTCTGAACACTGGTGGTTTGAGCATGGTGTAAACAGTTACCGCCCGGGCTCAGATCGAATATTGCCCTGATTTCTGAGGCCTGAGCCTCCTGGCTCGGGATTGATTCGAAGTGCAAGTGTCTTTGTCCCAGGCGCAAACTGCACAAAACGAAGGGGAACCGTACTGAGTGATACGTAGAAAAGAGGACCAGCAAGACCTTTGTCAAGTGTATGAAGATGTCTATAAGCCATCAAGAACGATGGTCGATCACCGCACGAAGCAGAAAAAGAAGAAAAGGAGGAAGAGGAAGAGGAAGAAGGGAAAGAAGAAGACAAGGAGGAAGAAGAAGACAAGGAAGAAGAAGAAGAAGAAGAAGCAGTTCGTTCCCAGCTGTCCATGCCACGAAGGGTCTCTTTGCCACTCCGTGGCGGGCTGTCAGGTCACTGATTGGTCTCGAGGTGTTGGACCGATTTCGCATTGATTCCTTTGCCTCAAACTCTGACATTTGGGATCGTCTTAAACGTGCGATCGATTCCATAGGAATGGAATGACCCCTAAAACACATCCATCGCATGGTTTCCTGTAAGAGAAAGCCCCTTCCGGTTCATTCCCAGCACTCGGTCTCGGTCATTCCCTACTGAGCAGCGGCAAGTAAAGTAGGGGAACGCTAACAATGGTAGGTTCCCTCTGAATTTGCATACCCCCACACCAAAAAGGGTACTCTCACTCACTTCCTGAGTTCCTGGACTTTATAGTTTTTGGAAAGACCATTTTAGTGGTAAACATAAAGCTTGGACTTGTTTTGGGGGCCATCCACTCGGGAAGTGGGCTCAAGAAAAGACATGCCCATTTGGGCTCACTCAGCTTTCCGCCGCAAAGCTGAGGATAGGTGTCCCAGACCCCTTATTCATCACTTGTCCAAATGGATATACTCATGCAGAATCGGGCAGGGGGGTCATTTCGCCACCTTTTGCGGAACAATGATCGACCCCCGTCGTAGTGAAGGATTCCTTTTTGAGGGGGTCGCCAATTTTCTCAGGAAAGCTGGCAGAAAGACACCCCTGCAATCGGGGGATATTGCGAGGTGGTTGGGAGATTTGTTGTGCCAGTGATGACTTCATGCGCTGAGCCTCTCGGGACTGACATCCTTGCATCCTTTCCATTTTCTGGGCTTGCATTTGAGAATATGAATTTGGCGATCCAAAGCTTCAGCTTTTTGGTCAGAGGGAAGTGAGAATCTGACAGAACGTTTGGACTGAGCTTGCAGGTTGCTGGTCCCGAATCCGGACACCGTGCGCTTCTCCTACGTCATGGCGAGCCCGGGAATAACGGGGGGGAGCATCGGGGTGAAATCTAGCGACCCTCGGGTTCAAGCAAGCTACAAAAGAGGTGCCGTTTTTAGTCTGGTAGATGCCCTTCTGGTTTCAGTTTTTGGCATATGAGCCCCCCCGCCTATTTGAAAGGCAGACTGTTATGCAGATTCGAACTTGTCTCAAAGCCTTCACATGGCACAGGTGTTCTTAGGTTTCCCTCTTGCCAACCAAAAGGGTCCATTTTGAGACTTCGTTGGCATTTGCGGCTTGCGATCCGAGAGGACCGCATGATGACCACCCAGAACTCGGTCTTCCTCACCGGCAACTCGGGCGTGGGGAAGGCGGGAAGCCGAGCGAGCCGTGCGGGCGCGGAAGATCGGGCTGAAGAGTGAGCCCTTAGGACGGATTCGACCGTTTGACCAAAAGGCCTCAATGATGAATTTGAACGGGTGTGTGGCATTTGTTGTGTTTTTGTGTACATTATTGCATGTTTTTCTTGATACTGGTCTTATGGCTTGATTTTAGACCGATTTTCGTCATGATTGTAGGAGTAAGCCATTGCTGATGATCTAGCCCCCTTTATTGCACCAGGCTCCAGGCTTAGGGTGAAACTAGATTGCACAATTCCCTCTATTTGGCTCAGCACGTAACGACGAAGCCCAAACGGGGGAATTCAGTCATCTACCAACCAACTCACCCAACCTTAGCTTGGATGTCAAGCTGCTTTGCGGAAAATGGATGGACACCACGAGGATCCATGTCGCAGCGGTCGTTCCGCAGTGGGGGACAGCCGGGAGGCGCTGTTGGTGGAATCTTGATCACTGCATTGGAGTTTCTCAAAGTAGGCGAGCCACACAATTTGTTGTAAGTCGGTCTGAATCCCATTGTGAGATAGCCAGCGTAGTATTGTATTCATAGAAATCGGCAGGAATTACTACATTTGGCCAAACACCAAAACAAGGGGGTTTCCTGTAGAATATCCTGTCAACAATCCTGTAGAATTTCCGAAACAAAAAAGCACAAAAAGCAACAGGATTATATCGCTGGTTTCTTCGATTCGCACAAGCTGGACATCGTGTTTTGCCGCGCAACCAGAGCGTGAACGTGGCCGCGCTGCTCGAGAAGATGAAGGAGATCGCTTCCGTGGTGCCGGCAGGGCATCCCAGTGCCGAGCACGTGCCGGGCACATGGGTTTGTGTCTGTGTTTTTGGGTGCCATCCCCCGTTAGGTTGGTAGTTATATATAAAGGGAACCAACAGACACCTCACTTATTTTTAGGCCCCCTCATTTGGACACACACCCAAGGCCTCAAGTGTTCTGACTCGCCTAGCGAGTCAGCGCTATGTTGTTTTTTCTCCAGGGATTATGGTCGGAAACTGATTTTGTTTGGGAATTTCATCCCGTCAACCTTCGACTTGAGGCTTGACTTTGATAGTAATAACGTTGCCAGGGGCATTTTGCCAGGGAGGAGTTTTGTGACGGATCGAAACCGGGAGGTGCCCTAGTTCGGTGTGGTTGTGCAGGGAAGCCTGATCCCAAAAAGGGTGTCAGATCTTTCATTCCAGGGGCTTCAACTGCCTTCCAGAGAGATCGTCAGTGTTGACTTCAATCTTGTGAATACAAAGCACCCGCCGTGCCAGCCACGAGATTGTGGAGGTGGGCACTTGAAACTCATGTTCCTTTGACGTAACTCCTAAAGGCTGAAAAGGAAACAGGAAAACCATTTAGATGGTCTGGGAGTTAGCAAAGTGGTTAGCAGCCATGGTCGTGACCCACTTTGTAAGTCTCCTATAACCAGGGTTACCTACCGTTTAGATCGTTTAGCGATTCGTCCCAGACCATCAAACCCGGCTTTCCCGGTGGATGTTCATGACCGCTGGACCTCTTTGCAAGGTCTTCATGACCTTCAGCGCCCAGACCAAGGCTTACGCCACTCGGAGAACTTTGGAGGGATAGCCCTGCCATCCGCGGGTTAGGTGTTTTGGGGTAGACGGCACGTCAGTGGACTGCAATGGATTTGGGCTAAGCATTGCGCATCCGCACCAGGGGGTTGGGAGTGGCTCTCACTTACACCTCTGGGAGTTCATCTGATCATTTTGGGCGGCCTTCAGGCAGAGAAGTGGGTGCCAAGCATGGTGTTGAAGGTGCGGATCCAGGAAGAATGGCCATCTGTTTATTTGAGGGCACCCGATTGTTTGGGACACTCGATTTTGATACATACAAGTACCCATGTAGTGGGTACACGAGTTATTTGTGAACTGCGATCAGTTCTACCATTCTTGCCAATGATAAAGCTGCGCCTGAACATGGAATGTCTTTCTCCGCAACCGCCCAAAAATGGCCAAACCGAACCCAAGTGGAGCTGATTGTTGGGAGCGCTCCTTCCCGGACTTTTGTACAAATACTTAAGCCACTCTCAACCACTGCTCAGCCAGCTAGGTCCCCCAGTAGTGCCCTTCTACCCTTTTTTGGAGGAGGGTTCTAAGTTTCCCTACTAAAATAGACTACAGAAAAAAGTTGACTAGCCAACACTCAATCGTTACTTTGCGGGTAGACCAAGCAAAGCTTGACTCCGGAGTGGTCAGAAGTCTTTGCGGTTGAACGCTTGTTACAGGGAGTGCTACGTTGAGCGTATCGCTCATGGGTGAATCTATTTGGAGGGCTGAAGCAAGAGACCGAGGACCGGAACCCAAAGCACTGGTGTGACTGGTATATGATCTTATATGTAGACACATCTACATCAATACGAACGTATACTATGTTCAAGCACAAGCTGGGGCGGCACACAAGACAACCAAACCCAAATCCAGGCAGCAAGCCTGGACAACTACTCCTGCGCCCTGCTTCATCAAGAGGCCCCACCGAATCGAAGGCTTTTTCAGATGGCATTATTGCCGAAACTTTCATTTAAGAGCCTGACACAGAGCATGAAGTCGTTTTTGTACTCAGTGCGGAATCCTAAGGCCAGGTGTGTGTGTGTGTGGTTTTGTGTTTGTGCTTGTTTTGGGTGCACCCTTTTCGTTGTTAAATCATGTTCCAAGCAAAGCCGAAGGGAACACCAGCATTTGGGGGGATCCCTATGCTACTCAAGACATTCGTCGCGGGAGGCCGGGTCAGCGGCCCAGGAGACACAGATCAATATCGAGAGCAAGTTGGAGCGGAAGCGCAAGACGCTGCTGGGTGCGCCAGTGAACAAGACGGCCCGGGCCGCCAGATCTCGAGCGACGCGAGGGCGAGGAAAGCAAGTCCAGGGCTTGCTTGGGCAAAGCGCATACAACATGTGTACCACTTTCGTGTGTGTAACATATACAATTGCATGCACATATGCAAAAACATATGTAGAAATCATGTCTAATTATACACAATGATACAAAACCTGTGCCTATGAATCAATTGCGAACAATGAACTGGGTTTGAAACCAGCCACCTTTGCATGTGCGTAAATTTTCCGTTTGCGGCCCCACCACTAGTCGCATGGACCCCAAATTTATCAGGTGTGTATAACATGCACAAATGTGTATATATATATATATGTATTATATATATATATATATATGAGCACATATGTGTACGTATGAACTCGTGCAGATGTCTATACCTGCACACAGGTGTACACATAGTTCTTTCACGCTCTTTTTCAGGGTGTTGGCGATTGTTTGGTACCCACACCATGGAGCAGTTTGTCGGCGAGGTTGTTGCCTGTGAAGGCTTAGGGAAAAGCGTTATAGACTGTCATGCGTACAGCTTTTTGAATGCAATCATCGTATATCGGGAGCAGGACTCTGTGCTTGCTGTATATTAACTGTGTCATATCAAAAATACATTGCTGTTGCTCCTTTTGGAAACATGTTGTGGGCATGACTGCTTATGCAGCCATCCTGTCGCTAGCATGACAAGTAAAATCCTAGTGTCCCACTTGTTTTGAAGCTCGCAGGGTTTCAAGGATCATGATTGCGTCATCATTCCATAGTGCCACCAGTGTGTGTATTGCATTTATTACATGGTCTTCTCCGCTTACCATCCTGACACTGAATATCCTGCCATCGTTTCTGAGTGTTTGACCATGCGACCAACTGCGTGGATGTACGAACACCTGCACTATGATGGACACAACCCTGCAAATATTGTAAATATTGGGACAAACCAACCATGGTCTGTCCACAGCCCTGGGTCCCCCCGATTTCAGGTGGTGATCCTCATCGATGATGTGAACATGCCGTTGGTAGAGGAGTACGGCGCCCAACCTCCCATCGAGCTGCTGAGGCGGGAATTGCGCGTTTTTACGTTGAGGCCGCAGCTGGAGTCAACGTCCATCCGGGTCTGTTGTTTATCGGTCCCATCAAAATGATGGGCTTTCCTCCTGGTCTCCCTAAAAAAGCCAACCCGTTGCAACGGGTACTAACTCGAGGAAGTGGAGAGACCCATTTATTTGTTTAGGGGTACCTTCCCCATTCTTTCCAGGGATCCTTCTTTCTAGAAAACCTCCGGAACCCCAGGGAAAACGGCCGGTTTTTGGAAAGAACGATGGTTGAAAAGAATGGGGAATCAAAACCTAGGATTTGGGGCGAACAACAATATTGGGGAAGCCTTACATCAATCGGGAGGTTGGCCAAGCCCACCGACATTCAAGTCACCGGGTGGCAAGCCCAGCCATCCGGCTCAACTTTGTGTTTTTGTTCTTCTTTTTTCAGACAGTAGCTTTTTTGTTGTTGGATTTCCGTGAATTTTACCCACAACCTATAGTCAGTTGGCTTCAACGCGTCATGTTGGGCAGCTGTTGCGCTTGCCGTAGCGATGTTGTTGGAGGGTTCCGGTGACCCCGCCAGGCAGTTCCAGGATCAGCGGGGCTTCTTTGACCGGAAGAAGCACGAGTGGAAGGCTCCGGGTTGCGCTCAAAACCCCATTGGCCATTCTAGTAGGTGGTTCTACTACCTAGTTTTAGGGGGTTTATAGAAAGGGCTACATGAATCATTACAAACCGGCAAAACTGTAAAACATGTTGCCCTTTTGGGGTAGAGCTAAACATAGGCTCAGTCAAAATGAGTTTCCTTGCAGTTGGATGATGTTTCAAGGGGAAAAGTACGGAGCCCTGAGCCAGAAGTCAATGACTGTTGGGCGCTGCTCAATTGAATTGGGAACCTTAGATGAACATATACATATGGATTGTCCACCAACCAGATTGAAGGGGTTCGATGAAAGTTTGATGGCCATATTCTTTTCCGGGCTTCATGGCGACAAGTTCCTCAAAGGTCTATTCTCCCGAGCTTGTTATTTCACTCCCCTTTGGGCGACCTTGCTTGACTAAAATGCTTCTTGGAGCCAATAACGCCTGGCTTTCAGCATTAGCACATCGTCAACTCTCCTGTTGGTGTTCACCAACATGGACGTCCTGTTTAACTTGCGAGCCTCCCGGCTGTCCGCCGCCTAGTTTGAGGTGTACAGCATGGAATCCGAATGCTTGGGCACACGCACACAAACCCTCTGCTGTCTGGCCAGACCATATTACCAGTCAGCAAGCAGACAGCTCGAAAGAATGTGCGCCCGAAGCCGACCAGCGCAAAATCCAAAAGCTCGCTACTTGTTTGCCCTGCCGGAATGTGATCTTCGCTCATGTCGGCGGTATGTGAGACACCAGACACTACTTCCCGATGTTGAACTATTGGAAGGTAGGCGCATGTGTACATGCCCCCCAAACAAGACCCGATCCCGCCATATCTTGTACTGCGGGCAGACTCTATGCATGAGTCTTCCCTTCAGATGGATTGCCTACTAGCAGACCGCCCACCCATAAGACTTGATGGAACGTTTAGCGCTTAGTCGCATCGCGATTCCGGCAAGCGGCCTCGGCTACCTCAAGTGGAAAATCATCTTCCGGGTACCCTCAGCAGGTGCTTTCTGTTTGTTGGAGGGAGGCTATGAATGAATTTCGCAGTACTGGGACGTCTTAGACCATCCGCCCACAGTCTTGGATTCGTCAGGGGAGGAGGATGCCATTGCCAGAAGCAAAACTCACCTCTAAGGGCACTTTGCCTTAAATTTGCTCAAATGAATATGTTTGCTATTTTCCCTTGTTGGTTTTAAAAGGGAAACTGTCACTACTGAAAATATGGTCTTCAATTTTTCTAGTGGGCTTAACCAAATGGAAGTTGCCTTTAGGGGGTTCCTTCATTTCCCCGCTGAACCAGCTTGAACAGTTGTAGCGTTTGGCAGCCGGTTCACCCATTTGGACATGTCAGGACATCGAGAACACTACCTTGCTGCTGTGCGCGGCACCTCCAGGCACGAGCGGAGGGTCGTGTCTTTGCCTAAACAATTTGCTCCCCTCATCTCAGTGGGTTTCAACGCGGTCACAGAGCCATATGTGAAATGCAGATATGATTGATACATTTATGCATTCACGCTGATGGAGCAGCATTTTTCATGATTCATGCACGTGTGCAACCATTTTCTTCCTTCACTGCCTCATTGCAGTAAAGTCAGTCTTTGCCGAATTGACTATATGTATGGCCGTCTCCCTTGCCCTTGTAGACAGCTTGAGCTCTCCCAAAGTGCAAAGTTTTTGTTTCTGCCTTCTGTCTATCAGAGGTAAGGATGACGGAGGCCCACACTCAGAGAGCCCACGTTTTGTCCCTAAAGATAGTGCCATGGCCATGGCTATGGCTGGTGGTTTGTGACCGAATCGCCCCGGCATATTCCATTCAACCCAATCAACAGCTCAACAACCTACCCATGTCAGAACCAAAGGTCAATGGGTTTCGCTGCTCAATTGGTGGCTATTGGAGTTGACTTCTTGAGGAATGAACCGGCAGGCGGCGGCCGCAATGCAATGACGGCGCGGTTCACCAGGCATTCCCAGGTGCCGCGGTGTGTTTTCTCGGGCGGGCGGCGGGGAGGGGGTTCTTGCGAGGTTTTCGCTGGGAGTGGTTTGTTGGTGTGGTGCGATTGTAACATCCCTAAAAACCCTAGTCTATGTGTCTTGAACTCGTTTGACATCTCAAGGTGCATATGAGATGTCTGCTTTGGCTGTCAAACAAAAATGTATAGTCATGGCTCCGCTGGCTGTCAAAGGTACAAAATTAGGGGACGAGGAAAGGCAGGACTGGCTTTCAGGAAAGAAGGATATGAAAGCAAATCTTGCAAGGTACGCATGCATGTTTTTGTTTTTTTTTAGGTACCCCTTTTGTGCATTTAGAAGGAAACCAAAAGGACAACTGCATATTTATTTATTTATTTATTTTTTGGGGGGGCTTAAAAAAATGACACCCATGTGGTTCTCGTCTTTTTCGCCCATCTGAGCGTCACCTTGGCTCGTAGCCTTGGAGCTCCAAATCAACAGAGGCCTCGGCTACTTGAGTGCCAGATGGCATCCGGGGCCCATCCATTTTGCCGAACCCCGAAAGAATGTACAAACACTTGTCACTTCCGCAAAAAAAGAAGAAGAAGCAAACAAGTCAGATCCATCCTTCCCTCCCAACAAAAAGCAGAGAGCGGCACATGTCTTGAGCCCCAGTTTCCTGAGTTTGAGGCCAACTTTTCGAGTTTATGACTCCAAGGTCAGTTCGGTTTCTATTTTGGACCATCCACTCCATCGAAGTGGCCGCGCCATGGCGCTGAAGCAGTTGGGAGCCAACGCTTGGACGGAGTTCCAAAGCCTCAACGCGGGGGCCGTCAAGGAGGCGCGCCCCGCAGGTCCTTTGGGTCGTCCTAAAAATGGGTTCCTGGCCCCAGGCTTTTTGGGTTGGCTGGTTTTGTGGCAATCTTAGAGAGTCAACTGATATGCGTCGAGGGAGACCCAGAGATGAGAGTTGGTGGAAAACCAACAAGCTGAAGGGGAGGGAGAAGTTTGAAGGAGGGCAAGGGAATGAGAGAGCAAGGGAAGGTTGGTATCTACCTTTTCAGGCATTTTTTCTCGCCGACACGCTTGTGATGGAGAAGCAGGTTCGGTATTTACGGCCTCATCGGTGGCGAATGGGGACGCTGGTTGCGCGTTCGGGTGAGGGGTCCCCAAAAATGGTGTTTTGTTCCTTTCGGATTCCCTTTACAACCACAAACAAAAAACGGGGCGGGGTGCCAACTCGACAAACAATTCGCACGCCTGTGTTGCATGCATTTCTGGCGGTTTAGTCAATCGTATCCCACCTTCTGCATGCAGTTCAAGAGTAAACCAGGGGAGGCTCTTTGCGCCAGTCATGCCAAGAAGTGTATAGTTGGCCTTGGGTCAAGACAGTCTTCCAAGCCAAACAGAGAAAGCCGGTAAAACGATTTGGGGGTCAGATTGGCCTCCCCCAAGTTTACAAAATCGGTTCTGTATTGGTTCGTATTAGTTTGGTCTTAGTTTAGTATTGCTGTGTGCTGCCTTAGTACTGTCTTGGCATTGGTTAGTATTAGTTCTTGTACTGGATTAGTGTTGCTTTGTTCTGCCCTAGTACTAGCTTAGTATAGGGTTGTTTGTATTGGTTCAGTATTGCTTTAGTAGTTTTTTGTTCGGCCTGGATAACGGTTTCTCAATCGGATACTCGATTTTTTGTTGAGCGTTCGGGTGGCGCTGTACTACCTCCTAGGACATTTTGTTGGCTGACAACTTTTGTATAATAAAGGATATGTAAGGAAAGCAGCAGTTTAGGAGATGGATGTGGTTTGCGGAGATCTTGTGGTTTGAGAAGCACCTAGTGGACAAGAAGAGAGATAGGAATGACTATAGTCTTGGGCGGTCGAAGGGTTGGAGCTTTGCCGTTGTTTTCCAGACAAAAAGCAAACTTGTATTAGGTACGCCCTTTGATGTTGGTAGGGGACAAATTGGCAAAACTTGTCAAAAGCACAAGACTGGCGTTAAATGTACATCTTATATTTCTTAATTGTCACAACAGGGCACGACCAAACAGCGGATTATATCCTTGTTTTTTCATTTTTTTTGCCGCGTCGGTTTGGCGCCCAGCCCAATCTTCTTGAGAACAAACGGTTATGCGCCGATGTGCAAAGAAGCCACTTTGCCAGGCCAAGGCGGTCACGGATGAGGCAGATCTCTTCGCACCCAAGATCTCCTTGCCCACCGTGCAGCCTGGATCGAGCGGAGCGGGGGAAGAAAGTGCCCACAAAGGTGTGTTATGATTGGTGATTGGTGATGGGTTGGGTATTGTTTGCCAAAATACGGGGAAGGGGTAAACCCAACCAAAGTAGTCCAAGGGCATTTCTCCTGTGCAGTTCCCTGGGCCGAAAGTCAGCTGCGGGTGCAGGCAGTTTGGGCGCTTTTGGGTGCAGACCTGAGACGAAATCCGCCCTACGCTTCGTTCGCTCGGTTGCCCTGTGACGCCCTTTTCCCTTTTTTTGGGTGAAGAGTTCCCCTTTAAACTCAACCAACCAAAACAGTATGCCCTTTTTTCCCCATGGAAATCCACTGGGTATCTGAGTTCATAGGCCTGGCGGAGCAATGATGAAAGCAAACGTCGTGGAGGGTATTGTCAACATCTCCTAATCAGTTAACAGGAACTCGGAGGGCAGTCAAGCGGCTCCGATTCATCTAGGTTCCATCATATGACCTCAGTGCTTATGCTTACATCATCCTCAATCCTCCAACCTCGCAACTGCTGCAGGCTTCTTTAAGATGTAGTTTTGGTCTCATAAAGACGGAATTGGGTGACTTAAAAAAGTATCCCACAACGAATCACCAGACGCCGACTGACATCTCCGGACTGCAACGTTCAGGTAAAAACGCGCGTGCAGTTGTCACCACTGAGCAGTTCTAGACAACGGTTTGGATGTGGCTTTGGAAGACAAACAGGGTGAGCTCCACAAATACGCGAATCCAAACCCGTTTTCTAGAGATACTTTAAAGGTCTCTGGGCAATATATATATATATATACATCATATATTCTGTTGTCACTACTTTTGTTTAGAACACAAGCATATTTCAAAAACTGAGTGAGCAGTGCTGGGCAGGCGGTGCTCTCTGCTCTGCTCGGTGTGGATGTTTTTCAGCGGCTGAGGCAGTGGCATTGGTTCGGAGAGAACCTGCGCGCGCACCACTCCAAGGAGGAGCTGACTGAGCGGAAGGAGATCTACGGCGCTTGGATGGCAGGCGCGCGCGCGCGCGCGACATCTCACGCGCCCACGCGCGCGCCCAGCGGGGTCTTGCGAGGCCCAGATGCCTGGGTTAGGTGAGTTTGGGGCGTGTCTTTTTAGGGGGATTTTGCCAAAATGGTGGGTTTCCTCTAAAAGACACATCCATGTGTATCCCTACCGTGCTGGTGGGACACACCACTTGCTGATCGGACACCGATTCAAGATGCGATTATTGCAGCTGCCATAGGCTTGCATCTGCGGGGAGCGTCAGGGTTGAAGTCTGGAAGATTGGTTCAATGTGATGGATGGTCTCGTGTCACATCATATGGCAATTACAGTGTTGAAGTGGTTTCCTTTTTCGGCTACTTTCAGTCTATTGATTTAGGGAGGACACACGGCGCACTGGCAAGCGACCCCGGGAGGGAAAACGCCATTATTGTTGGTTCATGGCTCAGATCCGCTGTTGACCAGTTGCAATCGCGGAGTTTGGAACAACCGTGGAGCGGGCCTCAAACAAACCGACAGCCAAGCACTCTAGGATGTATGTTTTGGGGATTGAAACAGAAGCCAAAAGGAAACCCTCGCCACTTTGGGTTGAAAAAGAAGCCAAAATGAAACCCGAAAGCCATTTCGCGGGTTTCCGTCCCGGTTGTCTTGCTGGTGTAGCAGGGAATGAGGACCTAAGCCTGGCTTCATTCCATGTCACATTCCTTCTCGCACCAGCAACTGAAGTGTCAATATTCCTGGCCCCCAAATGACCCTGGGCACCTTTTCCCATGTGCTTGGATGCCCAGGCTTTTTCGTACTGAGTGCTTGAACAAAAGGATCTCAGGGGCGGTTTCCCCACCCACTCCTGGGGAGCCCCGCGCCCCGTGCGCGCAGCTTGGCTCTTGCTGCTGGTGGCCTTGGCGCTGCTGGCGGCCTGCAAGAAGCGCCACGGCTCCGTGCAGCGCGGCTGCCAGGCGCGGGGGCGGCGAGTCCGTCTTCGACACATATCGCATGGATGGCCTCGATGCGTTTATTTTCTGATTTTCAGCCTCGATGTGTATGTTCCCCTGTTGGTTTTGAAGGGAATGGATTTATCACTGCTGGAGCATGTTTGGTAGTTTTCTCTTGAAAAGGAGGGCGCGTGTCATCCGAGAGGGACCCAGTTGTTTGAAGCCAAGGCAAAATACCCAATAATATATTTTATGTGCCGAAATGAATCTTTTGTGGAAGTAGTTCTCATCATTCTTTCCAGGGCGTAAGCAAATGGATGGTCTGATTGACGGCTTGGTTGGTACCCCTGAAAGTTTAAGGGGGTTTGAAGGGAAGCCACCGTGTTTTGGGCGGTTCCCCTTTTTGAGACAAACCCATGTCTGGATAAAGCCAGGCAGACATTGGATATGTTACCTTTGTGGCATTAAACCACCTATGCAGCACGCGTTGCCTACGCTGTTCAAGAGTGCGGAAGCTGCGCTGTTCAAGTGTGTGCAAGCATCCACGGTATTTGACTATGGCAGATGAGCAGCTTGATTTTTGACTTGCCGACCACAATTGAAAGTAGTCTTACAGTGATACAGACTGTTATTTGGAGTTGTTGTCGAACTTGACCCGCGTTCCCATCATGTTCCAGCATGCGACAGTCTTTGGCCTCAATATTTTTGTAGCCAAACACAGGGCCCAGCAAAAACAATTCATGTGCCGTTGGAGTTACCCTTAAAGGCGTCTAGGGTTTGCCGTTTTAACTTTAAGGCGTCGAGGGAGTTTGGGTTCGCCGTTTGGGGTGTCATGCGCAAGAGGGCTGGAGTCCAACCGGTGTCGGATTGCCCAAAAAGGCTCCCGATTCAGGTTGCGTCACGCGCAAAGGTCTGAAACCTTTGAGGGGGGGGCGGCAATTGTTCTGCAACTGTGCTATTATTTGTGTGCCATTTGGCAATTGCTGCACGATTGTCCGATATGTTCAGCATTTTCTGCCATGTGAAATGCGAGGTGCCATTGTTCTTCCATCTGTTTGCCATTTGAAATTTAGGTGCCATTGTTCTCCAATCTTCTGCAAGCAGCAACACGGTATGTTGTGTTTGTGGCATCCTTTGCCGGGCAAGTCGCAGCAAGTCAAACATTTGAAAGATGACCAGCCGGTTTTGTCAGCGAAAACAACACCAAACATGCCAACTTGGGACACCAGAAAAGATGCCAACAAAGCAAACACACTCACACAAACACATGTATAATATGTAATATATATACATATATATATATATCGGGATCAGCTTTCCAAGGTTTGGCTGCACAGAACTCTCAGAACTCTGGCCTGTACGTGTCAAATCATTGGGGCTTGCTAGAATCTGATTGCATGGCATATGGACCAGGAGGGGGCGTGCGTTCTGCTGTATCCAGTTGAGCCTGGACGTCACGCATGCGTCGGGAACCGTATCAATCCAAAACCAACTCACCGCATTCTCAAGAATGTGCTCTCATCTTGATGCTCAAGACCCGGTCAGGCTAAGGGTCAGTGTTTCTCTCGTGAAAGCAAGTCACCACTTTACTGTTCAATCTTCTCGGAGGGTTCGCAATGGATTTCCCTGCGAGCATTTCGAATTGAGTTGCAGGCGTTCTCTTTTAGAAGGCTAAAATTTAAGGAGAATTGTTGAGAAAGGGGAGGTACGGCCGTTTTGTCCTGTTTCGCGGCGGAAATGTTCTGCGTCAGGTCTTCAAAGAGACGCTGAAGAGGTTGAAGGACGCGGCGATGACAGAACCAGGCCTCAAGGTTCCAAAAGCTTCCGGGGTTTACGCGAGGCGGGGAGGTTGGAAAGGTGTTTTTTTTGCTGAATCCGATTCCTAGGGTTCCTTCGAGGTAGCAGTACCCGTACCCGCCTCACCAGGAGACGTTCTCGGCTGCCAACCCTTGTGCCTACGAAGCCCTTGACGAGGATGACTGCGAGGAGAGCGGGGGAGTGAGGTGTTGCGGTTCCAGGGCCTGATTGATGGTGTTGGCGAACGAAGCCCTCTCCAGGGTACAGCATTGCGCATCTTGGATTCCAAGTTCTGAATGAACATAGGCCTTGATGTCAATGTGTAAGTTGTACATTCACGCGCGTTAGCATGGTTCGATCTCAAAGATAGAAATTCACACAATCAATGTTCTGCCTGCTTTGATCTAAATTTGTCTGTGGGGCGACACCCTTCAATGTATTTGTGTATATTCACTTTGTTTCTCAGTAGTAGGGGCCCTCTTTTGCTTGGCACTTCTCAGTACAAAAGGAAGCTGACACGGACCTGTTCAGATGAAACCAAGGCGCTTAGTCTGGGAGGCTGTGTCCTTTAGTGGTTGCTTGCAACACGGTTCATAGGTGCCCCTTTAATGTCAGTTTGGTTAGAAATTGACGGGTTCCACTGGTTTAGATGGGTTTTACCGGGCATCTATTTTTTCCAAACGGACGCCTATGACATGGTTACCTTTAGACGCCTTTAGATGATAGAGCTGAGCCGAGCTGACCAGCTGACAGCTGTTGCTTGCTTTGAGGAGTTGGAAGTCGTTGCCTTCTGCACTTGTTGGTTCAATCTGCATCTGTAAGAACTCCCTACAAGAAAGCAAGGCAGTTCAACTGAGGACGCTTGAAATTTGCTGGCTTTATTTCGCTGACGCCTTCCCAACTTGGGGTCCCTCATTTTGACAACCTCGCAAACAGACCCCCACAACCATCCAGAGCTTGCTTGGCAACGCAAGTCTAAGTGGGGAGAGGAAGCTCTGCCAGTAAAACAGTGGCCGGGAAGTGAGGGCATTCTTGGGATCAACCGAAGAGTTCAGACCAGGCAGAAGCTTGTGACCATCTCGCAAACATATTGTTGTACGTTGGGACATAGAAAGCTCTGCTTGTGCTGCTCATGCCAGGCAATCGTGCAAAGGGAGAGTGAACATTGTTTTCAAACCTCAGGCGAAACACACTGTATCTTGAAATATTCACAACCCATGTTTGACTTCAGGAGGTATGTTGCTTCACACATCTCTGCTTCCAGAGATGACACGGGGCCACGCGTGGATTGATGTCGGAGCACGAAGATCGTACATGGGAAGCTTTTTGACACATGGCCATGGGTCAAAATCCCGTACCCCCAGTGCACCTACCCCAAAATGGTACCATTGGTTTTGACCTACAGCCACATGCGGAGGACCTTTTTAAAACCCAGGAGGCCCAGGCTTTGGCTCACCTCTGGCAATTTCATTGCTTCCCTGGCACCCCATCGCTGCGGGGCAAAACAGGCCTAGAGCACGCAAGATCGTTTTGCACACCAATATGTATCTATACATATATATTGTATACATCTATCTGCTATCCCGACATGCCACAAATGATCTCCAATAAGAAAGTGGATCCCCCTTTGAACTGATAGATCTGGAGAAGACCTCCATTCAATGATTGGTCACCTGGTGCCCTTGAATGATTCTTCTCTGTTCGTGAGTATAGTTCAAAAACTAGGTCCACCAGTAGTGCCCTTATCCTACAAAGATAGACTACAGAAAAAGGGTCCCCTTACTCTAACCTCTCTACTGGAGGACCTAGAAAAGGTTTTTGCTTTGGGCCTTGTTGAGTTCTGGTTCTCAGCGTGTGAGCATCTAGCCGCCAATCCCGCGGCTCGGCCGCTAAGACGCGCCTCGCAGGCGGCGGTTGACGAGCCGTTCTTAGCTGCCATGCGCCGTCTGCCCTCCAACCCCGGTGGTGTCCGAGGCGCGGCATGGTGGGAGGTCTTAAGACCTCACTAACACAGGCGCCAACAAAGCAAACACACCAAAGAAAAGAGAAACAACACACAAACAAACACACAAACACACAAACAAACCAAGCAAAACACTAACCCACCCAACCAAGCAAATAAATAAATAAACAAACAAACAAAGAAACAATCAAACAAGCAAACAAAAACACGCATGCACAAAAGTACACCACACACAATTACAAGCGCACACAAGCGCACACGTACAGACAAAAAAACAAGATCAAGCCACACACACACACAACCAGACGCAAACACAACCACAAACAAACAAAAACTCACAGGCACGAAAACAACGCACAACACACACACACACACACACCGACACCACGCACACGCACACGCACGCGCGCGCGCAAGCGCTGGCACACACACACACACCCACCCACCCACCCACCCACCCACCCACCCACCCACGCACGCACGCACGCACGCACGCACGCACGCGCACGCGCACGCGAACGCGCACGCACACGCACGCACACCCACACCCACACCCACACGCACACGCACTCACTCACACCCACACCCACACCCACAGGCACACGCACACGCAAACGCACACGCGCACGCACACGCGCACGCACACGCACACGCACACGCACGCACGCACGCCCACACACAAAAGCACGCACAAAAGCACGCACAAAAGGACGCGCAAAAGCACACACACACACACGCATGTTAGGCAGAACCTATTTGGGGGCGACACCTGTGTTGCTTCCCATTCACAGTCAGGCATGTGTAGGGAGCACGCTGCGCTGTTCAATGGCGGAAGCAAGAAATTCAATTTGCAACCAGCGTTGTCTCATGTTCAGGTGTCAATACTTGGCACATGCCACAAGTCAGCACAATGGAAGATAACACGTTCAGGAAATTGGATCATGCGCCTGTAATGCCTGGGAAACTTCAGAGGTTTCGCGAGAGATGCCTTGTGGATCAATCCATGTCAATATCAAGAAGGGGGTGTTGTTCTTCCCAGGCAACGCATGGAGATTGAATGGGTTTGCGTCAAATAGGCCCCCGAAAATTGGAGCTTTCCTGGTGTTCCTTCGTAAAGGGTACCCTCAAGAGAAAGCAATCAACGTATTTCCCTGCTATCCATACGGAGCTCGCTGAGGCAATGCTGAGTTGCAAAAGCTCTTGGCTCGCCAGCGCCTGAAAGAGGATGAGGAGGAGCAGAAGGATGCTCATGAGACGCTGGGACAACTTTCCTTGGCGGTTCCCAGCCATCTCCCTAGGTTTTTAGTTGTTGTTTTTCGTGTGTGTGTTTTTTGCGTTTAATCGGGAGTTTCCGTTTAACCCACTAAAAAGTTGGGCATTTAGCGGGGGATCTGAGGACAGCTCAGTTTCGGCCCGTTTCTCGGAGGCGCAGGCAAAAGGCATGCATCCAGCAGCGACAGCGTCACGCCAACACAAGCGCTAGGGTTTATCAAGTATGAGCCTGATTGGTGTTCTCAAGACACAGCAGTGTGTGGGAACATTCTAAGAGCAATGGCATGTGTGAACCGCAAACTGCGGCAATGCGAATGGCTTGTCTAGCGGAGTGGCCGGCGCTGGAAAGCCTTGAGCCGGTCATCAACCGGAAGGGCGCCACAAAGTGTTCGTTCAGAAGTGCTGCTCAAGGTGAAATCTGGCCCCATGCTTCTACCAGTGTAAGTCACCCGCTCCCGCTGCTTCCAGAGGATTTCTGTACCATGCTGTTGGAGGATGGAGCAGCACTTTTGCTTCAAGCTGAAGGGCGTTCCATGATTTCAGTGTTCCACACGCAAATGTTAGACACTGGGACGCCAGCTTCATTTTCCAACGTGCGGAAGTTTTCCCGAACATACCCGCGTCACGCGAAGCTGTCGTACTCGATTTTCCCGACGGAAGGGCGTCCCATTTCCATAGCTGTCGTCCACTCGAGGGCTTGACTGAGGACCACTGGCATATTCGGGAATTTTCCGAACCTCTTGAAGAAGTCCCACAACAAGAAGGCGCCAAGATCTCAAGTTTGGATGTCCGTGCTAAGGTTGGGCTAGCCACCGGATTGAATTCAGGATGGTTCGCTCAAAGTTGTATGTATATATATATATATATATGTGAGTAATGCATATATGTATGTATACATATATATATATAGATACATATATATATATATATATATATTCCACACGATGAATCATGTGAGCTCGCCTGGGGTAGGTCGCCCATGAAGCCCACAAAGGGATTTGTGTTGTTTTAGGTTGGTGGATTCTGGCATTCAATGCCAGAAATTGGAGCTCTTTGGATTGAACCTGCAATTATGTGTGTATGTCGCTTGCTTCAGGATGCCTGCTGCTAGGGAATCAATCAAAGGTTTCAGGGCTGTTTTTTTTTTTTTTGCCCAACCCTTGCAAGGGAGCATATAGAAGTCCGATCAATGCTAGGTCTGCTTGAATTGAACCCCTCTTGCCATTAGCTTCGGATCAATAGGCGTCAGAGCAGGCGGAATTGCATTTGATGACATGTAGGATTTGAAGCAGATGAAGCAGGAGATCCTCGAACAGAACAAGGCTGCCATGCACTTGTCGCTGGAGGAGATGAATGAGTCACCCACCTGCAAGTTGTCTCCAATTTGTGGATGCATGTGAAGCATGACGTGTTCCAAAAACGGATCGCTTTTCCTGTTTTGTTAGGGTTTCACAATTTGGAATTGTAAAGGTAAGAGCAAGCCGGTGCCTGCCTTGTGGTGTGTAGGATGAACGAAGGGCTTATCTTGTCGCCGCTCTCTTTTCCAAGCAAATGGAAGGAACCAATGGTCCCCTGTCTTCACACGTGCCCAAATGAGGTACTGACCCCTGGACATGTTTTTGCCCGTCGTGAGGTTTTGATCTTGGAAAGAAACAAGGCAAAGGAGGCCAAATTGCAAACGAGATTCAGGAAGTGCATTAAGCAGGCCGCCTCGGGGGCATGAAACGGCCAAACCGGCTGGCATCTAGTTCGCCTTTCTGTGCTCTCTGCTCTCTGTGTGTGATATTCTGAGGGTTGCCGGCAAGGGCAACATAAGCAGCCGCTTTGCTTCGCGGGATTAAGTACAAGACCAGAGTCCTCCTTCCCTTCCTTTCCTTCCCTTCCTTTCCTTTCTTTCCTTTCCTTTTCCTTCCCTTCCCTTCCCTTCCCTCCCCTTTCTCCCTCTGCTGTCAAGTCAATCCGCGAGAAATGCATCGAGACTTTCACCATGCTACTTCCTTTTTGGGTTTCCTCCAGCCAACTTGAAAAGGGTTCCCTCAAAACCCCAACCATCTTCCAACATTTGAGGGCGTACCCTAATTGGTTGGCTTTAAAGGGAGTGCAACAGAAAACCACCCATTTTGGGTGCGGGTCGTCTGATTCTGACGCATACCTAATTCATTGCTTCCGCGTGGCGAGGCTTCTTCTGGCGCAGAAGGGCAACGCCCCCAAGCACCTGGGCTCGGAACAGCGATGGCGTCCAATCAACCGTACACAAACACACATATACTGAAGACTAGGTCCCCCAGTAGTACCCTTTTGCCCTTTTGGGGGAGGGTTCCCTAAAATAGACTACAGACAAAAAGGGTACCCTTATTCTAGCCTTTCTTCTGGAGGACTTAGCAGATGTTGGGCAAACAGACGATGCAAGCACAGTCACGGAACTTACCTTGAGGTGACCTTGTGTAAGGCCGGCGCGTTTAACCTTTTGGGGCGTTTGATTACTGCACAGGGAACCTCTTGTTTGCAAGGTTGATCAATATTCCCTTCGGCCCCGGTTTTGACCATGGGTAACTTTTTCCCATATGGTTGACATATCTCATTTGCTTGTGGTTTTCCAACCAATAGTCATCCCATGTCAAGAACCTTTGGATCAGCCCCCATTTAGCGGATTAGTTGCTTCCAGTTCATCCTTGAGATCATGCCACAGAGTCCGCACGGGCTAGTGGATGACAGGCTCATCCCGAGCAATGGGGAAAGCATGCCAAAGCCATGAGCAGGAAGTTGGAAAGGAAGCCCTACAGTTCCTAAGACGGTCATGGTGACCATCCCTGCCAACCGCAACTAGGTGTGTTTTGGCCATGGCACTTGTGGATGCCAATGACGGAGTGCGCCTACAAGAAAAGAAGGTTTAAAACAACACTGGCCCATTGCACCGACGGACAAAGTCCTGCACCAGTTGGGACAGCTGACGCCCTATGAATTCAATCATAAACCTGCCAGTTTGCTCAAGCACCAATTGGGACGGACATGTATACAAAAGCAAACCTCATGTCAATTCGTTCAAGTTTTCGTCCCTCAGATTTTGTCCCACTGAGGGAAGAGGCTGAGGGTAAGTTCCAGCGCTGGAAGCAGCCCATCTCCGTGCTCTTCTACTTTGGCTACGTGGGGATCTGTCTGCTGGTGCCTTTGTCCACCTCGGAACTGGCCAGCTGCAGCCTGGTGCTTCAAAGGGTTCCGAGGGTTGCGCTAGAAAGGACGTCCGACGCGTAGCATGCGAAAGCAACGTTGTTCGAATCCATGTAGGCATCGTACCGAAAACCATGGGCAGTTGCTGGTGAGTCAAAGCTAGGGCGGGCCAGTTCAATGGCGCGGTTTCATGATTCATGGTTGTTTGTTTTTGGCAAAACAACATGCATGGTTTTGACACCCCCATCTATTTCGGAAGCAAGGCACTTGCAACGTGCGGCTCATGGCGAAGCGCAAAGTGATATATGTGTCTATTCCGCTTCCCCCGGTGGAAACTTTAGGACTGCGTTTTGGCGTGTGGAAGGAAGGCCCTGGTTTTGCAGGACTTGATGCGTTATTTGAGTGCTACCGGCTTCCACGAAAGCCGCGCTGGATGTGTCACGTTTGGCGCGCGCCCGGTTTCCCCTTGCTAGACTTAGCTTGGTGTGTAGGAACGGTGCGCTCAGCAGCTTTTTGGCCCTAAACCAATCTCGATATTCGTTGATTCAGGACAACCCCCGCGAAACGGATCGTTTGCGTATTGAAGCACACGTCGCTGTTTAAAATTGTTGTCCCTCAAACACCCACCCCCTTGACCCGCATTGCTCAGGCAATCAAGGCCTTCCGTGGGAGGTGCACATGCCGTTCTTCTACTACTTCCTGGCTCTGAAGGCAAGTCTTTTTAAGCCGGCTTGAGACTCGTTATAAACTGGTTGAATTCCTGCAACAGCCGAGCAGCTGTCAACCACAGAGCTTCCGATCATGTTTGCACACCCGAACTGAGCTCTCCAGGAGGCAAGGTCCAGGGCCGAGATCGAGTGGAGCCAAATGGGCCTCTTTTGTTCCTGTCCGCCGAATACTGGATATGAAACCGACCCACGCGTCTCAGAATGGAAGACTGCAGGGAGCAATTTTGTGCAGTTCACAACGTTTGATGTCCAAGCGCAGTCAAATAGGCACATGCATTACTTGCGATGGGTTTCAGATTCGAGGCGAGGATATAAAGCTTGTGTTCGGAACAATTTCTCCGAACTAACACGCCCGTTTATACACGTTGTAACCGCATACTTGTATATGGACCCTGGTTTGGTGCGTTTGACCTGTATTTTCCAGTGTTTTGAGCCTTTTTGGCTTCTTGGATTTGTGTCAAAATTGGGGGGGTGTCATACGTATGTATGATACGCATGCATGCATATAGATGTCATACAACAATGACATCAGCATCTGCAATCTGAAACAGTTTGAATGCATCCAAGAGTTCAAGAACAACTCATATGTCAAAAAAATCGGGGGTTCAAGATTCAAGAATCTGAGAAAATAGTTTCTGGGAATCTTGAATCTTGAATCTTGAATCCCATATTTTTTGCAACTTTTAAGAATTTCTGGATTCAAGAGTCAAGATTCAAGAATCTGAGAAAATATTTACTGGGAATCTTAAATCTAGAATCCCATATATATATATATATATATAAAAAACAAAAACAATAAAAAAAAGAAACAAGAGCGAAAAAGCAAACACCAGGTTTGTCCGAATACTCTCGGTGTTCAATAGGATTCTCGGAAAAGGTTTCCGTGAAATATTCAATCTCGAATCTTCAATCCAGTGGTAAAACACGTTCGAGGTGATAGAACAACTTGAACATTTTTAGGGGTTGAACAGGATGGATGATTGTCAGGAAAGTGGTTGTTTGTGCTCTCCTCAATATGGAATCCTCAATCGAGTGGTAAAGCACCTTCAAGTGTTAGAAGGTTTTGAATGTTATTTGGGTTTGGCCAGGATTGACAATTCTCAGGAAAGTGTTCTGTGTAATCTTCAATCTTGAATCTTCCATCCGGTGGTGAAATATTGTCAAGTGCTTAGCGATCCAGTGGACACACTTTCAAGTTATTGGCTAGACAAGCTTTCAAGTGCTTTTGGTGAGCTTCATGTCAGCTATGCTCATGTTGACCTCTTTCCAGGACATAAACAAAGGTAGATGTAATACTCAAAAACACTGTATTTTACGGTCTTTTATCAGGAGGCGCAGGATCATTAGGGGTACTATACATATATATGTATACATATATGTAGAGGTAGATATACATATGTATGTACGTTCACACACCGTCACCCCCTCCCTCTTGAACTACCTGTCCACATTTGCCCATCTACTACCTCCACCTTTTGAGATAGAATGAATCTTGTTTCCGGTGCGAATAGAGCTTTAAATACAACTGGTTTAGCTAGAGCCCCTGTTTCGAGATAGTTTTAGATTTTGAACCTCTTCCCTTGAAGTTTCCCGGTCCCTTTGGAACACCGTCTAACAAGTTCAATGTCGGACCTTTCTTATGCTACAAAAGGGCCAGAATGCAAATAACACAAACTTGTTTGATTTTCCTTGTAGAAGTCCCTTAAATGTTTCCATGTTTAATTTGAATTATATCTGAGAAGTAGTCTCTATTTACTGGGTATTATCAAAAGCTAATTAAGTTGTGATCGTATTAGATTATATTTAACACTTGGATTATATTTGGGAAACACTTTCATCCAACTTCTTTTGTTATAGATTAGTTCGAGTTTACCCGAAAATATATTCATATTTTCATGTAGCTCCTATATGGAAAGGATTTTCCTATTTAAGCTGTAACTGAGCATAAACACATTTTTGAAAACTATACCCTTACTAAACTATATTCAAAATTCCAATTCTAGTTGAAGTAAAATCCTATTTGGAAAGGGTATCATATTGGGACATTATGGAGGACTCCGGGCTCCAAATTATCAGGCTTTGGGGACCCACAATTGGACATTTCAAGAGTATAAATTTTGAGATTCTAGATTTGCCATCCCCAAAAGGCAGTAAAACCAGGGTCCATGACGGGGGGGGGTAGGATATATATATATATATATATATAATATATATATATATATAGGTTTTAGAGCTTGGTTCAATTTGCCTGGGCAACCCATTTTGGGTACCCATTGCCGACCCCCAGCCAAATCTTTGCCAGGCCTGGGAAGTGACTTTGTACGTCTATGACGACATGGTCACAGGAGATCTCACGCTGCCTGGCGCAAAATCGAGTTGGAGTTGTGTGGCCATTAATACTGTGGATGGACGAAATCCTGTATCGGTTTATTGTTTGTTGGTATTTACAGGGGAATCATCGTTCCAGGATTTCTTAGGCGGTGCAGGATTTCGTCCATCCGCAGTAAGGCCTTAAAAGGGGCTTATCCTTGGCTTATCCTAGGCTTAGCCAGGGGTAGCCCCCCCCCCCACTCCTCACCCCTTGGGGCTCCATCATAAAGCCTTTTCTTGCACTAGAAGTTTCGAAGCAGGCCTGTTTTCTAAGGCCGGCCTCAATATGAGAGTAAACTGGGGCAAGCAGTATGATATCCAAGCAAGCTTTGATCTCAAAAAGCCTTGGCCGAGTTGCGGAGCACACCCGCGGAGGCTTCGGTGTATGCTAGAACAAAACCAGGAGTCCTAACAGAGGCTTCTAGCTATCACAGGTTCGCCCACTGTTAGAGAATTGCCGTCAGTTTCATGGAAGTCACCCCAGGTAGGTGCCGCGACCACGGCCCTTTGACCGCCGTTGTGTTTGCCGTGGTGCATGATTGCGGTCCATACCGCTGCAAATGCTTCTCCCTCTGGAAATGTTTGACGTCTGAGCTGCAGATGTTTGTTGTGTAGTTCGGTCTGACATCGCCAGCAATGTATTGTATGTGATGCTGGAAGGCTTGCTTTCTTTGTTGTTTGTGTGATTGCTTGTTCGTGCTGTAGTGCCTAGCGATTCGCGCCAGCCTGTGGTATTGTCGAGTCATTCCGCAACAAGCTCCGAGACAAGCAATAGTGTCATTCTCAACTTGGTTTAGAGGGAAACATGAGGGCCCACTGCTTTGTCCCATGTCAAGAATCCCGAATTTTCCGTGTCCAAAAAGCTTTCCGTCGGAAGCGGTGCTGGTTTTGGTTTCCGTTTTTTCTTCGGCGAGCGCCGTCCAAGCGCCCGCTGAGGCCCCAGGCTTTCGCACAGACCTTCATCACCTCCTTCATGGGCATGGCCGATGGCTTCTCGGCGGGCGGCACAGACGGGCTTCGGCGGCGGCTTCGGTGGGGCTGGGCTTCGTTGAGGGTCTTGTTGTGTTTCTGTGTGTGTTTCTGTGTGTGTTTCTGTGTGTGTGTTTGTTAGAATGCTTTTGTTTATTATTATTATTAGTATTATTAGTATTATTATTATTTGTTGTTGTTGTTTATGGTTTCTTTTTTTTGTGTTAGTTTGTTTTTTGTGGAGAAGAAACCACGCGCCAGGAATTGGGCGCTAGTTTGGAGAGAGCCACGTTTGGAGGTGTTCTGCGTTTTGAGGCTCACTCAACACGGGCCAGATTCATTTTTATTGGCTGGTAGGGCAAAAACTGATGTAGCTGTGCAGGTAAATAATCTCCGGAACGACAAGGGACTAAGTGAGCTGACTTGGATCAGAAGATGCAAATAGATAGTCAGGTAGTGTTTGCAGCGAGACACCTACACACCCACAACGCACACACTACACACAGACACATTCCACTCAACGGTATATCCCGAGTATTCTGACGACGTACTGTTGGACAGTATAGAATTTCTTTCAATCACCGTCACCCGGCTGTTCCGCTCACTATCCCGAAACGGCTTAATTGGTTATATATGTACCAGTCCCTGGGCCACGTACCCCCCCCCCCCCCCCCCCAATGGTATGGTCCCCCCATTCCCCCGCATCATCCGCATCTTGGGGATGATGCTGGCAATGCTGGGGATGCTGTCCAGTACCGTGCGAGCCCTGCAGCTTCGGTCCCAGACCCCCTTTCACCCCGTGAACCAACACCCCCGCACCTCTCGCAACATCCTACCCTAAACCAAACCACCCTGCAACCCCTCCTTAACCCCAACCCTAAGCCTAAATCAACCCAAAACCCAAACCCACCCGAAACCCACCGCAAACCAACCCTGAACCAACCCTACCAACCCACCAAGCCTAAACCAACTCCGAACCACACCCAACCACCCAACCACCCAACCCCACCACCCCACCACCCACCCCACCCCCCACAGGGGGGGGGGGTTGGCCCAACCACCCAACCACCCAACCACCACCCCACAACCCCACCACCACCCCACCACCCACCCACCCCACCCACCCCCACAGGGGGGGGGGGGGGGGGGGGGGGTCCACGGCCTGGAACATATATAGTTGATCCGGTTGTTCCGTGGCTTCCTTTTTGCCCTCTTTGTTTGGGGGGGGGTCCCACTCAAGATGCTCAGCCCCAAAACCAAGTGGAGCGCGATGTATCGAGGCTACACGGATGCCACGGCCATTATCATCGCCCGCTCCTGCGGGTCGCCTCTCTGGCGGTGGATGGCGCTACTCGACGCAGATTCGGAGGCAACCCACCCCGGTTGGGTGAAAAATACATGTTGGTCCACCTGGTGACCGATTCTTTGGCGAACGCAAAACACATTCTGGGCGAAACGAGGTAGATGGCAGGATTTCCTGATAGTCTTATTGTGCCCTGCACCGGAGTTGTGCCATCTACGTTCGCCCTGGTGTAGATCTTTTTAGGGGGGTACCCTTGTTGGGATGGCCCTCAAGGGACAGCATAGCGACAACTGCCTATTTGAAGGCACGCCAAACGTGCTAGGAGAAGCTACACATTTGACACGCCGTCCCTGCGCTGCTGTTTGTGTGTTTGGCGTTGACTGATACTAATTGTCGTTTGCAGCCGCAGCAGGCTTGTTATATTGGACATGTTGTTCTTTGCTCGAAGCTGAAGCAAGCAGAAGCACGTTTTCCCTAGCAAATGATGATGCTGCTGATGATGATGATGATGATGAGGATGACGATGCCGATGACGATGACGATGATACCCATAAATCCCACAGGTTGGCTTTGCCATTTCCCTTTACATGCCCACAAGGGAACTGTGGCATCTACGCCCCTAGATTGGTTTACGGTACATTCGTCGTATAGGAGGACCCCAGAAAGGATACCAACAGAAAAGCAAATACGCACCCAGCAGCGAAGGGCAGGGGGCACTAAATTCAGTGTTGAACCATTGTGGTGCTCTCTGACCAGCGAGTTGCGGACCTTCATGAACATTGTGAGCAAGGGCTATCAACCCAAGCTTGAGGACTGTGGCACTTGCTTTGCTCCCGGTAACATGCCTATGTGCGCGAAGCATGCACTGCCAAACAGTAACATGCCTATGTGCGCGAAGCATGCACTGCCAAACAGTAACATGCCTACGAAGCAAGAACAACATCATCATCATCATCATCATCATCATCATCATCATCATCATCATCATCATCATCGTCTCTGGGATTGAGTCATTGGGTTGAGGTTGCTTCCCCAAGACCCCCAGGCCAGATCCCAGCAACTGGCCCCATGATCACAGTCATCCAAGAGGTATGCTCAAGGAAACTCTGACTTTGATAAGGACCCCAAATAGTCTGACATATATAACTCTTTCAATACGGTCAAACTATTGGGCCCAACTGCAGTCAAAAACAACTCAGATGAAACCAACGTGCAACGGGAAGCGTCTTAGGGAGCAGGGTGCCGCACGGAGAGTCCAACACTTGGGGGGTAATATGAATCCAGCTGGCAAGTGCCAGGTATCCGCCGCCTTCCCCAGGCATGTGACCAGTGCTCCAGCGATGGCAGGACATGAAACGCGGAGAGATGTTGGGCTCGCCATTTTGTTGGTTTTAAAGGGAACCAGAAGAGGACCCACTATTTAAGACCCTTATGGTTTCCTTTTCTTTGAGGGAAGCCACAAGGGAAACAAAATTTTTTGTGAACCACAAGGGGGGAAACAACTGTTGTGTTGCGGAGAAAAAAAAGGCAAGCACCCATTTAGTTTTGGGACACCACCTCATTTTGGGGGGAGACACGTCTCAGAGTCCTCGACCGTAGTGTAGGTTGACCTACTTCATCGGCGTGGTGCTGTGCCAGTGGCTGGGCATGGGCCTGGCCAGCCTCTTCCACGACCACTCCGGGGCCTGCTTTTACAAGTGCCCTGGCGGACCGCGGAGCACGGTACCGCGGTGTGGGGGCCCAGGGCCTGGCTGTGTCGCTGAAGGGCTGCGGCTCAAAAGCATGCTTGCGGTGTGCCATAGCTCTTAAGTTTTGAGCCACAGCCAAAGACTTCTTCGATCTACTTGCGATACCACAGTAAAACATATCTCGATGGAATTACGCTTACAGCCCCTCGCATGAGGCCTGTGCACCTTTAGGTTGAGATCCATTTTCCAACCACTCTTGAGCCTCTCCTCGTGAAACCACCAGTCTTTTCCATGAAGCCTACAAACAGGTGATCGACCTTTTGCCAGTGATGGCAACAAGCTGATGGTCCAATGGGGCATCATCAGCTAGGATGTATCTGTTCACGGAAACTCACACATTTTTTTCGTGGGGAAACGTAGCAACCCACCCTTTCATGAGACCAAGAAAAGGTGATCGACTTTTTCTGGCTCGGGGGAAACGTGGCAAACAACCCACCCCACAGGGACACATTCTTGCTAGTTGTCATCCAGACCCCCAAAAAAACCAAACCCTATGGTTTCCCTTATTCGGGAATCCCCAAGTTCATTCAACCAACACCTGGAGCTCGTTGTCATTCGTCCCCTAGCTATCCGATCGCAATCGTACCGTTACCAGTGGCAAGTGAAGCATCAATATTCCCAGAACAGCCTTTGGCTACCTTTTCCCATTTTGTGGTTTTCAAAGCAATGGTCATCCCGTGAGTTTCTTCAAGGGACCTTTGGAGCAACCCCCAGCCTGGGCTAAGGATGATGCACATGGACACGGTGGCCTCCTGCATCTCCATGCGTCCAGAGGACTCCAAGGCCTTGCTGGTCTGGCGTCTGGTGAATTGGGTCCGCTGCATCGGGGAGGACCTGCTGCAGTGCTTCTTCCAGCCCCTCCTCCTTACTCCCGGCGATGTGTGTGTGTGTGTGTTTTTGTTTTATTGTTTTGCTTTTCTTGTTTTTGTGTATTTGTTTGCAAGCTTAGCAATTTGTTGGTGTGCTTTTGCTTGGCTTGGATGGTTGTGGCTGCTTCGTCTGCTTTTTTGGTTGCATTCTGTTTGCTTGGCTTTTAGGGGGAGTGTTTGATAGTTGTTTGTCACAAAAAGCAACAGCAACTCTGCAGAGGCTTGAAACAATTTTAATTTGACCTCCCTTGTAACATATGCAAATGGCAACTTTGGGGAAGTCTCCGGTTGGGAATGGGTCGAGATCCCGTGCTGCTGCTCATGTCCCATTCCTGTCATCGCAACTTGTTCTTTTCAGGGTATATGTGCCGTGCTACACCCAAATCGTGCTGTTTATTGGGGTTGCTATCATCAACCCGTTAGAGGTTTCAGACAACCATGGTGTGAATGCCCATCACCCACATGAGTATGACCCTCCAAAGAACAGGTGGGGCAGATGCGCGGGCTGATTTTCCGGAGCCCTTGGCCGGAATGGCGGAAGTCTTTGGGAACATGTTCACTCCGATCATATCCTTGTGGTCTTCGACCTTCAAACTTCATGTGAGCCAGAACAGCATGTTTCCCCCTACCAATCTTAGCGTGTGCTGGGCTTAGGGCTCCCTTTAGGGGCTTGGTAACAAGAATATATGATCTGAGGACACTTTTTGTCCTCACTGTCAAGAAGAATGCAGTGATGCTGCAGCTTGCCTGCAGTGCAAATGCCACGGCTGCTTTGCTTGCTGCAGATTGGTATTTGTGTGCATCTTTTTAGGGATGCCCGTTTTGGATGGCTTTAGTTGAAAGCCAAAAGGAAAACCACCATTTTGCGGGGGGCGGGGCATTAAGACACGCCCGTATCCCCACCCTGTTTTCCTCGCGCGAGACGCCGAGCTTTGCAGTACCAGTGGTGTGACACAGCTAAACCACTTCTGTGCTTAGAGATCCATGTGGACCTTTGATCCCAGACTATACCCTGCCGGCCCGCTTCGCAGCATCGCGGACTGCTGTGTTTTACCATGCGAGCTGGGCGTTGGGGGTTGATGGGTCGCCTTTTTCTTCTTAAGCTATGCTTTACTTGGACCTAGACAACGTCCCTTACAGCAGTCTTCCAAAATATAGGGGCTGATCAATATTCCATTTAGGGCCCCCTTTTTCCATTGAGTGTTTGCCCTCTAGCCCCCCCTTTTTGGGGTGGTTCGAAAGGACTTCCAACTGGTTGGCGAAGATACGGAACTCGCTTCGGTGGCGCAGACTGTTGGAGCTGTGGCGCAATGGCAGCGCACCGCCCCACGGTTACCTTTGTGGGGTGGGGGCGGTTCCTTCCAGCTCTGTGCTCATCCAGGATAAGCCGTTGCAAAGCTCGCTTGTGCACGCATCCAGCTTGACTGTTGGACTCCGTTACATTGGCAAGTACCCTCCCCCCAAGAATCATAGAGGGTTTTGGAAGACTACTTTTCTTTTGGGAAGCCCCATGTCCACCTCCATGATAAAGAGGGTACATAGAGATGAGTCACAGGCGCAAGTTCAAGCGATATTGCTTCGATCTTGATAGCTGGGGCCAAACATTTCCTTGTGATTTCCTTGTGGGCTTATAGCCATTGTCACAGTGAAGCATCCATCGTCACGACGACTACTTCCATGATGATAGACGGTGCACGCCCTGCTTTCACCCATTCGGCCAGATTGTGGAGTGTATTTTTGTTGGCCTCCAAGTTCCCAGCAGCACTCGGAACCGCAGGCAGGCGTCGTCCAAATCTCAGAAATTCTTCCTTCGGGAGATCATTCCTTTCAGAGAAATCCATTACTCCATCTCCTTCACCTAATCTCCTTCCATCTCTATCTCTTCTCTTTCTCAATCATAAGCTTCTACAGCCCACACTCTCTTCTTTCATTGTGTGGCTAGGAAAGCATGAATGAAGAAGAGAGAGATCCATTCCTTCACTCATTCCGTTCCTATCACTCTGAGGTTTAGCCCAAGCGGATGCTTTGACGGGACCTTTGTTTGGAAGGCTCCACTGCCGCGGCAAACCAGCGAAACATGGCTCAATCATGTCCTTTCCCCTGAAGGAGATCCCTCCCAAACCAGATGTTTGTTTGAGATTCCTCTGAACACTTTGCATTTTCACATTACACATGTGTTTCTCTTTCTCTTGAACTTCTTCTTATCCTCCTTTCGGCCCCCCCCCAATTGGAGGTCCCATGTGCCATAGGAAAAGCCGAGAGCCGAGAGGCTGTCCATCGCGGTGGGCGCTTGCACCTCGGTGCTGGCGGTCTACAACGCCGCGAAGCGCGCCGCCGGGGCGGTGGGCACCAGCTGGCAGCTGCTGAAGGCGCCAGCGGAGGGGGGGGTGGGGTGGGGTGGGGTGGGGTGGGGTGGGGTGGGGTGGGGTGGGGTGGGGTGGGGTGGGGTGGGGTGGGGTGGGGTGGGGTGGGGGGGGGAAGGTGGGTGGGGTTGGGGGGCACTTTGGGTTTTCTTATTTGCTGAGTTTTGGACTTTTGTCACTTTTTGGGATGTGCTTAACGATCTTCCAACAGCATCAGCAGATTGAGCAACCCGCGTGACAAGCTTAAGCACTTGCACTGGCTCCACGTTTTGCTCTCTACAAAAAGCCGAGTGAAGCCGGACAACATTAGCAGATTAAACAACCTACATGACATGCTTGAGCATTTGCACTTACTCCACGTTTTGCTTGTCGAGCAAAGCCAAGGAAAGCCAATTGAAGCTGGACAACACCAACAGATTCAACTGACATTAGCAGCCTGCATTTGTGCTGCTTGCACGCCGTTCCACTGGCAAAAAGTTTGGGCTTTGCTTAAGGCCAATCCACTCAGAAAAAGAGCTTTAGGTTCCTCATGCAAGCGAAGTCGATCAGAAGGGTCAAAACAGGTAAGCATGGCTGAAGGCGCAAAGCAGGTGCGGCCGCTTGCGGCGGGTGTGCTAGGTTGGGAAATTTGAGGGGGGGGGGGTCTCTCATTCATAACCAAAAAGGGACTCAACAAGGATAGTTTCCTTTCAAAGTTTTCTGGGGGTAAACCAGCCCAAACTCACGTAACCACACCCTAAGGCAAGCCTAAAGCCGCTGCTAAACTGGGAGCACTTAATGGAGGTCCATTTTTTGGGGGGATTTTTTTTTTAAATTCTGTTTTTTCAGGGTGGGTGACTTTTCGGCTTTTTGGCTTTTGTGGCTTTTACGTGGGTTTTTGTGGCTTTTGTGGCTTTTGTGGCTTTTCATTTCGCATCCTTGTCTTTTCGCATGTTCCGCTGCAACAGGTGGCTTTTTGGCTTTTGGCGGCTTTCTGGCTTTGGCTTTTCGCATCCTCTGCTTTCCCAGTTGGTTTTTGGCCTTGGCTTCCTGCATCCTCAGCAGCCCCCCGTTTCAATCATCATGCGGCAGCTACTTTTTAGATTCTTCGCCCCTAATTGAATCACCACTTTTCTTGTTCGATCATCACAGGGGGGCTGCCGCCCCCCCCCACCCCCCCGCTACTTTTTAGACTGGTGTATTTGTTTGGCCCTAATTGAATCATCACTTTTTCGGTCTTCATGGGGGGGGGGGTGCCGACCCAACCCCCTCGCTACTTTTTAGACTTTTTGCCCCTAATTGAATCATCACTTTTTCGATCATCAAACAGGGAACTGCCGCCCCCAACCCCCCCGCGCCTTTTAATTGAATCATCGCTTTTTCAATCATCATGGGGGTGCTGCCCCCCCCCCCCCCCCAACCCCCGCTGCTTTTTAGACTTTTGTGCCCCTAATTGAACCATCACTTTTTTTGATCATCATGGGGGGTCTGCCCCCCAACCCCCCCGCTTTTTTACTTCGATCATGGGGGCTGCCCCCCCCACCCCCCCCACCCCTCCTGATGCTTTTTAGATGTGTTTGCCCTTAATTGAATCATCACTTTTTTGATCACCATGGGGGGGCTGCCTACTTGTTGAATTTTTGGCAGAGATTAAAATGCGCCCCTAGTTGAATCATCACTTTTTCAATCATCATGGGGGGTGGCTGCCGCCCCCCCAACCCCCCCACTACGTTTTAGGTGTTTTACAGGGATTAGCTTGCCCGTATTTATCATGAGGCCGGACCCGCCCCTCTTTTTAACATGCATACATAAATGCCTACCTACCTTGCCGCAGAGGAACTGATGATGCTGAAGATGCAGGAAGCCAAGGCCCTCGATTTGCTGGTGATGCTGGGGATGTTGGCTGGACATGCGGGGGATGTTGAAAACGATGCTGACGGACTAGCGTAAAATGCGTACATTTCGCAGAACATGCTGTAAATTACAGCATTTTAGTAGCCAGGACGGAAAACACAAAAAATCCTAAAATAAAACAAACAAAATCCCAAATTAAATCTCGACCGGCACTTGCCCCCTCTCACCCATTGCTGGTATTTACAGGGGAATGGTTTTCAAAAACCAGAGTTTGTCCTTGGTGCGAATTTTCTGGATTTCGCCACCACGTGGCACCCGAGCTCGAGATTCGTAGCCTCTCACTTCCTGAGTTCAATGGACTTGAGTCACTTTTCGGCAAGGCCATTTCAGTGGCAACTTAAAAAGAATTCCAGGACATTTTTCGCCTATCCACTCGATAGGCCAAGGCGACTGCACTCCCCTTCCGTCGCCCGCGGCGCCCAGGTGCGGCGGGACATGGCCAAGGCCGCGGCGGAGGGCCGCGCCGCGGACTTCGAGGCGGCGCTGAAGGAGGCGGAGGACTACGGCATCGAGTTCAAGGAGCGGCTCACGAGTCCGAGTCCGAGTGAGTCGTGAGCTCGGAGCGCCGTTTCGGGGACGTGTTTTTGTTTGGTTTGTTTTGTTTCTCACTTTTGGGATGGAGGATTTTGGTGGTAAAGAAAAAGTCCCCGGACACTGAACATGAAGAGTTGAAGAGGACCTTGGAAGGTCACGTAAAGTTGTCCGATCATCTTATACGTTCGGCAGGAAAGTATATTCCTGTTTACAGCTGCGCTCTGTCGTTGAGATTCATGAAGCCAATTTGCGCGTATATAGGCCCATCTGGTGCCCAAAGTAGCCAGGAGATTGCGGAGCATGTGGCCAAAGGGGAGCGGCAGCTGCAGTACCTGAGCTCGGGGCCTTACGCGCCCTGGCACGAAAGTACGCGTCAAGCGAGTCTGAGTAGGCAACATGGAACAATCAAGCTTCATTCAGCATGGCTGCGGACATGGCAGTTCACCTTCTGTTGCACTTAACAGCTTCGACCTATCACCTTCCTTTTCTTGAAGCAACCAAACCCATTTTTTTAAGACCCAACCCAATTCGGTGTTTTTGAACTGCGTCTTCAACCCCAAGGGCTTTCCCGCGGCCCCGGCCCAGAGCACAGGTCATCGGCGAGCCGACGAAGCCCGAGATCGCCGGGAAGTTGGGCAGCGAGGCGCGTGGGTCGCGCGGGGAAATCCCAAGGGCTTGAGCCCTCAAACGGCAAGGCCTTGCTTTTGAAGCTTCTTACCTTCTTTGTTTGAAAAAGGTGTCACCTTTTGAATCCTGGCTTAAATCTCCAGGGGGGCTGAGTATCTTCCTCAGGCTCATGGTTCCAATCTGCCTGAATCAATCATTTGCCTCTGCTCTCGTCCAGAAATGCCGCCAGGATCTGATGGACAGCGTCGCTTATCGGCGCCGCACGGTGGAGTTTGCCCACGAGGCCAGGCGATCGAGCAGTGAGGCTGATGGGTCCTTCAGTGCCGATGTGTTTGGGCACGGCCAAGAATCCTTGGCTATGAGTTTGCCTTGGCGAGGGCAAGCCATGGGATAAGCCAAGCGCCTAGCCAGTCCTTTTGCGGAACCAATTCTTATCTCAGCTAGGCTGTTCAAATCCTTATCTTGGGGTACGAAAGGGGCCAATTGCGTTGGTATGATGGAAATTAGGCTTGGCCAGGCCTGAACATCCAAAACATGTTATGCAATTTGATCAAAGGGGGACCTTCTGTGCAAGAACCTCGTCCAAGCGGTCAGCTGGTCTTTGAAGGCCGGAGGCGCGGAATCTGCCCGAAATCCCAAGAAATGAGTTTTACGGAGGAAGGAACAACTTGCCGGTGCTCAGCAAGGAATGAGAAAATAACCCTTATAAACCATCCAACTCATGATGTCCTTTCAGGGAATCCCTGGGTTCGTTCCATTTCACATGCCCTACCTATACGGGGGACCCCCCAAGTGGAAGGCCGCGGCGGCGCGGAAGAACATGCTGGAGGAGATGGAGGCGCCTGCCACCTGTGCGGCGCGGAAGAGGGGCAGCCACCATGAGGGCCGGCACCTGGCGAAGGCCGGGGGGGGGGGGGCTGGTTGAGGGCTGGGGTGAAGGGTGGGAGCTGCCCCATCCTCAACTGGGGCCACCCAAGCAGCCGCAAAGCAGGTCTACAACGCCGAGCGCCGCAGCGTAGACTTCGCGGTGGCGGCGCAGCAGGCCCGGGAGCTGCGGCTGCGGAGGCTCGTGAAGGCGGGGGGGAAGGCTGCGGGGGTTGGGGGCCGGGGGTGGTTGAAGGATTGGAGGGGTTGAAGGGGGGCTTGGGGCATCCCAAGGCGAAGGGGCTGAGGGAGGATGGGAGGCTTGAGGGCTGGAATTCGGTGTCTTTTTTGAAGGGAAGCCAAAACGTTAGTTTGTGTTATGCAATCACCTTTTGATGGCTGATTTAAACGTGAGTTTCCTTTGGGGGTGATGAGTAAAAGGTTGGACGCATGTCCCCAACGGCGACTTGGGCCTCGGACAAGTCAACCTGGAAAGCGGGGGTGGGCCACTAGGAATCAATAGGGTATGTTCGGCAAGAAGTGATCCGGATCCCTCTTAACTGATCCCACCCCTCCCATTCATCCACCATTTCTGGGTTCCACTCTTGCGAGTTCCGCCATCTCGAGGAGGGCGACTGCATTTGCGTGGGCTCCCATCCCCGGGAGTTCCTCAAGGGCAGGGAGCCGGATGCCAAATGGTCGGACTAGTGCGCCACACGGTCCGGACCGAAGCTTCTTCCGAGGACGGAGCTGGAGAGTTCAGCTGGAGATTCAAGAGTCCTGGTTGTTTTTCTCTGAGGTTTTTGGGGGTTGGGACAGACAAAGGGTGGGCTTGGCCCATTATGTTCTTATCCTTTCCCTCAATAAATCCCTCCCCCCCCACTTGCCACCCTCAAAATTATGCGTCTTTTTGCGCGGCAAACCTGGCAGCCATCCGGGCTTCTGGGCCCAAGTCCGAGTGAGGAGTTTGAGCACTGCAAATTTCAATGCTGTTCTTCGGATTAGTGCTGGAGCGTCTAAAAATTGGTTCAGTGGTTTGAGTTAGGTACTGGCGTTGCATCGCTAGAGAAAAACTGCTTCGCTGGCTTGGTGTCGGTTTAGTCCTGGCTCTTATGGAATCAAGTGCCCGTAAGTACGACTGGAGCTGGGGTCAGCGGGAAATTCGCTGGTCTGGAATTGGTTAGCATTGGTTCAAGCCATGGGCCAGAGCTGGCAGCTAAAACACACCGGTCGATTTGCCTCAACCTGACACGGGGAGGTAGATATGGTATCCGAAGGCCACCCGCATTGCTTAAGGGAGTTTGATTATGGCGCCTGACTGTCGATGTGCAAGGCTGGGCCCTGATCCTTGCGTCCTGGATAGTCTGGGCACATTGCAAAACACACTTTTTGGTGTAATGATTCAGTCAGTTCATGATGTGGCCTGTGTGAAATTCTGCCCAAGCTCTTTCCCTTTTCTCCGCTCTACTTGTTGGTTATGGGTCCGGTCAGGCACGAGGGGAGGCTCCTGAGGTGATGCTCCCGGTGTTAGAGGGTCAGCGCAGAATCAAAAAGGGGATAGTGCTTTGCAGCTATGCCTCGCTTTTCGAACTTGAGGCTCTTCAAGCAATCCTGATTTTTCGGGATCTTCATTGAATCGGTTTCTCTCTGGAAAATATGGCTTGGGAGTGGCCAATGTATGTTAAACCAGCCCAGCTACTGGCCAGCGCGAGGAGATTTTCTCACAGCGCTACCTCAATGGAATCCTTGGTCCACTGGAACAAGAAATGTTGCGTGATGCGATTCGCTGCGATGCCAAGCAGTTGCGGCGCACGGGTCGGAACCGGGCCCCATATTGAAGATGAACGAACGCATCCACATCAAAGCAAAGCTCAGCTCTAGCATTGTTCGGCGGGAATATCAAATCTAAGCAAGCTTTGGTGGGAATACATGGGAATACCATGACTTGTCAAGACAGAGACGTTTCTGTCACGCGAAGTCCCTGGCGCGAGCGAAGCTCGTAGTCCAGTCTAGGCCGGCGAAGGATGCCTTGATGACGAAGTGTATCAACTGGGGGTAAGATGGGATGGGCTTGTGTTTTTGGTTGCGTTTTTTCCGCATTGGGTGAAAAACGGAAACAAAGGGAACCATCATCTCTCTCTCTCTCTCTTTTTTTGCGAGCCCCCCTACACGCAACAAATGTGCACGTGCGCGCGAGAAACCCGATTTGGGAAGGGGCCTTTTGTTTGACCTCGCTGGTTCATATCTCTTGTCCAGTCGAAAGTTATCACGCGCGGCTGCATGGAGTAGAGGTGGGTGTGGGGGCGATTCGTTTCTTACGCGTGATTTACACCCATGCCGGATTGCGTTATTTCCTTAGCAACAACCACGGCAGGACTTGAGTAGAGACCTTTGGTTTGCCTCCGTTTGTTCGTGTGTTCTTTCCCAGCTGAGGACGAGTGTAGTTTTTGTTTGCGCCTTTTTCTGGGGACATGTCCCAGAAGTGACTGATTTTGGCCCGAGTAGGGACCTTGCCTTTGCTCATGTTTTTTGAGCACGTTGCTGCGTCCTTGTGTCTAACTCGTGAGCAGACCAAACCCGGGGAAATGAAAAGTTAAGGGACAGTCTGACATGTCCAAACCAGAAATAGGTGTAGCGGCAAGAGTCTCCTTCTGTTTTTCCATGAAAGGCATCCATCGCTGTGCCCTTGCTGACCCTGTCATGATGACACACAGCTGCAGCTGCGACAACATGCAGCGCGCTTTCTTCTCTTCTGTTTTCCTTGGGTTGAGAGCATCCCCGGGGAGCAAAAAGGCCGCGAGGCTGCGCGGCACTCGTGCTTGGCGGTGAACATTTTCCGATTTCGTCCGCAACGAGCCCGCAGTGAAAGGAGCTCACCAACATGCCCTTGCAGATCCCGTGTTGTAGGTGGGGTGCCTGTGGGCTCTCTGGATTCATCAATCAGTGGATTCGCCTGTTTGCCCCTGTTTGGCAGAAGTGTTTTAGCTTTGCTTGGCGTGCCTGGGCGTTGATCAGCTGAGCTGGCTTATGTGGGTTCCGGCCATGTTTATTTTGTCATGCTGACCATGTTTGTCGGTGTGACGCTTGATTCTCCGACTCGAACTGAGACTGGGTGATGGAATGGTTTGTTCGTTTTGGTTCTCCTTTCCTCAACAAACACACGCACATTTCAATCTTGCTTCGTGTGCTTGTTTCTCAAGCCTGCCCGTGGCTCGTGGAGTGCGGTTTTGCGTTCCTGAGTTTTTTGTTATGCTTCCTGCCAAACTTCCTGCATTCCCCTTTTTGCACCCTCCAAACGTGGCAGTGTCAGTGAACAGCATTTGAAGGGGGGAATCCAATGATCCCTGAGAACGTAAGTCGCGCGTTTTTTTCCTAGATTCGCTGCTAAGCTGTGCTGTGAGGAGTGTGTGGAGAGCTGGGTTTCACGTGTACAAGAAGCTTGCCCACAAGTTTCACAGTCAGGCCAGTACCTGTCCACCTTTGGGGTGTGTCAGGCACACCTTTGCATGGCCCAGGCTGCATCCAACTCGGAAGCACTTAGACAACCTTTCTCCTTCCTGCCTCCCAGTTGCAACCTGTTTTCAACCTGCTTTTTGGGAAGGGTCCCCCAAACAAACTCAACCAAAACCGGGATGCCCTTTGTTCCCCATGCAAATCCACGAAGCATCGTGTAGAAGATGTGCTGGAAGATCAGGGGATATTCCGTCAGCCTCATGAGGTGCTTTGCATGCCGCCCACCAGTGAGGAGGCACGCGTCCGGGCAAAGTACTCAGTCAAGATCTCAAAGAAGCAGAACGGAGGTCTGGGGACTTTGCAGCAAATCAAGCGATGATACTGTGGATGGTTGCGAAATCCAGAAACCCTGGTTTATGATTCGATTCCCCAGTAATACCCAAGAAACCTAGTGGAAGCAACCATGGTTTCATTTCGTGGTGCGAACGGATGTCGCGGGTGAACAGACTTCTCATAAACCGGTCTTTGGCATGGGCTGAGAACAGACTCTCAGCTCATGGGTTTGTCTATCTGGGAACCCCCGAGGAAAAAAAAGCTCAGGTGGTATCAGTAATATCCCCAACAGCATGCGGTGCTCTTTTTAGTGCTCGCACCAAGAACCTCGTGGAACCCGTGGAACCCTGGTGGAACTCTGGTGGAACCCTGGTGGATCCTTACGTCAGGGCCGGCCCGTACCACCCCGGAGCCTATCTGGGCTGAGACCCCAAAGCTTCAGCTGTGGGGAAAAAAGCCGAAGAGATAGGCTTCCCTCGGGGAAGCCCCCACTTAATCACCCTGTTGAAAAGGGTCCCAAAGACACACCCCTTGCACGGAGGCCATGTCCACCATCTTTGGCTCTATCATCTCCGGGTTCCTCCACCGCTTCAAGAGCGCAGCCCTTAGACCCGTCCAGGCGGTGTCCTATGGAAACGAGGTGGTTTTGTTTGGGAGGTCGATCGCTTTTTTTCGGCGTTAGGTTTCAAGGGCCAAATGAACACCGCCCATTGCCAGACTTAGCTTACCTCTCAAAACGCTGTTGCCCTTGTGGTGCTTCTTTTCCTTTCAAACCCACAAGTTCTCTCACGTTTTTTTTCCAGGTTCCCAGGTTTCCGGTCGGATTGGGCGGATTGGGGGGGGGGGTTCGTTCCGGCCTTGGGATCCCATCGCCGTGTCCGAGGTGAAGTTCAGGGCCTGGCCAATGCCTCGGTGCAGGCCACCATCGACATCTACAACAAGCGGGGGGCCCAAGGACAATGAGGGGGTGGGGGGAGGGGGGGGGAAACAGGCGGGGAGGGGGGGACCTAAGCCGATCGACCGGATCTGACCGGATCTAATCCCAAAGTTGTGTGGTCCAAAACTGGAGCAATCTTTTCTTGTCAGCCCTCGGTTGGGCAAGTGAGCCATTCATTTGGGAGGTTAAGGGGTGGGGGCCGGGGTTGATCTAGAAGTGTGAGGGGGGGGGGCACATGAAGGAGCAGAAATGAGAACTGGTAGTGGTGCTTGTGTTCGTTGCCGGGGGAATTCTCAACTCCAGAATCCCGGTTTCGGGTCCAAAAGGGCCCAGGGCGTTTTGACTGGGAAAAGGCTTAAGGAATTGGAAGAGTCCAAAGTCTGGTTCTTTTCCAGCCGTATTTGCCTGTGTGTTTGTGTGTCTGTGTCGTGTTTGCGTGTTTGTGCGTGTGTGTGTTTGTGTGTATGTTTGTTTGCGTGTTTGTGCGTATGTGTGTTTGTGTGTTTGTGTGTCTGTGTCGTGTTTGCGTGTTTGTGCGTGTGTGTGTTTGTGTGTATGTTTGTTTGCGTGTTTGTGCGTATGTGTGTTTGTGTGTTTGTGTGTCTGTGTCGTGTTTGCGTGTTTGTGCGTGTGTGTGTTTGTGTGTATGTTTGTTTGCGTGTTTGTGCGTATGTGTGTTTGTGTGTTTGTGTGTCTGTGTCGTGTTTGCGTGTTTGTGCGTGTGTGTGTTTGTGTGTATGTTTGTTTGCGTGTTTGTGCGTATGTGTGTTTGTGTGTTTGTGTGTCTGTGTCGTGTTTGCGTGTTTGTGCGTGTGTGTGTTTGTGTGTATGTTTGTTTGCGTGTTTGTGCGTATGTGTGTTTGTGTGTTTGTGTGTCTGTGTCGTGTTTGCGTGTTTGTGCGTGTGTGTGTTTGTGTGTATGTTTGTTTGCGTGTTTGTGCGTATGTGTGTTTGTGTGTTTGTGTGTCTGTGTCGTGTTTGCGTGTTTGTGCGTGTGTGTGTTTGTGTGTATGTGTGTTTGCGTGTTTGTGCGTATGTGTGTTTGTGTGTTTGTGTGTCTGTGTCGTGTTTGCGTGTTTGTGCGTATGTGTGTTTGTGTGTATGTGTGTTTGTGTGTTGCTGTGTATGTGTGTTTGTGTGTTTGTGTGTCTGTGTCGTGTTTGCGTGTTTGTGCGTATGTGTGTTTGTGTGTATGTGTGTTTGTGTGTTGCTGTGTATGTGTGTTTGTGTGTTTGTGTGTCTGTGTCGTGTTTGCGTGTTTGTGCGTATGTGTGTTTGTGTGTATGTGTGTTTGTGTGTTGCTGTGTATGTGTGTTTGTGTGTTTGTGTGTCTGTGTCGTGTTTGCGTGTTTGTGCGTATGTGTGTTTGTGTGTATGTGTGTTTGTGTGTTGCTGTGTATGTGCGTTTGTGTGTTTGTGTGTCTGTGTCGTGTTTGCGTGTTTGTGCGTATGTGTGTTTGTGTGTATGTGTGTTGCTGTGTATGTGCGTTTGCGTGTTTGTGTGTCTGTGTCGTGTTTGCGTGTTTGTGCGTATGTGTGTTTGTGTGTATGTGTGTTTGTGTGTTGCTGTGTATGTGCGTTTGTGTGTTTGTGTGTCTTGTGTTTGTGTGTTTGATTGTGTGTGTGTCTTTTTTTTGAGGGCCCCCCCAAAATGGCTTCGGCCCTCCCCTGTACGTTGATTCGTTGCCGTCGATTGGCTCTCAGGTGCGGAGATGAGCTTCTGCCCACCCCTACGCGGCCGCACTACACCTTCAACCTCCGGGACGTCTCCAAGGCGATGCATCGCCTTCCATTGAAACCCAAGGGAGCCAAACACTGAAAGCCACAGGAACCAAACAAAAACACAAGCCAAGGAAACTGAAACTCAAAGGGACCAAACAATTCCCCAGCTGAAAGCCTTTTTGGTCGACCGACATCAATCGGTGACTTGGGGGCGGTTTGGGTTCAATAGCAGAGTTATCTCCGGGGGTTCTGGGGGGGGTGTCCGGGGCTGTTGGGGATATCACTTGAGCAGCGCCATAAACCCTGACAATACAAAGTAGTAAAGGGGGGTGTCCTATAGAATCCCCGCGAAAGCCAAAACGCAGGCCGCGAAAGCTGGCGAAAGCTTATCGCGAAAGTAACCAAAGAAGGTCCCGCCGCGAAAGACCCGCGAAAGCCTGCATGCTGTGTGGCAGTCCGCCGCGAAAGCGTCGCGAAAGCAAAACATGGGGTCGCGAAAGCATCGCGAAAGGGTCGGCGAAAGCAAGTTCATAGGACCGCTTTTTACACAAGAGTATTTGGCACGGCTCACTTGGACTTGTCTTAGGAACCTCGTGTTGGTTGGTTTTGGGAAACCACAAGGACTACAATTTCAGGGGTGCTTTAATTTTGCACAATGACACAAGACGTAAAACAGAAATATATACATTTAGGGATGTGTTCCTGATTCTTTAAACTCGAGCGACAAGCACTCGACAACCTTATGCAAGCTTTGTGAGAACTCGCTGCGCATGAAGCCATTCTCTTGCACATGCCTTGTCCTTCTTTTTGCCAGCACCAAATTACTCTATCCCATGCAGAGCTGGGGCTTCTTGAATGGTGAGTTTCAAGCCAACTGATGCCTCATGGCTTGCAATCCTTCACGAATTGCAGATGAGGTTGGGACTGGTATGAGTTTCACAGGTCAATGCGGCAATGCCCCATCACTCTTCCCCCTTGGCAAGAGGGTTCAGATGTCATGTTACACGTTGGGCATGGACACCAACAAGTGCATCTCCCGATTTGCTATTTGATGGGGACAAGAGAGGGGATTGGGTCTTTGCCATCAGCTCAGTGCCTCATGGTACTTTAGACGAAGTTGAGACGAGCAAACAAGGATCCTTGTGTCCAAAGGTGACCGACAGAGTTGCTCCGAACCTGAAGACAATGACCAAACCAGGTAGAATGCTGGCACTTCGATTCCTTTCAGGGGCCAACGTACTCCCCCTGTGTGACAGGTCTTGGAATCTTGGGAGCAATGCAAGGGCCTGACCCAACGAATCCCCAAGGCAGACGACACTTAGACCTGTTTTGCATGTTTCCGGTTGAACTGTCAAACTTGTCCCTTCGAATGATGCGTTTCGTCAAAATTAGGCGCCCGAATGATGGGTGTCCTACAGTTTGCCACTTCCACAATGACCCCAAGAAAGGCTGGAGAAGGTGTTGAACAATTCCGGTGCCCGGCTTTCCGCGGAAAGCCGCCGCAGGTGTTCCAGGGTTTGCTCATGGTGAAGCCGATGCACGCCTCAGCCTCAGACAGCGCGAAGGCCTTCGGATGGTCCGCGAACCGGGGGAAGATGACCTAGCTGCATACTGCTGGCAGTGCAACAGCATTGGATACTCACTCCATCCACTTCTTCAGCTTTCTGCCAGTGTCAGCTTCTGATGTGTATGGTAGGACCCTTGCTTTTCTCCCGCGGACGGTTTGTTGCCTCCTGTGCGATGTGGTCACATTGGCCCCGAGCCGAGGTTCCAAACGCGGAAGCATACACGAGGCGGGGGAAATTTAGGGCCCCCGAGTTTGGGCTCGAGATGTCCAGATGGCTGACGCTACGAGACGTGCCGTGAGTGGGGGTTGGATCTTCAACTTGCAGCCTCTCAAGTCGGGGCCGTCCATGAGAAACAACTATGATATTAAGCAAAAATCAACATGTGCAGTGCTCGTGAGCACATGTCGCTCCAAGCAAGCATGGATGCTCACAAGAGGTTTGACACGTAGGTGTGTCGGTCGATCGATTTGGTGTGAGCTTGAAGAATGAGTCATCAGAGCTGCTTAAGGCCAAGAAAGTACCAGTGGCGATTTTGACCGTTGGACCTGGAAATTCCAAAGCCGCCGGCACTTCCCCTACGGCAAGGGTTGCGGGATGGCCTCATCTTACTACATGGTTAGAATCGCTGGACTTGGAATTTCAAGCCCACGTTTCGACAGATGCAAGTGCTGTGCACGTCTGAAATATCTATCCGTGACCGAGATTTGCCAAGGCCGCCCGATTTAGAGACCACCTAGTGTAGATTTCCTCTTGGAGGTATGCCAGACTGGTCCTTGGTGGGAAAGGACCGGAGCTCACCGGAGGCTTTGGTACCATGAGCTCTCTCGGGTTTTCTGCGACCGCCTGATCAACAAGAACGACAAGGCGGCGGGGCGGCAGGGCAGAAAGCGTGTGCTTGAAGAGACAACTCGCATTCGAAGCCTGCCTAAGGGTTCATGAGGGTGGCCTCAACCATGCTTCGCGTTGGGCATTTTGCCTTGTGAAGGACGTTGAAAGGGTTGACGCTGTCACCCACAGGCAAAAACACAAGCAGGCAAATTTGGGCATCATCATCATCATCATCATCATCATCAGCATCATCATCATCATCATCATCATCATCTTCTTCTTCTTCTGCTTCATCGTCATCGTCATTGTCGTCGTCGTTGATTTGACATGCACTGCCGCCTAATCGGCAGCACATATTTGCGGCGTCGCGAGAGCTTAGTTGTGGGCGTGGTCCACACAGCGTCCGGTCCTTAGCTAAGTACACGCTGCGGTTCCCGAACATCTCTACTGTCATGGAACCACGCCGGGCAGACAGTGGCACCTTGCGCCACTCCAATGGTGAACATCACATGTAAAGGACCTTTTGATCAACCCCCTCATGGGAATCCTGCACCTTCCTTTCCAGCCAAATGTCTTATGGTGCCTCTGAGCTTTCAACGTTTGAACCACTCGCCAGGAGTGGTTCTACAAGGCAGCGGCGGAGCAGTTGAAGTCCAGGCAGGAGTCGATAGGGAATTGCGCTGAATTTCCGTGAATCATCCCTCGAGCGCGGGCATTCTACTTAGTTGGGGTCCCTTGAAGATGCTTTCATGGTTCTCTTGAAGATTCTTGCACCAGGTTTGTTTGTTCGCAGGTTTTCAGATTCTTCTTCAGAAGCCACCAGAGAGAGAGAGAGAGAGAGAGAGAGAGAGAGAGAGAGAGAGAGAGAGAGAGAGAGAGAGAGAGAGAGAGAGAGAGAGGGGGGGGTGTTGACAAAGGGGCCCCACAAATGGTGGTTTCCTTTTGGCCAAAACGCCATCCCAGAAAGGGCACTCAAAGAAGAACACATGCCCAAAACCCGCTTCTCCCTCGCCTTGCGCCCCAGGTTCCGAGTCATGGACACAGACTTCGAGATTTGGACCTCGCTGATGTGGTGCAACTTCCTCCGCCCAGTGGAGAATCGCGTCTACGAAGAGGCCAAGGACAAAACCAAGGCACCGGACGCGCGCGACATGCGACGCGGGAAGCTGCAAAGTTGGTTCGTCGGCCATACACAAATTAGATGGACGCATATGAGCCATGGTCAAAAAACCGGTTCCTTTGCTTGGGGTTAAGAGGAGTGGTCTTTTATGTGGAGTAAGGATCCTCAATGACCACTTAATTCTAAGGCAGCCATGTCCAGACGCTATATAAGGGTTTTGACCATGGCACATATGGTAGGGCCTATTGATTTGTGCTGTAATACTGTGTATGGACAAGGTCCTGCACCACCTAAGAAACCCCGTTTCTGATGATTCTCCTGTAAACACCAACCAACAATCTCATGTTTTTTTCGTTTCACCGCGCGGAATCTGCGGAAACGAATGCATGGCTCTTGGGCATTGCTCTGGCCTTTGTGCGGCTTTGTCCGTGCGGTGCGGCTTTATCACCAAGCCTTAGGGTTCACTGGTTGACCCAATTTGCATGAAACTCCTTAGGTAAATCATGGTTGTTATATCAACCCAACCATTATTTTAATGGTGGTTGTTTCACCCCAGAGCAGGGCTTTGTTTGAAGATTTTGGCCTTCCACGCAGTTCTCAGTCCACAGCCGATGGATCCACTCAGTTAGTTTCTTTGGTCGCTATGGCCCCAAACAGGTGGACATGTGTGTCCCAGTGCTTAGGGCAAATGGATTTGTGTGCGATGATCTTGCCTTCTGACATTGTGTTTTCAAGCTCCGCGTGCCGGTGCTTGTGCAGTTGAAGTTCCATCATTGCTTTGCACTTCATCCAGTCAGACTCTCCACTCAAAACCAGTAAGGGTACATGATTCGGCAAACTTTATTCGGGGCCTCTCATTTCAGGGCCTTCAAAGCAGGCTCATTTGTTCCGCCAGAAAGAAGAAAGTATTTTCGAAGCAAGCAGCTGAGTTGTCCCAGTTGTCTTGCATGCCATTTCACAAGGCGTGCGTCAAGGGAACGTCTTAGGGGATTGTACTCATGGAAACAAATCGAAACCCGGCAGTTGGAGAGCCTTGAAAGCCTTACGGAGTCCGCTGAAGCTGCCAGAAATCCACATCGAGAGCCTGAAGTGTTGGCTCCCTTTGTCTCGTCCGTATCGCAGGTGAACAAGGTGTTGGAGGATGCCAACGATGATTACAACCTTTCCCACACCGCACAGATGAACTTGGTCTTCTTCCAGGACCGTCTGCCCAGGTGCAGCCAGTGGATTCCGCGCCTTTTTCGAAGGGCTCCCAGGTAAACTCAACCAACCAAAACAGGATGCCCTTTTTCCCCATGGAAATCCCACTGGGCATTTGAGGTCCAATTGACCTGGGCGTATGTTTGAAGGACGGAAGTACTCACCGGGCAGTTTGTCCGCCTATCGCTTGAGGCCAGGCGAGGCACGACACTGTCAAGTGTCTGGCTTCACGGCCCCGGAAGTTGGGATCTAAGAGCTCAAAGCGCATGCGGTTGAACGGATGGAAAAGAGAAATCCCATTTCGCACCACGAAAGGAAGCCATGGTTGAAGCCATAACGTTTCTTGGTATTTACAGGGGAATCATCAGAACCCAGGGTTTCTGAGGTGGTGCAAAATTTCGTCCATCCACAGTAGCATGGCAGGACTGCTTTCTTTGTCAACCCTGGCCAGTTGTCATTTTGCCCGCCTCTCCGACAAGCGCCGCAAGCCGATCTGGCAATATTTTTTGGTAGGACCTTTTCAGTGGGTATTTCAAGGGAAGCGAAGAGCAAGGAGCCACCCTCATTTTAGGGCATGACAGGGTCCACCAAAGGTTCCCTTCTCAAAAATTCAATCCAACTCAAGGCCGTAATCCACCTGACACTTCGGTTTTGTCAGTTGCCATGTGGCTACGGCTCAAACTTTTTCAGACCCAGACTCTCCCTTCTCCAGGCCGCATTTGTTGGCTCGCGATTTTTTTGAGCCGAAAATGAGGGTGGCTCATTAACCACCATCCTGAAAGTCCCCCAAAAAAACACACCCTAAACAGGGCTCCTTAAAAGACGCATGTTGCCCATTTGAAACATGGCTTTCTCCACCAAAATCAAGGGAAACCGCCATTTACCAGGCCATGTTCAGGTGTATAATGTAAGGATCCCTGCTAAAATGCCAACGTTTGCTCCTGGCTTCCCTTTGCCGCAGGACTGCGTCGAGCACATCAACCGCATCGCGCGGGTGCTGGCGCAGCCGCGGGGCAACCTGCTGCTGGTGGGCGTGGGGGGCTCCGGCCGCTCCAGCTGCGCCAAGATCTGCCCGGGCGCTCGGAGGGATGAAGAAGTCCTAGGGTCTCACCTGAGTTCCTGGAGCTTTAGTTATTTTTTGGGCTTGGGACCTTTTTAGTAAGGTACTTTAAAAGTGTGGTTGCTCTTTTTTGGCCATTCCACTCAGGAAGTGAGTGGTGGATTCTTAATCTCTCTTTCCCAAAGCCGACCTTTTAACCTTTTGGTTTCCCTGATTTGGTGCATTTTAGTCAACAAACCAAAAGATTCACGCTTCATTTTGTTTTTTTGTTTTCTTTAGGGGCTCGCAAAGTGGGTGGGTTTTCCTGGTGGTTTCCTTTTGAAACCATCAGAAAGGGGGACCCTCAAAAGGACACCTGGCTGTCCACCAACCACCTGGCGGGTTCCTTAAAGTTCCATTGCCACTGGGCAAAGATCAGTTTTGCTTCTATTTCACGGGGTTTGGCTCAGTCGGTGAGGTTATAGCCAAGTGGGACCTCTTGACAGTTGTTGACTTAGTGAAGAGGCGTTGAAGTTTCCAGTCAGTCAGCAGCAGCCTAAACAATCTTTGATCCTTGTTTTGGGTCCAGGGCTCCCCTTTCCTCTTTTTTTACACACTAGGCTGTAGGATTCTGGATTCGGAGTGGCCAACCTTACATTGTAAAAAGCCCAGAGTTGAACGGAATCAACGCATCCTACTCTTAGGGGGGGTCACCCAAAAAGTGATCCGGAATCCCAGTAAGATGGGACACCCCTATTGGTCAACCACGCGGGGCTTACATTAGTAGATTGTTTGCAACCAAGGTAAGCGGGACGACAGGGATTGGGCGACTTGCATGGTCACAAGCTACTCAAGTCGGTTGAAAATCCCAGAACTGGACGCGGATGGGTTTCATTCACAGAATCGTTAAGCCCAAAACGGGGAATTTCAATGTGTTTGAGTCCTGCTGATGTTGGATCAGCGGAGTTTGTGCTGAACGGGAGGTGGCCATGATTGCGTGATGGACATGGCGCCTCATGATTTGTGGTGAACTTGAAAGCATACCTTGAAATAGGTGTTTGGTGGGAAATGGAGGCCAAAGGGTCCCTGTTCCACCAGCCAGGCAAGCGCCTGTTGCCACCTCCCGGGTCGGAACAGGAAGCAGCCAACTCAAGCAGGCTTTGCGCCTCCATCAAGAGGTTGTAATTAGATTCTTCCAAGAAGGGCGCAGCAGAACTGATCAATGCCTCCTTGGAATAGACACACCTTCGAGTGCATGTTGGTGCGTGCTTCTGTGTGCGCTGCTGTGCTTGGTTCAGATATCGATGTTGGCGAGTCAGATGTTTCAGGTCTCTTGTCCACAGCCGACTTGTTTTACCTTTTGGTTCACCGACTTTGGTCCATGCTTAAGAATGGTCTCACAAGGTGTATCCTCACTTGCTGTCTGCCTGTTTTATGCGAGTTCACAGTGGGGGGCAAAGCAAGCTCACCATAACGGCTTCTTTTTTGGGGGGGGATCCCGTATTTCAGATGTTGAAGCAGTGTTTAGAATCTGCAGATGTTTATTCGAATCATTTGGACAAGTGAGAGAACTACTGCATACAAACGGTGCAACAGTCCAGTTCAATTCCATATATTGGACCACTGACAATAATATGACTCTCTCAAAGCGCTCTGCACAACTTGAGTTGTTGCACAAAAGCATGTTGATACCTGACCATGCAGAGAGGACCGATGGTTTGAGGTATAGGTGTGCGACTGCTTGAACCATTTTGTACCCGGATACCCTTTGCTGGTTTACTCCAAGACTTGGATAGACTTGGGGTATATCCCTTTTCTCAAAAGCACACTGCTCAAAGCTTGGAGGGGCCAAGTTTGAGTCTTCCATTCGCTCTTTGAGGCGCCTGCATGTCAGAGTGCGGACCTTACTCGCCCGAGAGTCGGGAGCTCCACAGCTTCTTTTGCCACGTTGTTTCTGCAGGTGGATCATACTAGAACCCCTGATGAAGACAAGAGGGAGCCTGCTTCAGCTGCTTCTTCCAAGTCACTGTGCTTGTAGTGTCGGACAGGGTGACTTTTGTGTTCTGTTGCGTGCTCATTCGTGTGTTTCTTTTGTCGATGTTGTTGGGCAAGTATTTTCGGAAGCCGATTATGCCAGCTTCCTTGGTAGTGAGCCACAAATCAACTGTGCCGGTACCCACCCAAGATGCTTATATCTCCACCACCAGCAAGCCGGAATTTGTGTGCTCAAATTGTTTGCATCACTGGACCCTAGAGGCTCCGTGAGCCAGGGATTTCCACGCTGCAGGACCAACGAGTTCAACATTGCCCTCACCAAGGCTCGATCTGCTGGTCCACGCCTGATTGGTATGTGTCAAAATAGGACCCTCCAAAATCTGGCTAGGAAATCCATTTAATGGGGCCCATGAGAAATCCATTTAATAGGAAAAAAAAGTAGCCTGAGAAAGACACGACAGGCCCATGTAAACAAATCGTGCACGTTTCATCCCTTGGATGATTCCCCGATGACAACCGGTGTTGGAAAACATCGCCTTTCGCAGCCGGCACGTTTTATCATCAGCTTGTGTTGTTGGTGTCTATATTTTTGTGCGCGTGGGCATGTGTGTGTGTGTGTGTATTATGTATACATGGACTCACGTAGCGGGTATAAAGAGTAAAGCACTTGTCTGCCGCAGCCACGTCAGCTTAAGGTTTGGCGTAGGTGGATGGGGGAGCAGCCGTGCCCACTGTGTGAAGGTCGGTACGGGACCTTCCGGTGGTGCACGGTGTGTAGCTCCTTGGAGCAGCTCCGGTTCGCTGTCCTCCGTGGTTTTGAGCGGGAGGACAGCGAGGAGCTTGGGAGAAGGATCAGGGACTTCTCCTCGACCCTCCTGTCTTGGGGCGCTCGGCTCCAGAGACAGCGGGAGGGTCGCACTCTCGCCCAGGTCAAGGCCGGTGGTGCTGGACCTGTGGTGCCCGCGGGGCTAGGGGCTCTCAGGCCGGCTGAGCCCGCTGGCCCCCCTCCGACAGGAGGGGATCGGGAGGGAGCGCCCTCGGCGTCCTCTCCTGCCACTACCTCCAAGGCAGCCCCGGAGGTCCCAAGGGCTTCCCGCACGCCGGAGAGGCGGAGGAGGAAGGAAAGCAAGAGGAGCCGCAGCTCCAGGAGGAGGAGAAGCCCAGGAAGGGCTAGGCATCGCAGGAGGGAGGCTTCTGCGTCACCTGTGAGAGCGCCCGTGCCTCCCAGGGATCCCCCACCCCCGGCTCCTAGGGCCCTTTCCCCTGCGGAATTGCCTGTGGAGGTTCCGGAGTTGGCTGCCGGTAAGAGGGAGGCCTCCGAGGTGTCCCTCACTGAGTCGGAGGAGGAGGATAGCCCTGAGGCGGCCGCCTCTCTTGAGGATAGCCCGGAGGCGGTTGCCCCTCCTGTTCCTGAGGAGTCGGGAGTTGGCAGTGCCTGGGTTGGGCCCATTCGCGCAGTTAGGAGACCCCGGGCGGTGGTCCCTTGGAAAGGAGGGAAGAACAAAGGCAAGAAGAAGCGTGAGAGGCCCGATTTCGGGGCCGTTGAAGGAGGCTGGAGCAATGCCTCCTAAGGTCTTGAGGAGGCCCGCAGCAGGTTTGCCGCTGGTGAGGCGCCCTGCTGGGATTCTGAGGAGACCGGCTGCTGCTGTGATAGACCATGAGGAGAACCCTCCTAGGCGCCGTCGCCGTGTGGGAGGAGGAGATGAACTGGTGCTGGCCGAGCTCGATATGGTCAGCTTGGGAAAGTTGCAGAGGATCTGGCTGGATCCATGCGTTTACTGGATGGAAGAAACTTCGGTGGTGGGAGTTGTCAAGGGTGCCCGCATTGAGGGGTCCGAGGTTTATTTGGACCTCTTGGTGGAGGGGACCCGATCCGGAAGACTCTTGGAGTATGTCTCAGGCACTCCTGAAGGGCGCATCAAGCTGCATGTGTGCCCGCGGGAGTGCGAGCAGGAGCTCTGCGAGGATGGCCTGGTACATGGTCGTGTGTTTCGCGAAGTTCCGGGTGTGCCCTCTGAGGCGTGGATGTCAAATGCGTGCCGGGTGGAGCCCGATGAGAATCGTGCCCTTCGTGAAGAAGCTGAGAAGCTAAGAAATGCAGGAGTTGCGGGAGCTCTTGCCCTTGATGAGAACTCCTATGAGCCCGAGGCGGGGGACTTGGAGGCGGATCAGAAGAAGAGGAAGGAGGCAAAGGAGAAAAGAGGAAAGAAAAAGAGGACTAAGGTGGTGCTTGAAAGTAGGAAGGCGTTGAAGGATGTGGTGGGGTCCACGGGATTGGACCCGGACCCTGTGGTGAGGAAGATCGTGTTGAGGCGTGCATCCAGGACAGTGAGGAAGAAGAGGAAAAGGTCAGATGATAGCTCAGGGAGAGCCTCATCATCTTCGATGTCGGAGGAGGAGCCCGAGGAGCTGTTCGGATGCAGCACGAGGCCCGAAGAGGTGGGCCGCCGCTTCCCCGGCGTGTTGGCGGCTGAAGGAATCAGGGAGATGCGAGCCAGTCTCCTGAAGAACACGGGGCAGTTGTGGGATTTGGAGGATGGCCCGCTCCCTCCTCTGAGCACCATGTACTTCAGGCAGACCTTGATGTCGAGGATGGCACCTCCCATGGCTCGAGAGACGCACACCCTGTGCTACGGGCTGGACCTCCTGTTGCAAGGCCGGGCTGCAGAGCTAGGCGACCTTTTGGTGCAAAGGATCAAGAGCCTGGAAGGCGTTGCTGCTGGCCTTCATTACTCGGTGATGCAGAAGATGGAGCTCCTGCCCATGGATGCATCCCGTGTGGCGCGCTATACCGAGGTGCATGACGCGGCTAAGGTGGCACGAGATGAGGCCCGAGCTTTGTCTGCTGGCTCCCGGGCACAAGGGAGAGGAGGTTCAGATTCAGGTTGGGTGCCGTATGGGCCGCGAGGCAGAGATGAGAAAGGTGGCGGAAAAGGAAAAGGCGAGAAGGGGAAAGATAAGGGTCGTGCAAAAGATTGGCCCAAGAAGAAGGAGGAGAAGAAGTGATGAAGAGGAGGCATTCGGGAGAGGACTCCGAGGTGGAGTTTTCTCCTGGGGGAGCCGGGGAGGCGGTCGACCGTGAAGGTCCCCCTCCTGGGCGCCCTCTGGCCGTGCAAGAGCGGCTGAACGCTATCAAGCTGAGGCTCCCAGGGTTAACCTTAGGCGAGGCCGGTGGATGCTTGGTGGATTTGCTAGATCTGTTCAATGTTGGAATGTTGCACTGCAGGTCCCAGCCCATGGAAGGGAAATCCGTATTTCCTCTTCCCCTAGCAATCCTATCCGAGCTTTCACCCGCCAAGCATGCGCTGCTGTCCGCAGTGTGCCGGAGTCTCAACTCCCTTGCGGGATGCACAGACCCGCAAGGCCGGTCCTCGCACGCTGGACGCATGGCCGTGAAACAACTCGCGGCTGCCGTTGAGGTTTGTGAGAGTTGGAGTGAGGTTTTTCAAGATGTGAACTTCTCGGACTTCCTGAAAGTCAAAGGCATTGACTACAAGGGGGATGAGGTGAAACTTGCTGTCAACCTTAGTTGGGAGTGCCTTGCCCCTGCTCTCCCGGATGAAGTAGGGAAACTCAAGTTGGCTGAGCTTTGCACCCTTGGAACCCGCTTTTACGTGGACCATTTCGAGGACTTCTTGGTCCCTTCAAATGAGATGAGTCTAGGCAAGCCTCCCCGAGTTTTTGCCGATGCCAAAGAGTGGCCTTCTATTTGCCAAGGCTTGGTGGGTAAGGGGATCTGCGAGGTGGTGCCTTTGGATGAGCTGTTCCACATACAAGGTCAACCCCTCCTGAACGGCATGTTCGGAGTTGGAAAAGGCGAGTTTGTGAACGGGAAGGAGACACTCCGGTTGATCATGAACTTGATCCCTTTGAACAGAAACTGCCGAGGTATTTCCGGTGACGTTGGAACGTTGCCCCAAATTTCGGGGATGTCTGCCTTCGTGTTGGAGGGGTCTGAAGTGGCCCTCCTGTCGTCTGAAGACATCAGATGCTTTTTCTATCTCTTCCAGGTTCCCCCTGCGTGGAAAAGATTCCTGGGGTTTAACAAGCTTGTCCCCGAGGACCTCGTTCCCTCCTCCCTCACTGGGAGGAAGTGCGTCCTGGCCGCCAAGGTCCTCCCTATGGGGTTCCTTAACAGTGTTAGCATCGCCCAGCATGTGCACCGTAACGTGATTAGGAGCGTGGACCCCCTCCTTTTGACGGGAGATCAAGAGATCCGGAAAGACAAGAGTTTCCCCGTGAGCTCACACCTTTTTAGGATCTACCTCGACAACTTCGATTTCATCCAGAGAGTGGACTCCCAGTTGGCCGTCAGGCTGGAGGGGAGGGAGAGCCCGGAACAGAAGGCTGTCAGGAAGGCCTACGAGTCGGCCTGCCTGCCTCGGCATCCCAAGAAGAGTGTGGTTAGTGCTGAAAGGGCAGAGGTGCAAGGTGCGGTCGTCAGGGGCCACGAAGGGGTGGCTTATCCCCGCCCGGAAAAAGTACTGAAGTACATGGGGCTGGCGGTGGAGCTGATTGTGTGGGGCCGAGCTGGCCTCAAACATTTGCAAGTGGTCGCCGGAGGACTGGTATACATTGCTATGTTCAGGCGCCCGCTGTTCTGTGGCCTCAATTGCGTGTGGCGTCACATTGAGGTTCTAAAGCAGGGAGGTGGCAAGCCCCAGCTTCTACCTCCTGCCGTGGTGGCCGAGCTGGTACGGTTCTTGTGTTTGGTCCCTCTAGCACAACTGGACTTCCGGGGTGAGCTGGTAGGAGATGTCACTGCCAGTGATGCGTCCACCACTGGTGGAGGCATCTGCGTCACAAAAGGCCTCACGAGTTATGGGGTTCATGCCTCCCAGGCCAGTATCCGGGGGGAGTGGCCTGAACCCCATGACATGTGTCAGGTGTTGACGGTAGGCCTTTTTGATGGCCTTGGTGTGGCCTGCGATGCGCTTGGCTTGCCTATGTGTGGGCACATTTCTGTTGAATCACATGCCCCGGCCCGCAGGGTTGTCGAAAGCTTCTTCCCAGGAACCGTGATGTGGGATGATGTACGCACCGTAACTGAGGAAGTCGTTCTGCAGTGGTCCACCCAGTTCTCCTCGGCAGGAGTAGTGCTCATAGGGGCCGGACCCCCTTGCCAGGGGGTCTCCGGGCTCAACGCTGACAAGAAGGGTGCTTTGAAAGATGCACGAAGCTGCCTCTTTGCGGAGGTGCCCCGGATTACCGCGTTGATCCGCAAGTGTTTCCCATGGTGCCAGGTGAAGTTCCTCATGGAAAGTGTTGCATCCATGGATGACCGTGACAGGCATCACTAGGTTTTGGGCCCTGGCATGTGGACAGTGGTCAGGTCAGTCCTTGCCGGCGTCCTAGGCTGTACTGGGTCGATTGGGAGCTGGGTGGTGGAGAAGGAGTTTTAAAGCCGCAACCGCCCGGGGCTCCTGGCAAAGATGTCGGCCTGGTGAGCTTAAGCGCTACTGTGGACTGGAAAGATTTTTTGAAGGGGGGTTGGAAGCCGCCTCCGAGTGGTGTGTTTCCCACCTTCACCACTAGTCGGCCTTCCCCCGCGCCTGGCCGCAAGCCTGCTGGGCTGGGAACATGCCAGCCACATGAGCGGTCCCGGTGGGAAGCTGACCGTCATCGATTCCCGCCGTACCAGTACAAGGACAAGTTCTGTGTGTGGAACAAGCAGGGCGACATGCGGCCTCCTGACATCGAAGAGCGGGAGGTGGCCATGGGGTTCCCGTTGGGATACACCAAGGCCTGCATGCCCAAGTCGCAACATGGCAACATCCAGTTCGAAGATTGCCGGCTTAGTCTAGTGGGCAATTCTTGGAACCTCTTCGTGATCACCTGGCTAGTATACTGGCTGTTCTTCCCGTTGGGACTGTGTGCACCGCGGTCTTTGCAGGACATCGTGAAGAGCCTCGCGCCCGGATGGTCTCCTACTTTCCAGGGAGTACTACTGCGGCCCCCTTTGAGGGCTGTCAGGGGCACCAAGGTTGACTCATCATTGAAACTCGTGAAGAAGTTCCTGGGAGTCATTTCTATAAAAGGAGAGGATCTCCTTCTTCAGGCTTCTACCGATGTCCATGTCCGGTTCCACAGGTTGCGAGCATCTATCCCCAGCAGATTGTGGCGGTGGAGAACTGTGGCCGGATGGACTTGGAAATCACATACGGACCACATCAACGTTTTGGAATTGCGCGCCATCCTGAGCACCGTCAAGTGGCGCCTCGAGCAACGTGGACAGATGCACAAGCGATGGATCCATCTCACTGACTCTCTGGTTTGCCTGCACAGCCTTTGTCGTGGCCGCACGTCGAGCCGCAAACTTCGTAGAACCCTCACCCGAATCAATTGCTTACTCCTCGCGACACGCTCCCAGCCCCTATGGGGGTATGTGCACACGCACCAGAATCCAGCCGACAGGCCAAGCAGGAGAGGTGTCCGTCGCAAATGGTTAAAGCAATGAAGCACGTTGAAGGGAGGTCGCAACGGGAGCGAGCGAAGATTCGGAAAGATTTGGGTTCACTCAAAAGTTTAACTGTGCAGCCAGCCACGCGTACCAGATATGAGAAAGCTCGGACGCGTTTTTTGAAACATTTGCGGGATGGAGGGATCGCAATCCCAAAGCAGAAACTTTTAATGGATGAGTTATTATATCGAGACTCTGTGGTCCCAGGGAGAAGGCAGGGCTTTGGCTTCAGATACCTTAGCCGGACTGCAAGATTTGGACCCCAGCCTCCGCCACCAAATGCCCCAAGCATGGCGCCTCATGAAGGCCTGGAACAGCAATGAGATACCAAACAGAGCTCCCCCGTTCCCGGAGAGCCTTTTAAAGGCCATGGTGGGCCGATGCTTGTTCCAGGAAAACCACGGAATGGCTCTTTCTCTGCTTGTCGGATTTTATGGCTTGCTACGCACTGGAGAGTTGCTTAGCATTCAAGCTCGTCACGTTTCCGTGAGTGCGGATCACAAAACCGCGGTTGTTTCGCTGGGGTGGACAAAGGGAGGCAAACGTCAGGGAGCTGCCGAAAGCTGCACAATCACCGTATGGGATGTGGTGCGGCGTCTTGAACAGTGGGTGCTTTCAGTGCCCAGCGGCTCCTATATGTGTGCCTCCCCGTCTACCTGGCGGAAGACTTTTAATCAGCTCCTGGCTGACATTCGAGTGACTGAGTTTGAGTTTCGGCCATATAGCCTGCGCAGGGGTGGCGCTACTTTTTGGTTCCAACGGCCATATAGCCTGCGCAGGGGTGGCGCACTTTTTGGTTCCAACGTCATGGCCAGTTTGACAGGTTGTTGGTCCAAGGCAGGTGGCAGGCAGCGAAGACTGCCCGCATTTACCTGAACGAAGGGCTGGCTATGTTAGCCGAGATGAGATTCTCTCAATCCCAACTGAGTGCTTGGGTTCGCTTATACCAAAACGCACTTAGAAGTGCGCTGCCGAGGCTCGAGCGAGCGTCGAGACGCAGTACAGGGGGACGTGGAAAGAGGTCGAAAAGAGGAAAAAAGGGGTGGTGGCTAGGCTGTTCCGGAGTTTCTTTTTCAGACGGCCTCAAAATTGCACCTGAGCGCCCTAGTTTCTTCCGGCTTGGCGGAAGAGCTAGGGGGGGTGCGGGGGGGGATTTCCTCTTTCTTCGGCTTGGCGGGAAAGGGAAATCCTGAGGCCCCCAGTTTGACAAGAAACGGGCAAGGGGCCCAGGGCTAGTTAGCCACCACAAAGAGGACGTAACTTTTTATTTATGACAAAGTTGGACTTGCTGTGCGCAGAAAAAGTGCGGCTTACTCTTTGGACTCACGTAGCGGGTATAAAGAGTAAAGCACTTGTCTGCCGCAGCCACGTCAGCTTAAGGTCCCGCCCACCCTTCCCCGAAAAGAGGGAAAAAGGGGTGGTGGCTAGGCTGTTCCGGAGTTTCTTTTTCAGACGGCCTCAAAATTGCACCTGAGCGCCCTAGTTTCTTCCGGCTTGGCGGAAGAGCTAGGGGGGGTGCGGGGGGGGATTTCCTCTTTCTTCGGCTTGGCGGGAAAGGGAAATCCTGAGGCCCCCAGTTTGACAAGAAACGGGCAAGGGGCCCAGGGCTAGTTAGCCACCACAAAGAGGACGTAACTTTTTATTTATGACAAAGTTGGACTTGCTGTGCGCAGAAAAAGTGCGGCTTACTCTTTATATATAGAGATACGCATGTTCTTGTGGGTGTTTGTGGGTGGGTTGGTGCTTTGGTTCTTGCGTGCTTGCATGAGTGCGTGCGTTGGGTGGTTGGTGTGTGTGTGTGTGTGTGTGTGCGTGTGCGTGTGCGTGTGCGTGTGCGTGTGCGAGTGCGTGTGCGTGTGCGTGAGCGCGTGAGCGCGTGAGCGCGTGCGTGCGTGCGTGCGTGCGTGCGTGCGTGCGTGCGTGCGTGCGTGCGTGCGTGCGTGCGTGCGTGCGTGCGTGCGTGCGTGCGTGCGTGCGTGCGTGCGTGCGTGCGTGCGTGCGTGCGTGCGTGCGTGCGTGCGTGCGTGCGTGCGTGCGTGCGTGCGTGCGTGCGTGCGTGCGTGCGTGCGTGCGTGCGTGCGTGCGTGCGTGCGTGCGTGCGTGCGTGCGTGCGTGCGTGCGTGCGTGCGTGCGTGCGTGCGTGCGTGCGTGCGTGCGTGCGTGCGTGCGTGCGTGCGTGCGTGCGTGCGTGCGTGCGTGCGTGCGTGCGTGCGTGCGTGCGTGCGTGCGTGCGTGTGCGTGCGTGCGTGCGTGCGTGCGTGCGTGTGTGTGTGTTTGGAGAGAACTTGCTGAAGACTGACTTGTTCAAAGCTGCATGGGATTGAGTTCCTGCTGATTGCAGCACGAGTGTGTAATGCCAGCAGTTCTTTCTTCACCTCCAGGTACTTTGTCTCAGGGCGAAGGTGATTAGGGCACTGCGGTCCGGTGCTTCAGTCCGGAGCAAATCGGAGAGGCGGCATGCGATGCATCTTGCGCCTCCAGGGCTCAATAGATGCTGTTCAATAGGCTTGAACGTTTTGTGTCAGGGCTTGCTGGGCTGCACACACAGCGAGGTGAAAGTTGACGATGCTAGTTGGGGCCGGTTGAAACTAGGTGCTTTGTTGCGCCAAGGGTTCGTGCCGTCGATGGGGTGGTTGTTGCTTAGCACCGTGGAAGACTTACAGCAAAATGGGGTTTGCGCTTCGAAGCACCATATGCAACGCTGCACTCATTGAGCAGCAAACAGTGACTAAGCTTCAGATTTCAAGAGATGGAAGAGAGCTTTGAGAGGACCCCGGAAAAGCCTTTCTCCAAGCCAGCTTGGCCTTCTTGCTCCTTGCTTTGGTCTGGTAAGCCGCGAAAACTGATCTGCCGGACCGGTCCGAACCGAACCGCAGCTGTTGGGCGGTTTCTTTCGCTCGGCCAGGGCTACGGCATTGATGCCTTTAGGGAGGACGAGAAGAAGTTCCTCATCTCTGCCGGTGCCGGTGCTGCGAAGGCAAGGCACCTTGTCCCTTTTTTCTACTTGGGTGGTTCAGGTACGTAGATAGTCTTGGACTTGGCTGAATGGCTTGTAACTCTGGTTACAGTGGACTTACAACCATAGTGGGTTACAACCAGGGTGGCTGATCATTTGCTAAGTCCTAGACCATCTAAGTAGTGCTGACCTGAAGTGCAGATCGAAGTCCTTCTGTTTGCAATACATGTTGACTATTCAAGTGGAGGATCATAAAACCAATGCTTCCGATGCTCAGCCTCACCTGGCAGCTCTTGACTCGCTAGCTTTGTTAGATTGGTAATCTCACTGCCGCTGTCATTTGATCGAGGCAGCGTCTAACTTTTGCGTGTGGAACAGCGGCAGCTCAGAAACACTTAAAACATGGAACGTCCTTTGATTTGAAGCAAAAGTGCTGCTCCATCCTCCAACAGCATGGTAACTGAAATCCTATGGAAGCAGCAGGCGCCAGATTTAGACCCCTGAGCAGCACTTCTGAACGAACATTTTGTTTCCGGTTCTGGCTCAAAGCTTTCCCGGGCCAGCCACTCCGCGAGACAAGCCATTTGCATCGCCGCAGTTTGCGGTTCGCACATGTCATTGCTCTGAAACTGTTCCCACGCACTGCTTTGTCTTGAGAGCAGTCCTTTCAGGGTCCCTGATTTGGACCAGCAGCCAAATGTTGGTCACGACAGGTCACCGCACCTCTCCCATGGCGTTTTTTGTTTTTTCTTTAATGCTTCTCGTGTCGTGCTGATACCGCCCGATCGAGAGAGAAAAAATGTGACAGGCCACGATGTTCCTCCTGAGTGACACCCAGATCATCAACGAGACCTTCCTGGAAGATATCAACAACATCTTGAATGCTGGGGAGGCCTTCTGTACCCCGTGACGGACATCGAAGCCTAGACGTTTTGTCGTTCGTCCATTGGTCTCGAGATGGGGGAGAGATTGGGGGGTGGCAGCTTTCAATGGTCCCCTGTCACTTTCTTGCGGGATTGTCAAGCATGAACCCCCAAAATGGGGGGGGGGTGGTCTTTTGGTTCGCCTGCCAAGCAACCCCAAAAAGGGACGCGCAAAAACACGCCCATGGACGTAACGGCCAGGTTCCGAATCTCTTTCCCAACGACGAGGTGGACCGAGTCATCTCAGACACCAGGCGCATTGAAGTGGGCAGACGAGTTTACCTGCTCCAGGAGAACCCACAATCAAATGGTTTTTGTGGCTTCCTCAGTTAATTTGCTCCTGGTGAATCCACAATGCGCTGGTTGTAGGTTCTTCAGTTGACTTGCACGTTGAGAAGCTCTTCGGTTGATGTGAGATGAGTTGCAAAAGTTGTGAATCACTCCTGCAACCAAAGCACGGTGTTTTTGGTAAAATGCTCCAGCCATGACAAGAGATGCACGTCTCACCTGCCTTGGTTTCTGAAAAGCCTTTGACTCATTTGCAGGGGACGCACTACTCTTGCAATGTGCGCAGCTGCATGTTTATTCATTGCTGCTCAATGCTCAACGGTGAAAGGGTGTTTAAGTCTTTGGTATTGACCATGCCGTAGTTCTCAGGAAACCTTGATTAACTACTGCGATGGAATGAGGACAACCTTTATTTGCCATGGGTTGAAGCAGAGCCTCCCACCATATACCGTGGTGCATTTCGTTTCGTACTTGTGACTCGTGGGTTTGTCTCCAAATAGCATTGGGTGGTGTTCGTTTGATTTCCCTTTAAAGCTTGCATAAGAACATGTCTTATTTTCCCTTTTTGGTTTTAAAGGGAATCTATCACTACATACCGGACATATTTTTTTCCAGGAGGCTTAAGCAAATGGATGAAAAGTGAGCCCAAGCGTGGGAAGCCCCGGAGGCAACAAATGAGAAGCGCCCTAAACGCCCTTTCGCTTAGATCATATAGGAGACTCAACCGTCCATGGGTGTTGGCCACTCGCATGGGGAAGAAAACATGTGGGTGGCTCGTCTTTTTCAAGTTTGGAGCCCCAAAATCGCGCAACGGTTATCCTTCTTTTCCCTTTAAAGCCACCAAACAAGAGGTAGCCTCAACAAAAATGACAGACCCACGTGTTCCTTGCGAGCCCTCGGTCAATCGGTCGAGAGGCCTCGAGCCAAAGAGTGTGGCCGGAGCGAGGTGGGAAGGAAGGGTTCGTGGATGTTCGTGGAATATGGCGATTGGGAAATCGAAACGGTGACTCGAGAGGGAAGTAGACCATTCAACCGCAAATTGGCATGGTCGCCCTTTTACTTCTTTACATGGTTTTGAGTAAACCATGTTTACCGACAAGGTTTTGAGTGTGACTCAAAGTCCTGACTCAAAATGACAAAAGTCTGATTAAATTGTTCCAGTCCAATTATGAAAGCCGCCTTTCTGAGTTAACTTTTTGTCACCTGTATCCGGTTCAAAACTTGCTTCCCAAACCTTTGCACTAAACTTCTATTTGGCACACCATTTGGGTGGGGGTTCATGTCCACCAAGCACTTTTGAGGAGGTTCCCTCTTAGAAAACCTTTGGAGGTGGTTCCGTGACGAGAACACATACCCATGTGCCCTTTTTCAGTGGCTCCTGTGTTCAACATTGAACTTCACACTTTTGAAGCGTGGAAGGCTGCTTGTTCAAACTACACTGATTGCTACCAAGATCTCACAGGGATGTATGGCATTTGTTTCTGCCAAGCGAAAGGCGAAATTAGGGTCTCTCCCAAACTATGTATGTTGTAGGCAACACTAAATATGCAACAGAGTCAGAAAATAGCTTCTGCATAGCCTGGAGGTGGGCCTAGGAAAGGGCTGATCGTTTTCCACCCCAGGGATGCGCGGATGCTTTGTGAGTGTCCCTGGCTTTGCGACTTTGGGCCCCAAGAAGGCTTCTTTCTTCGAGAGCCCTCAATGGCAGGTTGATGAATCGGTGGAACTCTCCCACACAGACAGGGCTGTTCTCCTTTGTTAACATAAGGCTCATTGGTCAATGAAAAAGTTGGATTGTTTTCGGCTTTATATTGACGGGCGTGCACTTAGAACATCATTTGGTGAGTCCATGTTCTTGATTATTTGGTATTTGATTCAACTGTGTCACCTTTTTCCTCGTGATCTGACAAGTTGTGATTTTCTCCCACCATGAAATCGCTTTTGATAGTCCCTTAGCCTCTTGAGGATGATTTCGGTTGCCTGTCATGAATCCCAGGGAGTGCTTGCATTTGGGGCCTTTCTTTCAGCTGCTGAAGGCTAGTGTGGCTACTGGTGCCTGAGGTAGGGGCTGTTTACCTTGCACTGTCATGTATCGACATGAAGGTAAGACTACATGATTCTTGGACGGAAGCTCTGGTGTTCATCTGACTCCTTCGTGTGCACTTCTGACAGGCCAAAGATGCAGTGTGGCAGTTCTTCGTGGAGAGTGTGCGGGATAACCTGCACATTGCAGGGGGCTCAAGGGCATAGTCCAATGTGCTGAGCCACAAATCTTGGTGGTTATCCCTTTTTTGGGGTTTAGTGGTAGTTTCCATTCAACCCAATACTTTTAGCAGGGGATCTGAGGACAGCCCACAAATGTGGTTAGTTGCCTTACTATATACTCAGGAGAGCTTGGATTTTTTGGGGTTTTGCGATTGTTCAGTTTCTCATGTCTGCACTTCTTCCATCCTTTGATCAATGATCATTTCTATCTCTTCGGTCATTGAATCGTTGACGTTTTTGGTCCCTGGCTTTTTCGTTCTTTGGTTCGTTTTTCTGCAGCTCGATCCATAGTTTCTTCAACTATTCTATTTGGTTATTTTGCGCTGGTTTTTGTTGAACGGTTTTCAATCTGAATGAAGCCATTCGGGCCTTCAATCGCAATGCTCGCCCTTTTTCGAATGCAACAAACTAAGGCATTTGAACTTGGGTTTCATTTTTTCATGGTGACTCGGCACGTTACGAGTCCTGCGATACAGAAGGCTCTCATCGTTCTCGTTGAATTTGGTGTGCGATGATCCAGTTTGTTTGAACAAATGCACAGGCCCGTTTCTGGAGGATGATCTTGAAAATGTTGCGGGAGGACATATTTTCCATGTTCTTGTTGCCCTAGCCTTGTGGTGTTTTGCGTTCGTCACAGATGGCCATGGAGGCTTCAGAAGCCAACCGCGCTGCAAGCGTGCAACAGGTGCAGGCACTGAATCAAGTTTGCCCAGTGGTGGGTCTTCGACAAGTGGGGCCACGAAAAGACATGTATGCAGCATGTAACTCTCTACAGTTGATGGCGAAGCATCGACATCCTCTCCTGCTGTCAGCCCACGTGTTTTATTTGTACTGGCAGTTCCATGAATGAGACTGAACGCTACCTCCAAAAGGCAATTGTCAACATGCCATGGCCCGATGAAAGCTGTCACAGACATGCACGTAGCCCCGCCAACAAGATAAATGAGCTGCACCAATGCGAAAGTGGTGTTTAACGTCACCATGGAGCTTTGCTTTTGGTGTTGTTTGTTGTTCTTCGCACAACACAAGCTGCTACTTTGCACTACCAGAACAATGGCAGTTGCCCCATTTTGCTTGCATTCAGTGCCGGTGTTAAGGCTGCGTGAGTTGAAGCCATACTACTTGCTTCTATAGCATTTGAACCAGAGCCGATTGTTCATCCAAAACTTTGCATACATGGACATTGTTCAGTTCATTCATGGCTCAAAAGTTGGAATGCTGCTTCCATTCACTCAAGAATATCTTTGATTTTCACCTCTTGGTTTTAAAGGGACTCTATCACTACTGGAAATATGTTCATTTTCCAGGGGGCTTCTACCGGGGAACGTGGGTTCCGTCAGCTTCTCACTTCGCCTGCGGTGACCCGGGGCCTTTTTTCCTGCGACGCGAGGTGCTGACTATGTCCCCGGTGGGCTCAGCTTTGCGGCGGGATTGCTCAGACTTCGAGCCAGCGTGAGCGATAGCAACCGCTTTCAGCTCGGCCGAATTGGTTGAATTGCAACATGTATCATGGTTGTCTGAAGAGAATCCAGAAAGAGCAATGCCCTTCGATCCATACTTGTTTTCGCGGTCTCACCTAGCAGGCTTATTACAGAATGTTCTTTGTGGATACACCGACTTGTTTTGTCCGGAAGTGCAATTCCAGTGGCAAGCTATCCTTTCGAGTGAATTCTTATCATCAAGTCCACCAAGAGCACAGCTTCAGTTCCAGGGAAAGTACGTCAACGTCAGGATAAATCGGCCAAACGTAGCACACGGATATTCAAATGTAAGAACTGAGATGTTGCACGCGGTGGGTCTATCTAGGGCCTCCAAATGATGAGCAATTCAGCACAATATGAACACCCCAACACACTGAAAACCAAGAGTGAAAACAAGAGGGGACCACCCAACTTGCTCAATGTCATTGATTTCAACAAAGGATTTCGTGTGTAGGCTTTTTGGACCTCGGGACTCCATACCTATGGAGGGAATCCACCTTGCAGAAGCCAAGTCAAAACGCCAAGCCCCGAGGCACAGACAGATTCGACGATGTGTGAAGCACCTCAAGACTAAGAAGACACGCAATTTCAAAGGCACCGACACAGACTCCAGGTACGCAGATTGGAATCTCGCCCACTGCGGAGATGGAACCAGACCCCAAGCGCCCGGATTCTGTCCAGAGTATGCCCTGGGAAGACGATTGGGTGAGAAGAACCCTGAAGACAAGAATAGAATGATTGGTGGCGTTTCTTTGGTTTGTCTTTTGACAATCCCCTAAAACGGGGGCCTCTTCAAAAACCAATGCACCCGCAGGAATCATACGGCCCCAATATTGGTGGGTGTTTTCTTCTCTGGGTTTTGCCGGTATTTTATCAAGTAATCCTTATTGGTGGTTTGGATTGGTGGGATTCGGAGCCCTTCACATGGCAAGCCACCCCAAGCTCCAAACCCCCCATCGAAGTGAGGAAAAATAGACTGGAGCTACCACCAAACCCGCCCAGGGTTGTGGGAAGGGGTTTATCCAATCACTTCTGTGATACAGTGAAATCTTTGCCAACGCATTGCGCTTAGTCCTTGGGAAGCCCTTCTGTGTATCAGAGAAGTGGATTCCATTTCCCACAGCCCTGAATCCATGGTTTGCTGCCTTTTCCACTGCTTGTGGGATAAATAAGCAGTTGCCCTGACTGGTTGTGTAGAAGCCCTTTTGAAGGGCGGCTGTTCATTTCAGTGGAAAAGGCAAACTCTGTTCAGCCGAACCCGCCAGCCATAGGTGTCCTTTTTGGTTGTTTTGGCGGAAAAATAGATGGCCCTGGATGTTTTTTTCTTTTTCTTTTTTTTCGGGTGGTTAAAGGACCATCCCAAGCCGCCAGCTGCCACCATCCCAAGCTGCGCCGAGGGTGCGCATGCGCATGTTCCCGGCGCTGGTGAACTGCTGCACCATCGACTGGTTCCTGCCCTGGCCCGACGAGGCCGAGAACGCGAGATCCGGTCGGTGCCTTAAACCGGTTGCTTTAAAGGGAAACCAAACAGATGGACCCCTCCATTTCCCTCTGTTGGACCTCTAAACGTGGCAGTTTTTTTAGACATTACCAGTAAACGCAATTTGTGTTTCGGGGAAGTGGTTCTCATTTGCCAGAACCCATTTGAGGGTTCAAACCAGCCGCACTTCCGCAGATGAGGGGCTTCTTTCAAAGAATGGAACATTTGTTGCACCTTTTGGATTTTCGATTGAGGGCTGCCTGTCGTGGTATGTGTTTGTTGGGCAGAGGGAACTTGCGTGGAGCGGGTAAAAGGTCGGGGCACCTGCTGACACCGCTGCATCAGTATGTCGACCCTACTTGTTTCTTACACCAGGAACCGATCAACACATGTAGGCAGGGTATGCTCCTTAGCTGAAATCCGACTGAGAAAGAATTAGTGGTTTTGAAATTGCGGCAGCGTAAACTAAACTCAGCCCACCTGCCAAATACGTGCTGGTTTTGGCATCATCAGCGATTCTATATGTTTATAGACATAGTTATCTATGTTGGGCCGGGCAGCTTGCATCGGGAATGGCGTTTGATCACAAAGAAAGCAAGTCGGAAAGATCCAACCAACAACGGTTTGAATGGCACATGCTGTTCAGCGAGCAGCTCTCTTATGTTTTACGAACAAAGTAGAACTACGACACACAATGTGGTGATCGACTTGATCGACCTTTGCAATGGATTGGGGTGTCAGGGAAGGTGCGATACGAGACTGAATTTATGGATATTCTGGAGTTCAAATCATAGAGCTCACTCTTGCAGATGGATGCCCTTTTTCCCCCTGACCACCTGCGGTTTGGGTAGATGGATCCGAATATAAAGAAGCCCTTTTGTCCTGAGAAAAAGCCAAAGATTTGTTCGCCAGAAACAGGGGCCTTTTCTACCTGCCAGCAACAACACTTATTGTAAAGGTAGACCACTAAGTTCTAAAGCTTGGTTCCCCGTTCTTTTCAGCAATGCTTCGTTTCATACATGGCTGTGGGTCAAAAATAGGTACTCAAAATGGAACCCTGGCAATGGAATGGAAACATGGACTAAAACCTGCGGTGCACCAATACCCAAATGCTTCTCCCCTGGGTGCATTGATTTTCTCGTGTTTCGCACTGCACTCGTTGTTTGTCCTGACAGCCAGGCATTGCTGGGCGTGTCGGCCCGACAGCGTGGCACTGAGCTTTTGAAGTTCGTGATGTTGCCCGCGGATTGCTAAAACAACCTGTTAATGATTAGGGGGTGCTTTTCGCTGGGTGGCAGCAAGCTTCGGCTCACATAGCGGTTGATCAGACGTTGCTGGTGTTTTCGGGCAATCTTGGAGGTATGGAAGTGCAGAGGAGGGTTTTTGAAGACTACAACCAGAGGGTTTCAGGGTTTCTTAGCACTCATGTTCTTAGTAGTTGCGAGTAGAGGGATGCCGTGCTGAAGCTACTCCAAGTGTGCTTCGATTGAAGCTCGAGGCCAAGTCTAGAGGTCACTTTCTCGTTGCACCGCCTACACAAATCTACGAAAGAGGGTCCTCGCATTCAGGTTTTGTTTGTCAGATGTAGCCATGGCATGGCATATGGCATGGCACACGGGATGATTCCTGCGGTTGTCCAAGGCTCTCAAATATGCAGGGCATCAGCGATGAAGTCAAGGAGTCTGTGTCAAAGGCTGGGACGGGATGGATCCTGACCCACGCAACATGCCGGACTGTACCTATTGGTTCTGTTGCTCGATATATTCTTCTTGCTGTTTTGGTTTGGCGATGTGTCAAAATGGGCCGGCTCCCATCTGAGTCTTCAATAGCCTTTGTCTTAATGCAACCGAATGGACACCAACACGGAATGGGTGATGTTTTTTCTTTATTTAGTGGCCAAACATGCAAAGTTTCGTCTATTCATTTAGATCACTTAGGGTTCTTTGGAAAACGCTCGATCCGGGTCGCTAGCTGTGATGAACGCCCATGCCACATACCGGTTTCCTGGGTGTGTGCAAGTACGATTCAATGTTTCTTCGGTGTCGAGCTGTGGATCTGAAATGACACCGGGAGTAGAAAAGGTGGAAAGTTAGCAACAAGCACAAATATTTGATTATAGCCCTTAGCTGTGAATGGCTTTCACAAAGAGGCCCGGCACTTTGCCACTAGCTTTGTTGGCCTCGAAGACCTTGCATATGTTGTTCAAGAGATCAGACAACGCATCCGAGCCAAAGTGTTGAAGGCACACAAGGGCATGTAGTGCTCCCTACCAAGTGTGAATGCAGAGAACACTGCTATTCCAAAAAAGTGTAGACGGCCATTTACAAACGCGCAGTTTGTTAGCACCGGAATACTGACAACGGTCTTCAGCCATTTAGGGACTTGTTTTCGGACCGAGAGGATGCCTGCACTCGACCTTTGGCTGTGACCAGCGGCGCAGTTGGCTTTGTACTCCAGAAAATTAACACTGAAATGAATCCATGAGTCAAGAAGCCTGCTTTTCAAGAGTTTTATCGTGCTTTTTGGTGTAGATCAACCCTCAAGGCTGAGTTTGTGTGACTTGAAGCCCTCAAGAGCATGTTTCCATTCTCCCTTGCTTTCAAAGAGAAATGGGCACTGAACACGTTGGGGTGTGGCACCTTGAAGTTGACGTCCGACTTCTCAATCGGCGGCTTCAGTTTTATAATTTGGTCGACAACATAAATCCATGCCCAGGTGGTACCCAAATTAAGGGCCTATCCCGGGCTTATCCAGGGATAGCCCCCCATAGTCCGCTAGAGGTCCATAAAACCCTCAGAACCCCAGAAAAAAGCTCTGAGTCTAGTTGAGAGATGCGAGTATCAAAGTGAAGGCCCACTTCAACTGGTCGATTTCCTTCTTTTTCCGTTGGGCTCTCAAATAAGCCGGCGGCAAGACCATCCTTCCGCGGCATCCAAGCTGCGAATGGCAAAACTTTCAATCCATCACTTTGCTGCGAGCCAAACACCTCCCCCAGACTCTGCGTGTTTCCAACCACTTGAGTTCAGGTTACCCTTACTTGGTTTGCATGGGTGTTTTGGGGATCGGAGCCCCAGTTCTTTTCGAAGCCAACCGAGGAAGGTACCCCTTGCGGTCCAAAGCACCAAACCACCAACCCGCCAAACCACCAAACCGCCAAACCACCAAACCACCAAACCACCAAACCGCCAAACCGCCAAACCACCAAACCAAACCGCCAAACCACCAAGAAGAAGAGAGCTGATCGGTCCCCTTGTCTCCGCCCCCATGGTGTCTCATCCCCCACGTGGCGGCAGCACGTCGCAGGCCTGCTGCTTCGTGCACCAGGAGGTGATCCGAACCTCCTTCATCTTCGAGGACCGCCTGAGGCGGCGGGCGGCTTTTTGGCTCGGGAGAAGGCGAAACTCCGGCCGTTTGGTTGCCCAAAGGCTCTATGAAAAAAGAACAATCCAAGGGGACCCAAGGAAAGATGAGGACAATCCTCAGGTAAAGAATGATGGTTATATGTTTAAACAAAAGAGCACAGTGCTTTATTGGTGGTTTGAACTCCAGGGTCACAGTGCCACTCACTTCGACTTCGGCAAAACGCCCAAAACCTCATATGGGCACCAAGCTACGGCAGGCTGGGTCCGTTGGGGGCTGTTGTGAGTCGAACTTCTTGCTGGGAAGCAGTGGCAGATTTGTTTGAAGTACTGTTAAAGGAGACTCAATGCATTGCCAGTTTCCCCTGTTCACTTTGAAACATACTGTTGTTTGACGACGTGGTTGACACTGCAAGGCACTCGCTGCTCATAATGCTCATGAGATACAGATTCATGGATGCTGCCTGAAGTGAGACTCAACCTGACCCACCCCAAACGAGCGCAAAGGTAGCAAAAGAGTGAACTGGTACGCTACACAATCCTTCACAGCATCGAAACTGTGTCAAGATCCTACCCCAGTTGTATTTTGGCACCCTCCTTCATCCCTTTTTGTTTGATGGATTCCCCACAAGCAACGGCTTACCCCAAAAGAAATGGGTATGGGTGCGTCTATTTGCCAGGGTTCCATCTGGGGTACCTAAATGTTGACCCACGCCCAAATGATGCCCAGGGAGCTGCCGGTTGCAACTAGGCAATGAGATCAGCCTGCAGGCGCAAGGTCTACGTCACTCCCAAGTCGTACCTGGACCTCATCAGCCACAGCGGCAGTGAGGGATATGGGGCGTATGGGGTGCGTCTTGTTTGAGGGTACCCGTTTCTGTGTGGTTTTAAAAGGACGCCCACCAATTTGAGGGTCCCTAAAAAGACACACCCGTGCATAGGCTTCCTTTATCAGTTTGGCTGAAACTGGAAGGCACTCTTTTCGCTTCGATTCCAATTCACCAATGTTGTCTAGTTGTCCATGCCGAAGGGCAAGATAGTGTCAAAACTAAGCTCTTATTGATCAAAAAAACATAGCCAGCAACGCTTTGGCCTCAAGAGCCCGCTGCTCATTTTTGGAGGGTTGGGAAGTGCATGTTCAGTCCTTCTTGAAGTGAGGTGTTTTCTTTTCCTGGCAATTGGGCACAAGAACGTCTGTGCCTGGGAGATGTGGTGATGCTGGATGTCGTGCTTCACATGAATGGCCCCTCTTTGCAGCTAGATTGTTTCCATACAGCGAATACGCATAGCTTCCACGATCTAAGTCTTGAGTCATGTTGACCCGTATGCATCAACCCCAGTTTATTAACAAGGGGGGTGTCCCTGGGTTTAGTGGGGAATCATGACCTTTTTGAGGGGTCAAAAACCACCCCCGTATAATAACAAACTGGTTGGTCGATTCATATGGGGTCCGAACAAAAAAGCGCGAGCCCTTGCCTCGTTCGGAGCTTCTCCGGTCCTTCGACCCTGAGCCGTTTGCGCGATGCAATCCCGCGCCAGCCCGCAAGAGCTTCTGGATCTGGCTTTGTCTCTACAAGCTTGGAACCCTGAAGACAATAAATATTTCATACATGGGGTAGACTCAACACTCGTGTATTATTTTTCCATAGGGCTAGACTCAGAACTTAGCCAAGCATCCCAACATCACTCTCCTTTCCTCCAGCTGCCAGCCTAAGACTCGAGACGTCGAGGCAGGCAATGCGCCGATGCGCTGGGCCCAGGTTTGTACCTGGAGATGATCCAAGAGAAGAAGGACGAGAAGGACATCTCGCTGAAGCGGCTGCAGACCGGCGTGGACAAGATCGATGAGGCGATTTTGACGCGACCCCGATCCACGAAAAAAGCTCTGAAATGGGCGTGTCTTTTTTTTTCCGAGACCCGCCCAAGAGAATGTTTCAGGTTGTTCCCTTTGAAACCACGAACAACAACTGGACCCAAATGGTGCTTCGGCCCTTTTAATTTTGTTTGGTACATATATGCATATTTAAGGGCTGCCGCCCAGTGCCGCCGCCCCAGCGGGGTTACTGTCCTGTATGTTGGCCTTTGAGGTAGACCCCGGGGTCTGTGGATGCTTTGGCCGGCTTTGGTAGGCTCTTGTTTCCTTTTTGGGCAGCGTTCCTTTGCCTTTTTTTGGACTTTCCGGTATGTCGGCCTCTGAGGCAGACTGGGGGTCTGCGGACATTCGGGCTGCCTTTTGGTATTGGTTATTTTTTTTTTGTTGGGGGACTTGCCTGTATACTGGTATCTTGTTTTTCTCTTTTTTTGGACGTTCCTGCATGTTGGTGTTTGAGGTAGATCCCGGGGTCTGCGGATACTCGGGATGCCCTTGGTAGTGTTTCTTTTGTGTTTTTGGGGGACCGTCTGTATGTCGGTGTGTGAGGTAGACCCCGAACTCTGCGGATACTCGGGCCACTGCTGGCTTCTTTGTTTTTGTGTTCGGGGGGACTGTCTTGCATGTTGGATTGTGAGGTAGCCCTTGGGGTCTGCAGATACTCGCTTTTGTGTTTTTGGGGGACCGTCTGCATGTCGGTGTGCGAGGTAGACCCCGAACTCTGCGGATACTCAGGCCACTGCTGGCTTCTTGGTTTTTGTGTTCGGGGGGACCTCACAAGCCACTACCAACAGCAGCCCGAGAATCCGCAGACCCCGGGGTCATGTATGTATGTATGTATGTATGTATGTATGTATGTATGTATGTATGTATGTATGTATGTATGTAATGTAATGTATGTATGTATGTATGTATGTATGTATGTATGTAATGTAAGGTAATGTAATGTAATGTAATGTAATGTAATGTATGTTTGTAATGTAATGTAATGTAATGTAATGTAATGCAATGTATGTATGTATGTAATGTAGTGTAGTGTAATGTAATGTAATGTAATGTAATGTAATGTAACGTAACGTATGTATGTATGTAATGTATGTATGTATGTATGTATGTATGTATGTATGTATGTATGTATGTATGTATGTATGTATGTATGTATGTATGTATGTATGTAATGTATGTATGTATGTATGTATGTATGTATGTATGTATGTATGTATGTATGTATGTATGTATGTATGTATGTATGTATGTATGTATGTATGTATGTATGTATGTATGTATGTATGTATGTATGTATGTATGTATGTATGTATGTATGTATGTATGTATGTATGTATGTATGTATGTATGTATGTATGTATGTATGTATGTATGTATGTATGTATGTATGTATGTATGTATGTATGTATGTATGTATGTATGTATGTATGTATGTATGTATGTATGTATGTATGTATGTATGTATGTATGTATGTATGTATGTATGTATGTATGTATGTATGTATGTATGTAATGTATGTATGTATGTATGTATGTATGTATGTATGTATGTATGTATGTATGTATGTATGTATGTATGTATGTATGTATGTATGTATGTATGTATGTATGTATGTATGTATGTATGTATGTATGTATGTATGTATGTATGTATGTATGTATGTATGTATGTATGTATGTATGTATGTATGTATGTATGTATGTATGTATGTATGTATGTATGTATGTATGTAATGTATGTATGTATGTATGTATGTATGTATGTATGTATGTATGTATGTATGTATGTATGTATGTATGTATGTATGTATGTATGTATGTATGTATGTATGTATGTATGTATGTATGTATGTATGTATGTATGTATGTATGTATGTATGTATGTATGTATGTATGTATGTATGTATGTATGTATGTATGTATGTATGTATGTATGTATGTATGTATGTATGTATGTATGTATGTATGTATGTATGTATGTATGTATGTATGTATGTATGTATGTATGTATGTATCTAATGTAATGTAATGTAATGTAATGTAATGTAATGTAATGTAATGTATGTATTGTATGTATTGTATGTATTGTAATGTAACGTAATGTAATGTAATAAAATGCAATGTATGTATGTATGTATGTATGTATGTATGTATGTATGTATGTATGTATATAATGGTATGTATGTATGTATGTATGTATGTATGTATGTATGTATGCATGCATGTAATGTATGTACGTACGCACGTACGTTTGTATGTATGCAGTGTATTTACTGCATGTATGTAATGTGTGCATGTCTGTAATGTATGTATGTATGTACGCATGCATGTATGTATGTAAGTAATGTAATGTAATGTAATATAATGTAATGTAATGTAATTATGTATGTATGTTTGTATGCATTGTAATGTATGTATGTATGTATGTATGTATGTATGTATGTATGTAGGTATGTAATGAATGTATGTAATGTATGTATGTATGCATGTATGTATGTATGTAATGTATGTATGTAATGTATGTATGTATGTATGTATCTATGTATGTCATGTATGTATGTATGTAAGTAATGTATGTATGTATGTATGTATCTATGTATGTATGTATGTATGTCTGTAATGTATGTACGTACGCACGCGCGTTTGTATGTATGCAGTGTATTTACTGCATGTATGTAATGTGTGCATGTATGTATGTATGTAAGTAATGTAATGTAATGTAAAATAATGTATTGTAATGTAATGTAATTATGTATGTATGTATGTATGCATTGTAATGTAATGTATGTATGTATGTATGTATGTATGTATGTATGTATGTATGTATGTATGTATGTATGTATGTAATGAATATATGTAATGTATGTATGTATGCATGTATGTATGTATGTAATGTATGTATGTAATGTATGTATGCATGTATGTATGTCTGTATGTATGTATGTATGTAATGTATGTATGTATGTATGTATCTATGTATGTATGTATGTCTGTATGTATGTATTTATGTAATGTATGTATGTATGTATGTTTGTATGTAGGTATGTATGTAATGTATGTATGTATGTATGTATGTATGTATGTATGTATGTAGGTAGGTATGTATGTATGTATGTATGTATGTATGTATGTATGTATGTATGTATGTATGTATGTATGTATGTATGTATGTATGTATGTATGTATGTATGTATGTATGTATGTATGTATGTATGTATGTATGTATGTATGTATGTATGTATGTATGTATGTATGTATGTATGTATGTATGTATGTATGTATGTATGTATGTATGTATGTATGTATGTATGTATGTATGTATGTATGTATGTATGTATGTATGTATGTATGTATGTATGTATGTATGTATGTATGTATGTATGTATGTATGTATGTATGTATGTATGTATGTATGTATGTATGTATGTATGTATGTATGTATGTATATGTATGTATGTATGTATGTATGTATGTATGTATGTATGTATGTATGTATGTATGTATGTATGTATGTATGTATGTATGTATGTATGTATGTATGTATGTATGTATGTATGTATGTATGTATGTATGTATGTATGTATGTATGTATGTATGTATGTATGTATGTATGTATGTATGTATGTATGTATGTATGTATGTATGTATGTATGTATGTATGTATGTATGTATGTATGTATGTATGTATGTATGTATGTATGTATGTATGTATGTATGTATGTATGTATGTATGTATGTATGTATGTATGTATGTATGTATGTATGTATGTATGTGTATGTATGTATGTATGTATGTATGTATGTAATGTATGTATGTATGTATGTATGTATGTATGTATGTATGTATGTATGTATGTATGTAATGTATGTACGTACGCACGTACGTTCGTACGTATGCAGTGTATTTACTGCATGTATGTAATGTATGCATGTCTGTAATGTATGTATGTATGTACGTATGTATGTATGTATGTAAGTAATGTATTGTAATATAATGCAACGTAATGTAATGTTATGCAATTATGTATGTATGTATGTATGTATGCATTGTAATGCATGTATGTATGTCTGTAGGTAGGTATGTATGTATGCAAATGTATGTATGTATGTACGTACGTATGTATGTATGTATGTATGTATGTATGTAAATGCATGTATGTATGTAAATGCATGTATGTATGTATGTATGTATGTAAATGCATGTATGTATGTCTGTATGTATGTATGTAGGTATGTAATGTACGTATGTATGTATGTATGTATGTACGTATTGTTGTGTGTATGTATGTATGTATGTATGCATGTAATGTACCTCATATATGCATGTATGTATGTATGTAATGTATGTAATGTAATGTAATCTAGTGCAATGTAATGTAATGGTATGTAATGGTATGTAATTGTATGTAATGGTATGTAATGGTATGTAATGGTATGTATGTATGTATGTATGTATGTATGTATGTATGTATGTATGTATGTATGTATGTATGTATGTATGTATGTATGTATGTATGTATGTATGTATGTATGTATGTATGTATGTATGTATGTATGTATGTATGTATGTATGTATGTATGTATGTATGTATGTATGTATGTATGTATGTATGTATGTATGTATGTATGTATGTATGTATGTATGTATGTATGTATGTATGTATGTATGTATGTATGTATGTATGTATGTATGTATGTATGTATGTATGTATGTATGTATGTATGTATGTATGTATGTATGTATGTATGTATGTATGTATGTATGTATGTATGTATGTATGATGATGATGAGGATGCCGATGGCAATGATGACAGCGGTGATGATGATGATGACGATGATGATGATGACCATGAGGAAGATGATGAAAAGTGTCATCGTAGCATCCGTTGCATCTCCAACAAGGACGATGACAAGTATTATCGCAGCATCTCCTGCATCTCCAACAGTGGGATGATGACAACGGTGATGATGACGAGGATGGCTATGAGGAAGATGATAGTGACTGTCTAGCAGTGCCTGGATAACTAGCATCGTAGTATCCGTTGCATTGCACATGGTGTCTAACGTCCCTTTTGATATCTTTGTAAGAAGTAAAGAAATGATGATGATGAGGAAGATGATGAAAAGTATCATCGTAGCATCCGACGATAACAAAAACAAGTGATGATGACGAGGAATCTCAAATCGCATGATAATCATCACTATGCATCCTCAGTATCACCAGCAATCATGATGATCATGAAAATCGGGTGATGATACTTGTCACTATGCATCCTTAGCATCACCAGCAGTTATGATGATAATCATGAACACGCATCTTCTGGGAGGAGGATGTGACTATGAGGAAGATGATAAAAGTCTGCATCTCCAACGAAGACGATGACAAGTATTGTCGTAGCATCCCCTGCATCTCCAACAGTGGATGATGATGACGATGATGATGATGACAACGGTGGATGACGAGGATGACTATGATGATCATTCGCGTCATCACAAGTATCATCGCAACATCCTCTGCATCTCCAGCAGTGCCTCGATAACTATCATCGTAGCATCCGTTGCATTGCAAGTGGGGTCTGGCGTTACTTTTGATTTCTATGTAAGAAGTAAGAAAGGATGATGATGAGGATGATGACTATGAGGAAGACGATGAAAAGTATCATCGTAGCATCCGCTGCATCTCCAACGATGACGATGATAAGTATCATCGTAGCATGCCTTGATGACGATAATGATGATGATGACCATGAGGAAGATGAGGAAAAGTATCATCGTAGCATCTAACGGTTGAAAAGTATCATCCTAGCATCCAACAGTGGATGATGATGACGATGATGATGATGATGACAAGCGTCATCACAAGTATCATCGCAGCATCCTGATGATAATCATGAATACGCATCTTTTGCATCTCAAATCGAGCGATGACAGTTATCACCACGCATCCCCAGCATCTCTTGCAGGCATGAGGATGATGATGGTGATAGCGGTGATGATCAGGATGATGACTATGAGGAAGATGATGAACAGTATCATCGTAGCATCCGCTGCATCTCCAACGATGACGATGATAAGTATCATCGGAGCATCCCCTGCATCTCCAACAGTTGATGATGACGATGATGATGATGACAACGGTGATGATGATGACGATGATAATGATGATGATGATGACAATGGGAAGATGATGAAAAGTATCATCGTAGCATCCGCTGCATCTCCAACGATGATGATGACAAGCATCATGTAGCATCCCCTGCATCTTCAACAGTGGATGATGATGACGATGATGATGATGACAACGGTGATGATGAATGAGGAAGATGATGGCGATCATCCGCGTCATCGCAACTATCATCGCGACATCCAGCGGTGCCTTGACCACTATCATCGTAGCATCCCTTGAATCGCCAATGGAGCCGCGCGTGATGATTATTATGATGATGACGAAAACGATGACGATAACGATGATGAGGAGGATGACGACGATGTTGATGATGATGACACCCTTCCCATGCGCCTCGCCCTTGCAGACAAGGGGTCGGCGGATATATACATAGGGAAGCCCAAAGGAAAGTGTGGCCCTCAACCGTTTGAGAACCACCCACCCCCTTCTGCTCGGTTTTGCGGGTAAGCTCGCCGGAAAAAAAAGGAGCCCGTCATGATGAAGATTCCTATCCCTGACTTCAGGTGCTGGAGTTCTCCTCTGAACCCTCAAAAGCGTGGAATTCTTTCCAGCTGTGTCTGACTGAAACAAAACGGCAAAATACTATTTGAGGGGCAAGGTTTCTCAGATTCGCAGATCCCTTGGAGGCCACTGGAGCATGATAGGCCCTACAAGCAATGATTCATGGCATAGTTACGTAACGCCGGGGGGGGGGGGTTGACGTCAACCCACGATGGACCAAGTCCAAGAAAGATGTAGCTCTGCAATGCTTCCGCGTTACTTGACCTTTGCCATGCGCAGTCACCAGGCTGTGGTCGCTCGTCATTTGTCGTCATCCGGGGATCCGGGCAGACCTTGGGAAGACACAATGCAAGTGCTCCTTGGCCGCCCGATATACCCGGTCGAACCAGCCAGCCAGCCAACCAGCCAAACACAAGTGCTACTTGTTCAATTGTTGCGCTGCTTGCTGGGGTAGCTTTTTGTTTGCAGCAGGCGTACATTCTCTTTCCACCATCGTCCGGCACATGCATTTTAGAAGGCAACGTGTTGTTTGGAAAGGCTCTTCTTTTCCGCTTCCAACTCGCAAAGACTGGCGACCGGTGAAGCGCCCTTTAAGCGCTTTGCATCGTATCAATGGGCGGAGGCCAACCAGTTTGTGAACAGCCTCCAAGAGGAGCTCACAAAATTGGCCCCGGTGATCACCGAGAAGATCAAGGAGGCGGGAAGCAGTCTGCAGTTGCAGTTGGCGGCCGCTTTGGCTGAGGATGTATCCTAAATCTGCTGACAACCTTGATGCGGTTTTGGTTGGTTTTTTTTAAGGCAAGTTGCAGGGAAAGCCATGTGTGGGAATACAGCCAATGAATTGTTGTGGTTTTGCCGGTCGCAATTGTAGAAATCCCTAAGAGTAGGACACTTGCATGCGCTTTTGCTTCTTGTGGGTTCCAGAGAGAGAGACAGAGAGAAGAAAAACAAAAGCAAATGAAGAGAGAGAGAGAGAGAGAGTTGCCTTATGTCCCAGGCGGCTTTTGCGAGCAACAACGCACTTTGCCGTGGGTGAGCTATCTTTGCATCGTTGGTTTACGGTTCAGCCATTTGACCGGGAGTACAAGACACCCTTTGCGAGAGGCACTTCGCACAGTCACCGATAGACGGATTCCAGGTTGGATTCCAGAATGCGATGGCTCTTGACCAGAAGGATGCCATGGCATCAATCCGACAACCCCGAAGAAATGTCTATATAATGTATTCAATGACTCCGTTCCCTTTGTCTATGAAAGAATCTGCAAGAGACGCAATCAGCAGAAATCACCACTTAGCCCAGATGCCAATCTCGTGAGGCAGATGAGTTGGTGCCAGTCGTCACAGAGGAGCAGAAAAAGGCCGGTCGGACCAAGTTGGAACGTGAGTAGGGTCGAATTGTGAGACAGGGTTGTTGGACCCTAAGTATGGCTCACTCAAAAAAAGGAAGCAGATCCGAGTTAGTTCTATGAGGGGTTGGCGATTGGAAGCCGTCTTCTGCCTTCTAGGGCGCTGGTGGTGTGGTCAAATTGACTGATGCCAACGACCAGCGATGTCAGACATAATTACATTATGAGTGATTTGTTTCCCTATTCACTTCGAACAATAGGTAGCAATGGTCTACCCTCGGCGGCTCTGCTTTGGAGAATTCTGCAGCTTGAGCAACGTATCCAAACGCATTCGGGGTGTGTTGGTCCCAACGTGGTGGCACATTCGATTCAGTTATGAACAGGTCTTCCAAGCTCAAGTTTTTGTGTGCGTTGAGTGTGGACGCCTGGACAGCAGCAAACACGGACCTTGATATTTGGCCTTGCTTCTCTGGCGGACTCGATTCAGGCTGAAGTGATCAAGGAGAAGGTTGCAAGCGAAGAGGCACAGAGCGCCGAATGAGCGGTTTTGACCTTCGGCCTGCCCAAGATCTTGTCCTGGACTCGTGGGGGATAAGCCACCACGTAGAACTATTAAGATTAACCACCTGTTGGATTCCATCGACGTGGTTACCCTGTTCGGGGTGAAGTTCGCTCCCAGTCACAGTCAAACAGGTGACCCTATTCCGCCCGAAACATGGAAACATGGCTCAAAACCGCACATTGCAAGCCGTGCACCATTGTGATGCTATACAAAGCACTCGTTTAACGCTATCTTTGGTGGAGTTTCATAGAAATACTCAGCCCAAGCCCGCTTCAAGTTGGTCAACGCCTCGCTGGGGCACCTTGCTGCTTCCTGAGAATATTTGGCTTGGTGGCTCCCAGCCACCCCCTTGGCTTTTTAGCCTTTTAGTGTTTAGTGGTGGTTTCCATTTAACCCAAAACTTTTAGCAGGGGATCCGAGGGCAGCCCAGTTGGCAGCAATACTTCTTTTTTTTGTGGGACTCTTGGGAAAGTCATTGAATGTGATCTCACGGAGGAGCTGGGAATCTTTTTCCTGGCCGCCTTTGTGTTGCTTCAGGCCGCAGGGAAACCACACCATTTGACTGAATCAGAAGCTGTCGATGTGCGGAGTCGTTGCCAGGTTGTGGTCAGAAAGCAGGCGGATGAAGTGAAGGCCATTGCGGATGACGCGCAGAAAGACCTCGACATTGCCATGCCGGCTCTTGAGAGTGCCTTGGATACCATGTCGGGAGCGATGCTCGTGAACGCATCGGCATCGTGCCTGGTTGTGTAAGAAGTTCCAGTGAACGCTTTCAGAATTCGTGGCGGCAACAGTCGATGGCCAGTTGAACAATGACAGAATATTTTTTTGGGCAGTCAGTCGGGCCGCTGTTGTCGGGCTCGCATGCAACACAATTGCGTGCATTCCCGCAAGATGCGTGAACTCATCCATGGTTTGCTGCGAGCGCTTCCTGTATATGTTGATTCCGCCGCACAGACACAGCCACCGGAGTTCCCCTCGAGTCGAGCTTGTTTGTCTTTGCTTGGTGCCTCTACGTTGGCATGCTTTTCCCTTTGCCTAGATCCTAGATCCGGAGGCAATTGGACCGCAGGCTTTGGTCCATGTGTCCACTTGCCAAGCCATTTTGGTTGGTTACCCTATGTTTGACAACCACAGCTATGTTTGACAACCACAGCCAGTGGAACCCAGTGGCAACTCTGAGGCGCCCTGAAGTCTTTGGATGCCTTGGACAAGAAGGACATCCAGGACCCGAGCGGACGGTCGAGGATCTTGATTGCTTCAGCCCAAGACTGCCGCAAACGATGCACCAAACAAAAACCGCCATACTTGTGTGTGTGTGTGTTTAGTGGTTGGAACACCAACCCAGAAATTGTCGGTGGACATAGCTCCCCATAAAATTGGTGCCCGCCAAAGAAATCCCTGCTCAAAGACATATCCAACTGGTTGTCCTTTCTTATGGGCACGGAGTGGGTTGTTTCCCGACCACAAGCAGTTAATCCTTTTTGGCTGTGTGGTGTATGCTCTGCTGACAAAACGAGGAGGCAATGGAGATGCGGCCCTTGACTCGGGATATTCTAAGGAAGCAACAGACATGTGTGTGTGTGTGTTCGCGCGTGTCTGCTATTCCAGCAGCCATGTCCCACTCAGGGAATCTTCACCACCGAATACATGCCGTGGATTTTACTGATGTGCGCAAATGTGCAAAGCTCCTAGGATGTACATTGGACATATGCATGTGTGCGGTTCCTCTTGTCAACTCATCCATGGTCACTAAATCGACCAGCAATTGTCCACCATTTGATGTACGGTTTGTGTCCTGGCCGTTTTACGGCAAAGATTCGCAGCCAAGACCTGAATTTGGGTTGTCCACAAAGACTAGACAACATGACACCATACAAAACAGAGCAACCAAACGCACATCGCAAGCTTTGCTATTGGCTGATGTTCCAATCTATGTGTGTGTGTGTGTGCTTCCTTTGCTTATCTATAGTATCGGGCTAGCACTTAGAATATATTTTACTCCGTCCGATCCTCACTTAGAATATATTTTACTCCGAAAATATCCCAAAACATCAGTTATAATATTTAGGTTCACAAGTGACACTTAGAATAATTCAGATAGCATACACTTAGAATAATTCAGATAGAATATGTTTTGACAGACATAATATTTCACAGAATATTTCAGCAAGCTGGGTCACAAGGCAATTTCACACACCAATTGATGGCGTCGAACCGTTTGATGACATCGAGCCGCGCAGATGCATGGGGTCAAGGAAGAAGAAGTGAATAATAAAAGCAGATGGTGATGTCTCAGATGTCCATGAAGCATTGCTAGTGAGAATTGAGCTTAGAGGGGGGGGAAGCTCGAACGCTTTCACGAAAAGCTCAAAGGTAGAAACTTTGGAGTTGCACGCGGGCGGTAAAATCAGGTCCTCCGAGCCAGGACTAATTTTAGCATTGCCGGTACTTAATTTTGCATTGCCAGTACTAGTTTGAGAATAGTACTCATGTATATTGTCAGTACTAATTTTAGCATTGCCAATAGTAAATTTAGTATTGGCAGGACATTCTTGCTATTGCCGGTACTGAATTTAGCATTGCCAATATAGACTTTGGATTGCCAATGCTAAGCCTAGTAAAGTTTAGCAAGGATTTGAACTGTAAAATTCTTTATTTAAAAACGTATCCTGGAAGGTTTTTTGGCTACGAGAAGAGGGGGTAGCTTTGCCGCAATAGTCAATTTAGTATTGCCAGTACTAACTTTAGTATTGCCAATAGTAAATTTGGTATTTTTATCAGATAGAATAATTCAGCAAGGGCCGTAGATTTTCAAAATAAACCTGTTCTGATAACACATTTCTCGACTTGCTTTGGACTGCCAGGACTAAACTTAGTATTGCCAATACCTCCTTTCAAAGGTCATTTTCCAGACCTCGCAGCCTTTGTATCTGACACAGATTATTCTATTTGTCTGTTCCACTTCCAGGGATTTGCACAGGCATGTCAAGATTGGGATTACTCGAACTGTCTCATTTATTCATATGTGGTCTCGGTACTGTTTGGGGTTGGGTTAAAAGGAAAGGAATGCCACCCCGTGTTGGGACATAGTGGGGTACCCTCAAAAACTAAGCAAACACATATTTACTATGTATATGTTTATATATTTGCATACGATTGAATGCATGATGAAGGTGTCCTGGCCCAAACACACATATTCTAGCTGTGCCACCCCATGGTGGTCATTTGTATTTTGGGCTCGGTACCGTTTGGGGTTGGGTTAAAGGGAAAGGAAGGCCACCCCTTTTTGGAGAATAATGGGGTACCCTCAAAAAACGCAAATCCATATCTACTATGTATAATATATATATATATATATATGTTTATGTGTGCATACGATTAATTGCCTAATGCAGGTTCCCGGCCCAAAAACAGTTATTCTAACTGTGCCCCCCGATGGTGTACAATGTATAGCTTCGGCTCGGTACCGTTTGGGGTTGGGCTAAAGGGACAGGAAGGCCACGCTTTTGGACCCTCAAAGAATAAACAAAACAATATTTACTATCTCTATATCTTTCATTATGCCTACGATTCATCACCTGCTGAAGTTTTGCCAAAAACACATATTCTAACTCCACCCCATGGTGTTCATTTGTATTTTGGGCTCGGTACCGTTTGGGGTTGGGTCAAAGGGAAAGGAAGGCCACCCCTTGTTGGAGTGTACTGAAGTGCCCTTAAAAATAAGCCATCCAATGCTTGCTATCTCTCTCTGTTATATATATATATATATGTATTAAAGTGTGGCCTGATGAAGGTTTTCCGCCTCTATCTGTGCCGCCCCATGGTGTTTATGTATAGCTTCGGCTCGGTATCGCTTGGGGTTGGGCTAAAGGGAAAGGAAGGCCACGCTTTTGGACCCTCAAATAATAACCAAATCAATATTTACTATCTCTATATCTTTCATTGTGCCTACGATTCATCACCTGATGAAGTTTTGCCAAAAACAAATATCCTAACTGTGCCACCCCATGGTGTTCATTTGTATTTTGGGCTCGGTACCGTTTGGGGTTGGGCGAAAGGGAAAGGAAGGCCACGCTTTTGGACCCTCAAAGAATAAACAAAACAATATTTACTATCTCTATATCTTTCATTATGCCTACGATTCATCACCTGATGCCAAACACACATATTCTAACTGTGCCACCCCATGGTGTTCATGCATTGGTTGGGTTAAAGGGAAAGGAAGGCCACCCCTTGTTGGAATATACTGGGGTACCCTCAAAAAATAAGCAATCCAATATTTACTATCTCTATATTTAGTAATTTATGCATACGATGAATCACCTGATGAAGGTTTGCAAAAGCAAATATTCTATGTGCCCCCCCCAAATGGTGTTCATGAATATTTTGGGCTCGGTACCGTTTGAGTCTCTGGAGAATTTGCTGTATATGAAATATTCTATCTGTTTGTGGGAGGGGCATGGCCCGTCGGGCTGAGCATTTGAGCTCCGAAAAAAGGAGAAGCCATGCATTCCTCTGGTAAATGCGTGTGTCTTTCTTAGGGGGACCCCTCACAACGGTTGGTTTCCGTTTGGTTTTGCATATACCCTTGAAAGAGAGACGGACCCAAATGGAAAATCATGGGACCCACAGCCACATGGTTTGCTGAAAGCCGTACATAGAAACATCTAGCAACAGGCTAGCAGCTAGGACATTTATCGCAGAGTAGTTGTTCATAGCAGAAACCCTTGTTTTGAAATATTCTATCTGTCTGTGGGAGAGGGGCATGGCCCGTCGGGCTGAGCATGTGAGCTCCGAAAAAAGGAGAAGCCATGCATTCCTCTGGTAAATGCGTGTGTCTTTCTTAGGGGGACCCCTCAAAACGGTTGGTTTCCGTTTGGTTTTGCATATACCCTTGAAAGAGAGACGGACCCAAATGGAAAATCATGGGACCCACAGCCACATGGTTTGCTGAAAGCCGTACATCTAGCAACAGGCTAGCAGCTAGGACATTTATCGCAGAGTAGTTGTTCATAGCAGAAACCCTTATTTTGAAATATTCTATCTGTCTGTGGGGGAGGGGCATGGCCCGTCGGGCTGAGCATTTGAGCTCCGAAAAAATGGGGAAGCCATGCATCATGCATTCCTTTGGCAAATGCGTGTGTCTTTCTTTGAGGGGACCCCTCAAAACGGTTGGTTTCCGTTTGGTTTTGCGTATACCCTTGAAAGAGAGACGGACCCAAATGGAAAATCATGGGACCCACATGGTTTGCTGAAAGCCGTATATATATATATAGAAACATCTAGCAACGGGCTAGCAGCTAGGACATTTATCGCAGAGTAGTTGTTCATAGCAGAAACCCCTATTTTGAAATATTATATCTGTTGTTTTCTTATTTTGAAATATTCTATCTGTTGTCTTCTTTTTGGTTGAAATATTCTATCTTCAATTGTTTTTTATTCTAACTGACGTTTTTCCTATTTATTCTAACTCATTTTTGATAGACTTTTGAAATGTGCATTTTCATTTACTCTAAAAAATATATTCTAACTGCTAGCCCGACACTATATTTGTTGCCTGTTTGTTGCTCCTGTTTGTGTTTTAGGCTGTTTTGTTCTTTGTTTGTTTCCTCGGTCCTGCCACTGTTTGCTACCCTCCACTCCCGCACCTACTCCCCCACCCCACTTTCCTGTCCGGCATGCTTCTTGCTATTTTTCTGTTTGCTGGTTTATTGTTGCTATTATTGTATATTAGTATTGCTCAATAGTTATTATATATTTTTTGATTTGTTGATTTATTATGTTTATCATTAGTATGTTATTATTATTGCTGTTTATTGCCATTAAGTATCCGTATTATGAGGTTTATGTTATTACTACTTTTATTGGTATTGTTATTGTTATTGTTATGTGTTGTTTTAGTTTTAGTGCACCGTTTTGCTGTTTGGCAATGCTCGCTGGGGTATACTACCTGGCGGATTAGGCAACAGCGTACCAAAACAAGTGCGACACAGCCCCTCTAGTGGGGTGGACAAACGCCAGGCACAAGTTGGGATGGATGAAACTCCGCTAGGTCCCCCCAGCTAGGTGCCCTTTCTCACCCTTTTTTTGGGGGAGGCTTCCCCTACTAGAGTAGACTACAGAAGAAAAATCGTGTACCCTGATTCTAACCTCTCTACTGGGGGACCTTGCGAAGCCTCGAGGAGATCAAGTCCTTCGCGAAGCCACCCCCTCTGGTGATGATGACCATGGAGGCGCGACGCGCGCGCGATCGAGTGGCTGGGGAGAAGGTCCCAAAGGATGCTCAGCCTGGTTGTGACCCATGAGTTTGAATAGGGAACACCCTCTAAAGTGGTTGCCCCGAGCTTTGATGTTCAAACGGCCCGGGACCCTCTAAAACACACACGCAAGTCAACCAAACCCAGTTTCACTTATCACCTTGGTCAGGCCTGACTGGTTTGCACATCTAAGTTTGAAAGGAACATGGGGTGACAACATGGGCCGGACTTTCTTGGGAGACACCCCCCCTTCAAAGGACACACTGAATGATGCCAGCGTCCCCAAAGAGGCGCAATTTTGGCACCCCCTGCTCATAGGCTACTACCCTCCACAAAAAATCGTCTCGGTGACACCTGTTGCGTGTCATGTTCTTTGTGCTTGGAGGGGCGTTCCACGGTCCCTTTGTGTCCCAAGGGCACTAGAGCTTTTGGCCTGCGAGTATTTTGATGTCGTTGCCGCTCAAAGTCGAAAGTTCTATCCAGGGCAAAGATCTTCAGCATGGTCAACATATGTTGACCAAGCAGAAAACAGCTAGCCAGGCAGGGTTGTCAACATTCAGGGATTGTTTTTTCCGGCATCTTCAAAAGGGGGCACAAGGCGATGCCGTGGTCCAACCCGGGACTCTTGCTTTCTTTTTGAATCTCCCCCCCAAGGCCCGTTTGTTCCTCGTTTGTTTGATCCGGTCGTTCGAGGCGGTGAATGTGCTGCTGCAAGAGAAGCCGGACTGGGACACTGCCAAGAAAGTGCTGAACCGGCCCACCTTCTTGCAGGACTTAAAGTCCTACGACAAGGACCGAAAGCTGTTTCTTCAGCTTTGGCGCGTTGCGTGTTGTTTCGCATGTGTTGTGACAAATTGGGTTTCCCTCTAAAGGGAAACCACTTGAGGTTGTTCAAACACATTGGTGGCTTGAAGCATGGCTTGAACCAGGAAACCCAAATCCTTAAAGGGAGCCGCCGGCAAATGTCTACAGTAGACAAGGTTAGGGCACAGTCCGTTGCCAGAAGTTGGTACGGCAAGAACATAGGTGTTTTGTATTCGAGGTGGTACGCTTGAATAAGCGTCCTTTCCCCCATGAAGCAAATGCTTGTGTTTGCTTCTGAGACCACTTGCTGCAGGTCATTCGCCTAGCTTCTTACCTTCAGGCTGCACCTGTTTTGTTTGTGAGTGCTTCCGTCATGGTTCCGTGCACGGTGCATTGAGTGTAGCACTTGACCTGGGCGAATCGAGCGGTTCCTTAAGGCAATCTGGAGATTCGAATGATAGCTCGGGTACAGGTGCTATTTGAGCCTTTTATTGCATGGCTGCGGCGTATTCTTTTGGGGGGGGGGGCGGGGAGGGGGGGGGTAAGTTCTGCCTTTTGGTGAGGGAAACCAAACGGACCAGCATTTGGGAGGCTCTAAGGCAAGGGACCCGAACCCGTGAAATGAGGACAACATTCCGGAGAAGGTGCTGAAACAGCTCTCCAAGCCCGACGCCCCAGCCCAGAAAAGGGAGAACCTGTCGGATGGCAGGGCCCAAGACTGTTACTTGTTGCCTGAAATGCCTTTGCGATACGTGCTGGAATTTGGGATGTGCAGACAGGGAAGCTCCGGTCAGGGGCCATAAATTGATGCTTCCGATGGCTTTTTTTGGGGGACCTGCCATCGGAAAGTTCGCCATCGCGGAGGCCTTTGGACCCAAGGAAGGGATCCTTTTGATCAGTTCTCATCACACCAGTCGCGCAACCGCGACTGCAAATGCTTGGACGCGCGTGTCAAGGCGTCGCTGGTGCTTGCGAGTTTTTGCACAGGCCTCTTGCCGAGGTTTGGATACCATGGTTTGAGTCCCAAGTTCATCTCGGGATGTTCAAAAAGGACGGCTCAAGCCAGTCGTTACTTTCCCAAGTCCCGTCTTTGTTGTCTTTAATTGCTTGCCAGTAGCTTTCTAACTGTATGACCAATATGGAGCTGTACCCTGGTTGCTGGCCAAGCTACTCATAGCACGTTTCTAATATTGTGTAGATGCTGCTTGCAATCATCACGGATCATACATGCATTGCATTGCACTACACAGCAATGCATGTCATTGCATGGCATTGCATTGCCAACGTACACACATACTTACAAGTAATTTATGTACACATCAGGTACAACTATGTGCAAACGTGTATCATCCTTCGAGTAGACCGCCTTTCAGCTGCAAGGTATGTGACCAAGCCAGAGTACACAGTGGAGGCAGTGGGAAACCAGAGCAAGGCGGGGGGGGGGGGGCATGAGCGTCCAGATGCGGAGATGCGGATGGAGGAGCTTGGATTTGCAAATAGGCAACATGAGCTAGGGGACGGGCAACTTATCAGCAACGAAAGTCCCCCCCCCCCCCCCTCGCGTTGTTCGCAAGGAGTAAGCAAGCGGCTCGGCTCGAGTTCGGTTTTGTCAGGCTGCGAAGAGTCTGTGCATGTGGACCTATGCCATGGACACCTACTCGAAGGCAGGCCGAAGTCAAAACGTGTCAACCATGTGGACAACCAACAGGAAGCGTGCACAACCAGAGCCACCATCAAGCCCGGGTAATTGAATTGGAGGCTAGTAAGGGACAATCCCAGCCATAAATGGGTGCGGATATCCGCCTTGTCAATTCTTTTCCTGGTTCTGGGTGGACCATTTTAGGACCGAGCTTCGATGACCAGACTGCACTCCTGAAGTCCACTCTCTGGAGGGCCATGTTGCTGGTCCAGTTTACTCAAACGTGGCACGTCTCTTTACATGCTATGTGTGTGCTTGCGGAGGTTTGGCCTTGAGCGGCTGCGTGAACGAGTGCGTGTTGCAGCCACAAGCCTACTCTTGTAAAGAGTCTAGCATTGGCTGGACACTGCAGTCCCAGGTTGAAGAGAACCTTAAGACCACAGTTGCGCCACAAGGAAGAGAACCCTAAGACGGTGAACCATAATTCTTTGTCGGGCCGGAAGGGAATGCATACTAGCTATTCCCACGTATTCGTTTTGAAGCTTGGGCCACTCACTGCAGTACTACTGTTCCGAGCAAGATCAACTTTTTCTCCCCCTAGTGCCCTTGATTTTTGAACCGCTGCAGAAGTGAAAGTCAGGCATCCCTTGGTGGTTTGGGGATTTCTTGTAGAGGGTACATGGGAAGCCACCCCTGAAGCACCAATCCACCAATCCAAACCACCAAGTGGGAGGAGGCTGAAAACAAAGGCACGTCTTTATCTACCGCTTTCCAGCCGCTGCCTCGATCGGTCAATCGAGCATGTTTGGTGGAGACTCCCCATGCAACTTTGATGTCCAGGTCCCCAACTCGCACCCAGCCCTCGGACCTGAAGCGGCGGACTTGCTTGCCAGGTGGGTATGGGTCAAAATAAAGACCAGCAAACCGCAGGTTTTCGTCTTTGGCTCCATTCAGGGCAACCCATCTTGGGCGCGCGTTTTTGTGCCACAGCCAGGTGGCGAAAGAAGTGGAGCCCAAGAAGCAGAAGGCGGACGGTGATTCCGCTGACCGATGAGGAAACCCCCGGGTTCATTCACGGAGGGTGTCCCCTTGTCCCGGATGCGGATGTCGCTGACACGAACGAGGAATGGGTTCATGGACACCCGGGGTCAACATTGTGGAAAACCTGGGATCCAGCAGCTTGAACCTCAAGGTAAGAGTTGATTGGATGAGTCGGGCAAGGGAGACCTGGAAGGGATAAGACTTGGAATGCGGCACCCAGAAGGAGACATTCTTAAAATTGGATTGCAAGAATGCTTACCTCGTGGGGCGCAAATCAGCCCTAAATATGGCCTTAAGGGCTTAAGAAGGGCTTATTTGGGCTCCCCCCCCGCTCCCTTCGCCCAAGCCCCATGATTACCTGCGAGGGGAGCATGTGTGAAGCGACCCAACAAAGTTGACAAACTTCCGTGCGCGTTTGCGTGCTCGGGGCAAGCTCTTCAAGCTGCCTTTTGTTAGAGAGTGCTTTTCGCCATGAACATGACACGTTGTAAATGAGTAGTTCTATGAGTTCTCTGCAAGCTTGTGTCATAAGAGACACACCCAGAAAGAGACCCATTCCCCGTGTCCAAAGGTGGCTGAGCTGAACGACAAGCTGGCGAAGGCCAATTCGGAGCTTCAGGCGAGCCTGGAGATGTTTATGGGCGTCACGTGTTCGGTGTAAACAAACAAACAAATAAATGCATCAACGACGAAACAAATATAGAGAGATTATGCGATGCACATATGTGCATGCCTATATATATATATATATATGCGGGCCGTCCGCAAATGCATGTCTTCAAATTATGTGTTCAGGTAACTTGTTGGTTGTGCGCGATTGGTGCATCGCAAAAAAGGCCGGCGATTGGGCCGCGATTGGGATAACATCTACATGTTGGGATGACCCCTCGTTGGAAGCGCATTATATGTTGCCAAGTTTGCTCCGCGGTTGGCCCCGCTGTGGTCGCCATTGGAGCGCGAAAGGCCGGCGATTGGAGGGTGTTCAGGAAAAGCAATATTGGATAACCCCCATATACACATGATATACATGTGTACACCTGTTTTCCCTTGTACACATGTAGATATAAACAATATATACACTTATAAAAATATAATTACATATGTGTTCAGACTTCAGACACCACATCAAACCAACTCCAGGCAACTACAACAAAAGACATTCAAACACGTGAGGATAATCTCGCATTCCGTCTCGAAATGGTTGCTTTGTTGGCTCTCCCATGATTTTCGTTGAATATGTGTGTGTTTCCTTGTGTGTTTGTGTGTGTTATTTCTTTATTTATTTCTTTATTTCTTTATTTCTTTATTCATTTCTTTATTTGTTTCTTTGTTTCTTTCTTTCTTTCTTTCTTTCTTTCTTTCTTTCTTTCTTTCTTTTTGTTCTCTATTTTATATGTTTCTTTCTTTGTTTCTTTTGGGCTAAAGCGTTAACCGTAGGTGGTCGCTTGTCTTGACTCTTAATAAGTATCCACTTGGGCCACCATTTTGGCTCAAGTGGACCTTTTGATCTTTTGTCTTGTGATTTGAAATCTTTCTTTCCCCTACTCTCAAAGCCATGTACGCCCCCGCCTACGCTGGTGCCGCGGTAGCAGAGGCCAAGGCTAAGGCAAAGGCCTCCATGGCAAAGTACCTGGCGAGCCTCGTGAAGAGGGAGGAAGAAGGATGGACCGTTTTGGCTGCTGAGGTCCCTCAGGCACCTGACGAGCGTTTCTTCTCCAGCGCAGATGAGCTGGAGCAGGCCCCCCTTATCCCGGCCAAGCGCAAGGCAGAGGATGAGCCGATGGAAGATGCAGCCCCTGGGGTGGCGCAGGTGCCGAAGGCCCTGACACGCCCCCCAGGGGCGTTCCTGGAGCTCCTGAACCCGCCGGAGGAGGACGTGCCCATGGAGGAGCTCCTGGCGAAGGACGAGAAGGAGCTGCCGATGCCCAGGTCCCCCTCGGCTGCAGCCCGCTTGGAGGAGGCCCGCCTGGATGCCCGGGCAGACGCCAAGTGGCAGAGGCGCCGGGAGCTGATGGCGAAGGTCAAGGAGCAGGCGTCCTCGGAGGAGGATGAGAACCCCGCAGCCCCCCCGCCGGGGGGGAGCGTGTTCACCAAGGCCCTCAAGGTCTCGGAGGGCCTCTACCAGTTCAGCGACGACCAGATGGCGGGCGACTTCCCTTGCTTCGATGCGACCACGGCCACTAGGCTCCGCCGACTGCAGGCCAAGGACGTCCAGCGGCTCCTGCGAGGCTTTGAGGGCCCCCAACTCAAGCGGGGGGGCCTGGAGCGCGTTGTGGAGGCCTTCTACATCGCCAAGATGAAGTACGAGCATGAGATGAGGCCCGGCTCAGCACCCCGGGACAGCAGGTTGGTAAGCGCGCTGGCTTGGGGTACGGGGGCCTGGAGAACCGCCCCCTGGGCAAGGTGCCCACATCCTGGATCTGCCCCTGCTGCACCATGCCCTGGGTGAAGAAGGGCGCCACGAAGTGCATGGGGTGCGGCAAGAAGACGGAGCCCATTGACACGGCGACCAACTCGGCCACCCTGGAGATGGCGGGCACGCATTGGCAGTTGACGGTGGATGACCAGGGCAATGCGGTCTGGACGGCGGCCCGGTCCGCGGGTGCCGAAGGCCCTGACACGGACCGGGCCCGCGACCTCAAGCTCAGTGCCTCGGTGGACGTCAGCGAGCTGGCCACCGACCCGATGGCCTGCGAGAACCCGGACCAGGCCAGCTTCTCGGACTTCGTCCCCTCCTCGGTCCGGGCGGTGATCAGGAACTGCCCCATGGAGCTGGACGAGGAGTTTCTGACGGCCCCACCGGGGGAGAGGCCCCCATTGCCAGGCGACAAGGAAGAGGGCCAGGAATGCAGAGCCTTCCACCCGTCTGCGGTGAAGGCCTTCAAGATTCAGACCCGGCTCAACGCCACCACCATCGCCCAGGAGGAGGCCAAGAAGGCGGACCAGGTGGAAGCGGTGGAGCGCTCCGCGGCGGTCCTCCACGAACTTCAAGGGGGGGCCATTGACGGAGGAGGTGATGGAGGCCTGCTCCTGAAGAACCTGGACTTGGACCTCTTCCGTGAGAAGCTGCTGGACAAGCTGGGTGCGGACTGGGGGAGACCCACACCGGAGCTCCTCCAGGCCCAGACCACTGCGGAGGAGGCGAAAGCGAAACACCAAGCCAGACAGGCGAAGGGCTCCCTCGAAACCAGAATGCTCGAGCCCATCGCGCCTCCCTTCAGTGCGTGGCCTAGTGAGTGAGACTGGGGTCTTCGAGCCGACAACGGCATGGAGGGACTTCAGTATGGACGACCTCACATCCCTCACGGACTCCTACCTTGAGGCCAAGGCGGTCATCTCGCTGGGTAGGAATCCCTTCCCGGCGGCCCTCCTGTCAGATCTGCCGGACCTGACAGGGATCCCCATGCCAAAGGCGGAGCCTCGGGCTCTAGCTCAGGTGCCGCCCTGACAAGCCGTCCGCCACCCCGGTGGGCCTGGACACCAAGGACCCGGAGGTGCAGCTCTCGGTCCTGCGCTGGATGATGAGCAAACGGGTCGGAGAGGTCCGTATCTTTGCGGGCCGCTGGGTCCGACGACCGGGCCCGGTACACGTCCCGGATTGGGCGAAAAACCTCACCAAGGTGAATCCGGAGGCGTTGGAGAAGGGTACGCATCCCAGGAACCACCAGGTGGGTGGACTCCCCTGGGCCAGGTACTCCGTTGATGAGTTGCACCAGCAGGCGAAGGCGGGGGACCGACCCTACCCTGGGGACCTGCGATCCATCTTTTGGGCTGCCCCCCACGATCCGGATGAGGACTTCCACTGGACGCGCCAGATCTCGTCCTGGACACTCCCAGGCCTACTGGGGATGTTCGGGCACAGCTACACCCTGCGCCAGCTCTGGGGAGTCTGGGAGTCTCTGCCACTGCTGCAGGGCCCTAGGCAGCGGGGCCCGAAAAACAGGGCTGGGAGACCCTGAAGGAGGACGCGCTGCGGAGATTGAAGGAGGAGGCCGCGGTGCTTGTTGCTCCTGAAGGAGGAGGGCCTTCCGTTTCCGCAGACAGGACCGGAGTGGCGATTGGTCTACCGGGCCATGGGCAAGGTCCTCGCGGCCCGGGCCTTCCTCACGGACACCCCGGCGGAGGTGATGCAGCTCCCGGTCCAGGACGTGGCGGACTCCAAGGAGCAGATGATCCTGCGGGCGGTATGCGACGAGCGCATCTCGGTCCCGGTGGAGAGCCTCCAGCAGTTCCCAGAGGTGTACAAGGCCCTCATGGACCGCATTGGAGGCCCGGGGGCCCTGGCGGAGGTGAAGGTCAACTGGCGCTGCAACACGAAGCAGTGGTGGGTCGGCGCAGTCCCCGACTCAGTGGCCCCCTCCATCTACCGCAAGCTCGGCTACACCAACGACATGATCAAGCTGATGGGCCTGGACCCCTCCGCCCCTGGGTGCCGGACAGGTGCCGATGGCCCTGACATCCGCCCCAGGGGAGGCGAGGGCGATGAGGGGATCGTTTACCCCCCCATCACGGCGGACAACGTCCACGGCGTGGTGGGTAAGGACTACCGGAAGAAGAACTATCCGGTGGAGATGAAGCATGTCTTCTGGGCGCACATGGAGTGTGGCCTGGTCCTGAGCTCCGTCACCCCGTGGGAACTCATCCCGAAGACAAAAGGGGAGACCCGGGGGGCTACATGTGCAAGTATTGTAAGGGGTACTGGCGTGCCGGGGGAGGGGGCACCCGCCTCCTCCAGATCCGGGCCGGCAAGGCCATCTTGCAGCTGGTGTTGGACGAGCCGCCGGAGGGCCTCTACAACCGCTGGGTGAAGGAGCGGCTGGAGTACTACCGCCGGGTGGAGCCCTCGGCCCCGTTGCGGGACGTCTCCATCGTGGACCAGAAGGTGCCCAGGTTCAGATTCAGCCAGACCACCCAGACAGGCCACGTCTCCAATGCCATCTGGGAGCTGATTCTGCGGAATCCGGAGGCTGCTGCGCTCAAGCGCATCGATGACATCGCGAAGGGGGCCGCGTGATGATGCGGGACAACGCCATCTTCCGGCACACCATCCAGGACCGCGGCCATCCGGAACGGATGCGCAGCGCACCCCGGGGGGGGGACAGCTGCCGAAGGCGCTGATATCCCCCCCCAGGGAACAGCGCAGGCCCAGACTTGCACCAGGCGAGGAAAATTGGCGCGGCTTGGGCTGATCCGGGGTGCGCCTTGCCTGGGTCCCCTTTTTTCCCCCGTTTCCTCCGTTTCGGGGTTGACTTTCCGGGGTTTTGGGGGGCCCCCTGTTGTTTGGTTGGGGTTTGCACCTAGGGACTAGGCCCCCGGCTCGAGTGGATCATGATGATGTGGAGGCCCCGCCTCCCTTCCCCGTTTGGGACGACCTTCCTAGGGGCGCCAACCGCGCTCCAGTTGATTTTGCATGACCTTGGATTTGCACCAGTGCAGTCGGACGGGGAAATCCTCGTGGCGTGCTGCCTGGAATGGGTCAAAAAGGACAAGGTCGCCAACCCGGATGCGGTGGTCTTTGACCCGCGGCCGTGGACACGGATCGTGGGGCTGGCACCTGACGGCAACCACGTCCTGGTGGCCTCGGACACCTACAACTTGATCCTCGCGAGGATACTCGGCTCCCAACCACAACCGCTGGAGGAG